CGCCATGTCTTACTTACTGTTCAGTGACAGGTACCGATATATATCTACCACCTGTTGCAAAACAGCAAGAGGCAAGGCTGTGGAAAACTTGAACAAGGTGCGCAAATGTCATGCAAATGTGGGCAATGCTACGAAAATTCTTCCAAGTCAACATTATTGGATTTCCATGAATACAATCACTTCTATTGGATTTTTAACTACAGATTGTTTAAAGTCCTTTTTTCTCGAATTTTTGTTAAATGAGGGCGCGAACTTGACGTGAGTATCAAAGCGGAGTTTGAGGGGTAGGGTGCGCTTGATAGTCATCCTCCACCCCACTTCTCTCAGTTTCTTGTCCTTGCCCCTCGTACTCGCTTCGCACACTGATTGTTGATCGAAATGCAACTAAAATGGTCTCTCTTTTTCATCTACAGCTGATCAAACCTCACAATGGTTTTCTTGGAATCGTATTGGTCGGCGGAGCTGACACACCGCTGCAATACCATTACGTCAACGATATCCTACCCAACTCTTCAGCTTCCAAATCAGGCCGCGTTAGAGCTGGAGACCAACTGCTCGAAGCCAATGGTCATTCACTTGGCGGGAAAACACACGCCGAAGCGCTGACGATCTTCCGATCTTTACCCGCGGTGGTAGAGTTACTGGTAGCGAGAACCAAGGACGCCAATCGCTCAGTTCTAGAGTGGTTGAAACACGAGAGGAAAGATAACCAGCAAGTGAACAACAATATTGCATTGCCAGACAGAAGGCGAAGCGTTATTGAGGAGGCCGCCAAGACAAGTGTTATCCCCAGATCCCCCGCAACTGTTGTTGACGTCACTAAGACAAAGTGCCCATATGTGAAAGCTGTAAAACGGAATTCGCGGGTGTCGTCTTTTGTTGGGACGGAAGAGGATAAAGTGGTGGTCAACTCTACTGTGAGTACTCAATATGAAAGGCAGAAACGAAATCAAGAGTATCACGGGTTTGGAAATGGGAAAGAAGACAACAAGATTCGGCGAATGGGAGAGGTTAGTTTGAACAGGAAATCAGGGTGATTTTAAAGTAACAACATAACGAAAACGTCTAAACTTTTCTAGAAAAAAAGGCCGTGAAGTGTCCTTAACATTATTGATGATGTGAGACATTTTTCCGTTATGGACATGAATTCAAGGAGGTTCGTAAAAACACGTTGGGGCGCAGTGATAAGCAAGCGCCTATTATATGTAATAAGCTTCTTGCAACGTACTTGGGTGTGAATGTTAAGGTTTAACAGCAAAGCGTCAACGTAAGCTGGTAAAAATTGCCGAGTCTGGGACAAAAATCTTGAACAGCAAAAAAAAAATTAAGACATCACAACGTTTGCATCTTTACCCAGTGGAAAAAACAAAAAGTAGAAAAACATTATGGCCTCTGACCAATTTCTTCCCACGAAAAACTTTCTTTGGCAGAGCGAGTATCGTGAGAAGGTGAGACTGGACGGAAAATGGCGGGTGTTGATAGAAGATATTGTAGGCAAAGGCCTCTTTTGCACGGAAAGATGCATGGGCGACATGTTAATACTTACAGTGAAGAAGTATTAAGGGAAGGGAGGAAAGGAATTATTTGCGTACTGAAGTTTTTTTTTTCTGTGTAGGTATTCATGCCATCCACCGACCTCGATAACGAAGACCCGGAAGTCTTCACAGATGGTCATGTTATAACCTTCGACCTGCCACAAATCCAGGAGGATATGACGCTACCATACGCAACTATAAGACGCAAGCAAACTTTAAACGTTTCCCTGAAAAGACGAAGCGTCATTGAACGAGGTGACATAACAGCAACCTGGCCTGCCTTTACGACGAAGCAGCGTCTCCCACTCCCCTGGGATTCCTTCGCAACTCCAAGGCCAGCGACTGTTGGTCGAAGCTCCTCGGTTCGCTTTCGGCGCAGCATCGCCGCAACTTCTGCATCGACCTTAACCCTGCATCAAGCCTCTTCGAATCGGAAGTCAACGGGAAAGCATTACATCGACAAAAAAACGCTGACCTTTGAGATTGAGCGGGCAAACACGAGCGCTGATTGGGGCTTTTCAATCGGAGGTGGGGTATTTTCCCCGTACGGGGACTTGCCAATTTTTATCTCCGAAATCTCAGTCAGTGGCGGTGGACCGGAGTTTCTACAGAAGGGCGATGAAATAGTGGCTTTTAGTGGAGATAGTTTTGAAGGTATCACGTTTCTGGAGGCAGAGAAGATGTTAAGGATATGCCCAAGGAAGAGAGCTACAGTAACAATTAAACGAAAATACCTTGAACGCTGTCAGAACCCACAAAGCAATCCATACATAGAGGCATGGAGTTCATTGAATTCAACGAAAATTACGCCAGGAACCAAGCAGAGAAGACGGCCAAAGTCAGTTCACTATTGACAGATTACATACTACTGGAAGATATGACGAGCAGTTGCTACAAGTGCTGGATTATTTTGAGTGACAAGCTGGGAGCAAAAGTACTACTCGGACAATGAACCAATCAGAATGAAAAGAAAAAATTGTAGCCGTTCACGTGCCTGCTCAAATGGCGGGAGCAAACAACGCAGACTCCAATCAAAGAATCTGATTGGTTGAAACAGAAACAGCGTGTCCGCAGTAATTACTTAGAAAAAATACTAGCAAAACACTTCGCAACGTCCCCTGCAAAAACAGAATCATGGAAAGTAACGCGAGAAAAAATAAATAAATAAAAAATAGCACAGTAATACTGTTATGAGAATATTACTGCGAAACTTTGAATTGCTAGATTCAAATTTATATTTTTGCTGTTGTTATGCAAATGTGATATTTTAAGCTAAAAGGAAAAAACTCTGCGTTATACTCTTTATGAAATGCTTCCATAATATTTTTTAAAGCATTCTACATGAAACTTTCACAAAAAAAGTATAAGTTTTGGAAATTCCTTCATTGCTATTTGTAGTTTGTATAAAGTGGTGAGTCAAATTTGCGTATAAGAAAATAAGTAGTTAGTGAATAGAGAATTCCAAAAAATCGACTTTGTCGACCTAATGCTCGCTCTCGGACAACTTGAGGTTTTTTTATGACTAGGCAAAACTGTATCTAAAAAGACAAACAGAAGGTTAGATCTTTGTTCTATTCCACATTTTACTACCAATTGTGTCCAAAATAGATATTCAGGATAAATCCTACAGAGCGAGACCACAAGCTTTTTTTTGAATGGTCACACAGGATTTGAGTAAGAAACTAAAGACTACACATCATAAAGTAACAGATATTAAAAAGGTGAACTGTTTTTGAAACTTTTAGGTCAAAGGATTAAATCTTATAGTGTGACCATTCGAAGGAATCCTCTTTTGCAGAACTCTTGCATAATACTTTAACATTCTGAGCATTTTTGAAAACAATTTGAAAAAATTCATCAATGGAACAATAAAATATTATCGTTTGTGATGTTTGGCTCTAAACCAAGAAACTAGTATCAATTTGTACGTAAAGTATTTTGTTACCTTATACTGGCAAAAAGAAGCTCATTGCATCTATATATACATTAATAATAGCTCTACGATACAATTCATTAGATATTTTCTACTTCTACCTAGTATCATTTGTTTTTAATCTGCATTCATGTTGTTACTCTTTTGGCCAGAGAAAAGTCTTTACGTATCATGATTGTTTTTCATCAAAATATCAAGAGTTGTTCAAGAGTTGTTCTGAAACACATAAGTGATGGTGAGTTCCAGTATTGGGTACACATCCCTTTCACATATGACCCCTTTCACATGGTAGACAGCCCGCCCACCCAACCCAGTCTGCGTGTATTGAACATCATATCTGCCAACTCTCCTGGATATAGAGGCACTGATCTCTCACTCTCCTGTACGGGTCACCACATCCCCCAGATAAAATAGACTTTTGAACTTTTCTGTGCTTTAGTTCGAAATTTATTCCATTTTTTTTTCAAATTTCAAACCTTTTTATTCATTGTCTGGTTTCTGCAACATTTTTGTACCCATTCAGTCACTCACGACAAAGATTTTTTCGTCATTACAATGATAAAATCGAATTTTGATAGTATGTAATTCATGTAAGACTTCAAATAATGCCCTAAGCCATGCCCATGTTATAATTTGGTGGCTGGTTTGACGGTGGTGGTGGTGGTGGGGTTGGGGAGGGGGGCTGTTGACATACAAGGGGGGTGTAGTGCAAAATAGAGAGTATCCAGATTTTAGATCTCTGGAGGTTGGCATCTCTGGGACATGTGTACTTTTATCCAAACACAGAGAAACAGATGTTTGTTGAGAGTATGCAAGTGCAAAGCTCATCTAGGATATGTGCAACTATCATACTGAATTTCTGAGACAAAATTAAGAGGCTGGGATAAATCAGAGAGGAGTAAAGGTGATGTTACACAGGAAGATTCGCAATGACAATTTTTAGCGCAACACATCGTTGCAAATATGTTGGAACAATGTTGTACCTAGTCAAAACAATGTCGAAACAATGTTGCAACGTTGTGTTGCGCTAAAAATCGTCGTTGCAAATCATCTTGTGTAACATCACCTTAAGGCCTTCAGTAAGGCCTATAATAAAATCTTCAATGTGCCCCTCAAAGGGGCAGGTCATCTTCTTCCCTTTCCAGCCTCTTTTTCCTCTCCCTCCCTCTTGAGTGTACATTCAATCTCAACTACTGTAATTTGTTTTCTTTCGAATCAAAGATGGTGGTAATCTGGGAATACAGATATTTCCAGTTGTTGCCTCCTCCCTGTCTGTAAATCAAGATGGCAGAACTGAAAGGCTCCAGACCCTAAACCGCTATACATTCATTGAACTACAGGATTTTCTAATAAGTTACAATTCTTGCAATTTATCAATAACATATCTATTACCAAGGGGTATTAAAATAAAGAATGGCATGCAAAGCTTCTAAACTTCACTTTAGTTCTATGGACTGAGTTGTAATCTGCATCACTGTCTGTTGTATCATCCAAATGAGGACCAGATCAAGTGCATCCTTCTGCGCGTTAGCAAAATGTACCTGATATGACAGCAGAGGAAAGAAGACAGCACGTCTGTGTGACAAGTTTGACAATAATATTATGTTTAAAAAAAAACTTCTGCCAAACTTTACCTTCCTTCAACAACAGATCTTTTTGTAAAAGACCATAACACGGTGATGCAAAGTGAAGATCACGACAAAAAACAGATTTGCAAGTACAGCTGTAGTAGCCCTGTCACATTTGTTGCACACAAATGTTAATGCCGTCCTCTTCTTTCTGCCATTCCCTTACAAAAGGTCTCTATATTAGTTCAGGAGATTTGATGGATTGCAGAAGTATCCATATTTGTTACTTGCCCAATGGTTTGCTATTATCTGCATCACTGTACAGTGTTTCATTTAAGAGAGCATTGCATTCTTCATCTTCTGGTGTTACTTCAGGGGGGATGAGTCCAAGCATGACATGAATCTTTTTCTGTAAGATAAAATTATTTCACAGTTTCAGATGTTTATGTACAGTGGAACCTCCCATAAGGGGACATCCTAGGGACCAAGGGTACGTGTCCGCTTATGGAAGGTTCACAGTTTCAGGTTAATTGTTCAGATGTTTATATACAGTGAAACCTCCCATAAGGGGACACCCTAGGGACCAAGGGTACGTGTCCGCTTACAGAAGCTTGACATGTCTCTTAGAGCTTTTAAGATCACTTGTGATTGTATTGTCAACCCCAGGGTTGTTGGATGTTGCTATTAACATGTAAATTAAGAAAGAATCCATCAGGAAATTGAGTAATTTTAGTTTTCAGTGGACAAAAACCTTGTACCAGAATAAGTTGCACAATATTGCATTTTTTTTACATTTTTCTAGGGCTATAGATGTAATTAGTTATCTGTAATAACATCAAAGAAAATTTCTCAAGAGAGCCCTAGAAAATAGATATCAAAATATTTCACAAAATGCCACCTTTCACAATTCTCGTGAAGATTTGACATTTATTTTCTCGGGCTTCCATGAGAAATAGTCTTTGGTGTTATTACAGATAACTAATTATATCTGTAGCCTTTGAAAAATGTGCAAAATAATGCGATATTATTTAAATTATTCTGGTACAAGGTTTTATCCACTAAAAATTGAAATTCCTCAATTTCCTGATGGATTCCATCTTAAGCTCTAATTTAAACACTACAGTTCAATATTAAAAGCTGCTGGATATGTGTACATGTGAGCAGAAACATACTCAATCACCAATGATTTGGAGGTGAACAGAACAGAAGAAGTGAATATTTTATGCACCTTTTGCAAGTGTCCTTAGGTAGGTAATAAGAAACTATCGATCAGTGTCTGCTTTTGCGGTTCCTTAATGAAATAACAATTGGTATGGAAGTTGTTGTTCTATTGAGCGACAAAGTTCATGAAGTGTGCCACCTAATTAAGCAACAGTTGTTAATTACAGAGAAGCAGGATATGGCTTGAAATTGTCTTGCAAAGTCAAATTTCAAAAAGACAAATTTTCATGCAAATGGCTCGAAGAAACTGAGTTATAAATTTTAAAGAAACTTTGTGTGCTCTAATGAAAAAAAACTTCTTGGAATAGAAATGACTACTTTAACCCATTCGCCCCTGAACCGCCCGTAGCCGCCCGTGCGGATCCATGTCCTTTCTACCCTTTGTGACGTCATCAGTTTTAACGGTCAAGGACAACTTTGTCCGCTAACTTGTGCAGAGTGAAGAGATCTTTCAAACCGTACCAGAATGAGCACAATTCAGTCAACGACACCGGAGAAAGAGGCAAAAATCATGTAACATTGACCTAAAAATCTCCATGAAAATCTTGTTCCATTGCTCACCTACCTTTCCTTTCACCTAATCCTTAGATCCTAAAAACTTTCCTAAAAACTATTCCCACCAAAATGAAGCCTACTAAATGCCCAGCAAGAGAAAAAAAATGAGGCAAGAAAAGCGAAAAAAGAAGGGAGGAGAGAAAGCGAAAAGTAAAAGTCAAGACTGCTGTGTCACTTTTAAACCCATTTTGCTTTCTGCGCATGCCCGAACTTCGCAAGCTGATATTTTGCATCTGGATCAGAAGGCCATGAAGTGTACGACCTGTAAACAGGTTTGTGGTAAGTTTTAGCTCTTTATAGCACGACGGTGACCAGAAAACCACTTGACTAGCTTCAAAACGCGTTTTTCGGCAAAATCTCCAGGAGCGAATGGGTTAATGTTACCTCATATAACTGTAGGCTAAAAACACTGCTTTGGTACTGGTCAGTGTGTGATTTAACCGTTAAAACTGAACCTATTTTGTTACGAATTTCCTTGATATTGTTTAGTACCCATTTATGAGAGTTTCTTTTCGTTATTTTAGACCCTGTGGACCTCAAATAGGTGTATGTGTCCGCTTACTAGAGGTGTCCGCTTACTGGAGGTTAAAATTGTACTGTGAAGAGAGAATTTGCTGGGGCTGCAGTTTGGTGTGCACTAACGAAGGAAGGTGTCGGTTAGTGGAGGTTTGACTGCATGTCTTAATAGATTTAGTAAAATGGAAAATTTTATAACCATGGATCAAGCAGCAGTCTGCCATTGGTTTAAATTGAGTGGGGAATGGGGATACCATCATAACATATCATAAGGGAAAATCCCTTAAGGACCTTTTGGTGGATCCGAAGCTATAAGGGACAAATTATAGAAAATTCCAGGTCTTGTGTAATTTGAGCACCCCATGAATCTATTGGCCACTACTTGGTCAACATGTCAACTGCCATATCAGCTGACTCTCAATTACCATATCAGTTAACTGCCGGTCGATATATCAGCCGATGTATTAGCTGACATCTTGGCTGACATGTCGGCCAACACTAAGTCTTGACCGAATGTCAGCCTACATATTGACCCATATGTTGACGGAGTATTGGTTTTCACCATTATACTAGTCAACATTCGGTCAATACGGTTTCAATTGTTGGTGGAATATCAGTTGACTGTTGGTGGAAAATTGGTCGACTGTCGTATGATATAATTTGTGTTAATCAGAAGGGCAATTCTGGTGCCCGTGAAGGCAAAGACGGAACACATACACTAAAAATATAAATAAACATCAAAGCACACAGCCTTCTGAGATTAGATTAATTCTTCTGGATCTCTAAATTTTCATTTGATACAGCACAGAGTGCAATCAATTATGACCTTTTTTAGCGTACAAAAGAATGTTTGAACAAAAAATTGTGACAGACACTTGCAGTAATATTATACTCTTACAGTAGACTGGTCAAAGCTGCCAATACCCTTTAGAAATTGCTGCATGGACAATGTAACAACAAAAATTTAAGTAGACAAAAAATATACCTCCACAGGTAAAGTAGACTAAGTATAAGTGGAGTATTGGCCGAATGTCGGTAGCCTATTGATCAAAATGTAGGCCGACTATAGGTCAACATACTGTCCTACACCATTGGCCGATCTGTTGGTCAAGACATCTGCTGACCCTTAGTTGACTATTGCCTGATGTGCCCAGGGGGGGTATTCCGGATTTCAAGTGACAGGGATGTTCGAATGGGGGCAAAAATCAAAACCCAAAATAAGCCCTTGGGCTTCAAACAAAAGCAAAAAAAGTCCCTGGACCAAAATTTAACCCCCAGAGAATCCCATGCCGAAATTCTGAGCCAGAAAAATTTCTAGAAAGCATTAAATGATATAACATGAAGAATAGAAACATCAGTTTTGAATACCCTAAAAAATCCCTACTTTAATCAAACTACCCAAAAATTACTTGCCAAAATTTACCTATCCAAAAAAACCCGAAATCATCCCTGTCACTTGAAATCCGCAGCTGGAATTGACTGATGCATAAGGGCCAAATCTTAATCTATTTGTTCTTACATGCGGGTGTTTACTGTATTAAATATTGCGTTTCGAGTAACTATTTCTTTTATTTACGAGCTGCTGATTGGCCCACAACCAGCTTTCTTAGAATGTATCGGTAGTTTCCTGTACTCTGATTGAACAACTTTGTCTAAGTGGCCCAGGTGACAGCAGTCGTATATATACTTACCCGATTTCTCCGACCTCTTTCACCATACATTTGATATACGAGAAAGGAATAAAAACACGTTCCCCAGAAACACCACGCAGCTGCCAGTAAGGGCAGTCTGCCGTAGGAACGAAGATCGATGGCCATAAGCTCAAATTCGAGCTATAACAAATTCAGTCAAATCTCAACCTTCTGCCGCCATTTCGTGGGAGGAGGTTTGAACGTCATGTAGTCAGTCATGTAAGATACTTCATAGATACTCGGCCCAGGCCAGCCTGCGCCTGTTCTACTTTGACGACGCACTATCAATGTTTTAAAACAGTGCACACAAAAGCCCAAAATTAATATCCGAGGCAGATCAGTAAAGATAATAGGACTGGGTGTAGCACAATTGAGGGAATAATCGAGTGAAAAACTTTTAGTAAGAATCTTAGTCTTAGCACAGAGTTCTTAGTACATCAGGGCCGAGTTGTTCAAAGCTGGGTTAAGATAACCCAGAGTTAGTGCGAGATTTGAATTCAGATTTGAAAGCTTAAAAAGCATTTCAGTTTTAACTCTTTTTGTCTACAAGTTGATGATTGGTAGCTCTAAGCTCATGTTTTATTTCAAAATGGCCTTCGCACTCGAAAAGCTACCAGGCCTTTTGAGAAATAGGCCCCAGGATGCAAAATACCAAATTTAATGATAACATCAAAATAAGACGAAAACGGCTCAGCTGTGTCATGGACGGTTCCACATTTTTCGGTCAAAGCTCAGCCGCAGTTATAGGCACGTATTCTCAGTCATCTTTTCTCAAACTTGGTACTCTATAAGGTAGCAAGGTATGATCATTTTTTGGTCATTTTTCGACAACAGACGAGTTCAACTTGAAAAGCTTGGCCCGATTTTTTCAAGTCTCAATCCGTTTACATCATGGCCATCGACAAACTTTTATGGTTGAGGCATAGTGGAAGGGTCATTTTAAATAAAAATGAACACATATTTTGGGGGATTTCTTTCATTCCTTGCCACTTAAGTCCAAATTGTAAAAATTACTGTCCGTTCTAGAGGCTGCAAATGTAAAATTCAACCTGTTCGTATCCTGCTTTCAGACTTGAAGCAACTTGCCTCTTTAATTCCGCTCTAAACGTGGTTGCTATTTACATACTCAGAGATGCCAACCACTGGATTCAAGACTCTCTTTTGCAGCCCCCCCCCCCTCCCCGCCCCATCCAAGATGAACTCTACCCTCCAACATGAACCTCCCCCATCCAACATAAACCATCCCCCGACAGAAAAACGTAAATCGACGCGGTCACCAGATTATAATATGGGTGTGGCTCAGGACATTATTCAAAGTCTTACATAACGTGTAGGTCGTCATAATTCCCGAAATCATCGTCTCACTGATAAAATACTTGCACACAATGTCTTTTCAATATTTTTTAATCTGTCTGGTCTGGAGGCACTGAAACCAGCCTTGTAAATTATCAGTCAAGGTCGTGAAATGTAAAATGTCCTTAAAAAGTATGCAACTCTACGTTATTCCCTTTCTTGGTATAACACCATCCATCTGTGCAAAATTTTACAAGAGTTCAGTGGTAAAACCAGCAGGCATTTGACGAAATCTTCCAGCAGCTCTTGACTGTTGTGTCTTCAGTTGATGAGACCAATATGGGCGATGTCTCAAATGCTCAACTGTGCTAACTCGACTGTATTTTATGTGCTAAAGGGAGAAAAAAAAGAAGAAGAAGTCAGCGGTAACCTCAAACTAATATCTTATATTTTATGTCAGTAAGTAAGAAACTCCCTTTTAAAGCCCTAACCTGATTTCACCTTAAAACTAAAAGCTGCAATAAAGGCCTTAACAAGCCCGGTTCGTTGTCATGACAGCAAATTTTAATGGGACAATTGCAGATGATGTCATTTTTACTGCAACTACAAGAATCCTTCAGTTTGTTGTTGTCTTGTGCAAATTACTTACTTAATTAGGGCTATTTTCTTCTAAGCCTCAGTGTGATTGACAAATTTAAACACGAAAGCTAAAGCGAGGTAGCCGTTCACAAGGTAGATCTTGGTTGTTGAGCAAAGAAGAGCACCGGAGTATCCAGAGAAGAACTTCCCCGAACAAAGACAACCAACAACAAACTCAAAATCCTGATCTGCAGCCACATCGGTAGGAGGCGAGTGCTCTCTAGACTACGAGTAATCCCCCACTTTTCCTCAGGGATAGTACAGCGAGCGAACGCGAGCGCGCGTGAAAATTACCCCACGCGAGACAAGGCGACGGGCGGCAGGGAGAAAGGTGTCGCCTTGTCTCGCGTGGGGTGATTTTCACGCGCGCTCGCGTTTCCCTCGCTCTACTATCCCTGAGGAAAAATGGGGGACTACTCGTAGTCTAAGTGCTCTGACCACTACGCTATTCCTTATGGTCTATGTGAAAATGGCGAATAGCCGAATAGAGCAGGATATCTTACATTGTTTTGGTATTCTAACAGGTTCATTATCACCGACTGTCACTTCGTGAACCGCTTCTCTAAACAAATATCTTATTCGCAGCATCTTTTCCTCGTCAGGACACGGATCGTAAAATCCACTTAAATTACTCTGAAAGAAACAAAACAAAACATCGAAAAACAGGTGTTACACAAACGACTTTCAGTTCAGTTCAATTCAATTATCTATAGCGCCGGCTCTCGCACCTTCGAAGACTCAGTGAGGAAGAGTCGTGAATCCTTAACTTGACACTGCACAGGGACCGTAACATCGATCACTTTACTGGGACCTCGACGAGAGTCCTGTGAACTAGAAGTACAAAAAGAAAAAGTTTGTAACAGTATTAAGTTACAATACGATACAGAAAGACAGTCTCTGAATAGTTTGTTTTGGGGCTTACCTTTCTCCTATGGATACTAAGTGGCCATACCATGCATTCACTATGATTAAGCCTAAAAAGCAACAAACAGACTTCAGGTTTCCTTTTCAGGGTAGTAAGCACGATAAGAACAAAATAGCTATTAGATTTCTTAAAAAACGTATTTTAAAATTCTTCAATTTTAGAACGTCCTATGTCTGAGGCGAAGCGCGCCCATTTTCTTCGAAAAAGGTCCTGTTTGGTTTGATCTTTTGTAGTGCTTTACTTTTCCTATCCACTTTGCTGTAAGTCATTAATCATTGCTTTAAACGATTTTTTTTCCGTGCACTTTGTTTGGTGTTTAAGGCAATTTGCAGCAGTCTACTTGAAGTCCCGTCAAGAGCCAACTGTCATTACCAAGTCTTGAAGATTCGAATTCTACGATTCTCTCACATGTCTCCTGCATAAGACGTATCTAAAGATAAATTCAAATAACAACCAGTTAGATGATGGAACGAGGAAACCACGCGGGGCAGCAAAAAATCACCTTCCGAAGACACGCGACACGCGAGGAAGAAACGTGGAAAAAATTTTGTAATTGTATATGTATTCTATTTTCTTTAATATTTGTTGATGGTGAAACAGATTGAAAGAAATCAGTAACATTAATAGATGAAAAAAGTAAGATATGGTGGAAATAAACAAAGTTATTTAGAGGGATAAAGGAGAAAAACGAGAGATTGTAAAAGAGAGGAAAAGGTACAAGTAATAAAAAAATTACGAGGGTCGGCCTGGTGGAGATAAAGCACTGCGCAAGATAATAATGATAAACAGCTCTTTTAACTAATGTTTTAGCTGTCTTTTCGCGTATAGATACAGAAAGATATTTTTAATAAGAACATCGTATAACTGTTGGACAGAATTTTCTTATATGTTTTCGGTACTGGGAATAACATGCTGCGGCAAAGATGCTTTTTTGGTGTCAAAATTATGCTGCTCAGCCTGGATTACAACGACAGCGTGAAATTAAACTGCTTTTTATAAAGGGGCATAAACAAGTGCATAATATACATTTATCAAAGTTAGAACAAGTTTGATTGTAAAACCTTACACTGCTCTCTGCATCCTTCTTTTGCTCTGCCATCTGTTTGGCATATTTCGCTTTATTTGCTTCTGATTCCCTACAACAATTAACAACAATTTTCTTCTTTTTAGCGATTATTACTAATATTCCCACTTTGATGTTGTATTTTCAATGTTATTTTGTGCCCCCAAATTAGTATGAGATCTTTTGTCCCGTTCGTCCGTCCGCTCAAACCGTGTATCCCTTCATCCGTCTGCCAGTCTATCCGTCCGTTACTCCGTCCTCCATTTGTCAGTTTGATTCTCCGTCAACCCATCCATTCCTCCGTTCTTCCATCCGTCTGTTTTTCTTTCTGTCTGTCTGTCCGTCCGTCCGCCCGCCCGCCTGCCCTCCTTCCTTCCACTCTTTTGTCAATCTATCCGTTTGTCCGTTCGTTTCCGTTTCTCCGTCCGCGTTTGTCTATCTGTCCGTCTGTTCATCCCGTACGTCGATCCGATCTGTCCTTCTGGCCATCAGTCCGTCCATCTGTTTGTCTGTCCGTCTTTCCAAACACCTATGCCTTTGTCCTTTCGCTCGTCCGTCCGTCCGTCTAACCATTTATCTATTTACAATGGCTCCTGATAAATAAACCTCATTTCCAGGAATTTCTTATTACTACCGTAAATACGTGCATGTGTACAAAATCCTACTTTAAATGCCTACGGCTATGCAAACCAAACCTTGGGTTTTGATGAAAACGTGGACTGTCTACAAGTTAAACATGTAAATGTCAGTGAAAAATTAGACATGAGGAAATTGACTTACTTTTCCTTCTCCATCTGCAAAAATGGATTAACAACAAGAACCTTGACGACCCAAAAGACAGTTATAGGAACCACAGTGCCATAAAATAGCGCCGCTGGATGGATCTCTTCTGACAGGTTGATGGGGAAGCTGTATACTTGATTTGCACGGGTCAATCTAAACATTTATTACATCCAACAATTAGTACAAGCTCTGTGAAACGTCAGTTTACTGGGTGTTGTATAGCAAGGCTTTTGCCTGTTATAGTTAGATTGATAAATTTTAGATAATAAATTTTTAGGTATTCTTAAGTATACTTTATTGTAATTATTACAGGTAGTTGTAGTTGTAAGGCGCACTTGATCATATTCAGATGTTAATTTTGGCCTAATAAGAAATAAATTAGTAGGTGGTGGTGGTGGTGGTGGTGGTCGTAGTAGTGTATTCTTCTTTTTTCCCATCGGAGTGTGTTGGCACCCGGCTCAAAGCATTCAGGGAAAATAACGCAATGTTCTACTTAACTGGGTGTGCGACCAACAGAACAGACCTGTGACCAGATTTACGAAGGCTTTCTAAGTAAAGTAATACCATGTTTTCTCAATCAATAGCCGCGACGTTTTACTTTATATTTTGACGTGACCTCGGTTGTTCTAAAGGTGGATAACAATATCCATCGGATGAATCTCTATCGAGTGGATAACGCAATTGCTTTCCCTAATACTTATCCATTAGACAGTGATTAATCCGGTGGATAGCGCTATCCAATGTTTGAACAAGCGGGACCTGATGAGTAAAAGCGTTTGCTTGTATCTGCAATTTATCGCGTTTTACACTTTTTCATGGCACGAAAATGTCGTATCATGTGGCTCACTATATCTAGGATTTATGCCTTATCGTGAAATTAGAAACACAATGACAGTCTACTTACTTGACTTTTAGCAATACACCAATGGGCAAACCAATGCACATTGTGGCAGCCAGTCGACTGTGTTCAGAAATTTGCTTTTCACATCCGTACTCAACCAGAGAACCAAACGTTCCACTCCTAAGAAATTAGGAATGGAAAGATGCAGTGATCAGACAATGAAAGGAAAAAATAAAATTTATTACAGGACACCAGAGGTATATGAATTTCAAGTAATAGTCTAGCCTGGGAAAACAGCAGACATTCCGCAACCCTAACACTAGTTTTCCCGCGAAATGACGTCTGATAAACGAGCGCAGAAATTCCATACTGATGACGCGTCAGTACCCTGGTATGGGTAGTGTTTCTGATTGTTCGTGCTGCGCGGGAAATTTGCTTCAACCAATCAGAGACACTACCCATACCTGGGTATTGACGCGTCATCAGTATGGAATTTCTGCGCTCGTTTTTCAGACGTCATTTTACAGAGAAAGCAGTGGTGGCGTCGCCAAATGTCCTGTTTGCTGAGGCTAGTTTTATTCACCACAACCAAAATTAACCCCCGGGTGATGAAAACTCAACCCTGATCAGACACATATACGTGATCATTGACTATATAACTTTGAAGATGAATTTAAATCTGCCTTGATTAATTGAAAGGATCATCACATCTTTCCTTGCTCTTTTTCTATCTATCAAATAAACGTTTTAACAGTGATCGTTAATTTGCCTAGTCCCTGTACGGCGTTTTCCAAGGCATCCTTGGGCAATTAAGTAACTAACCGCGCGGAATAATCATTCGTTCGGCGGATGGTTTCGAATAAAGGTTCTATGCCACACAGGAAACACACAAGAAACTCATGGCCAAAATAGTGGTGGCAGGGAAGCACTTAAATCTAGGGGTAAGGGGACCAGGAAAGAAGCCCTCCTGGAGGTAGACGAGATCTAGTGGTACGGGGGTAGCTACCCTGGGCAGGGGTCCTGATCAGTCTGCGGGGGCGGGGCCTATATCCCCTAGACACTAGGAACTAAGGGGAACCAGAAGGGGACCTTACTGGGTGGAGTACAGACCAAGTGGAACCAGGGATCAACCTGGAGTGGGTATTAAACACAGGGCACCCTCAAGCCTCAGTGACTGATATCTTGGAGACCAGGTGAATCTAAGCGAAATACATTATGTACCCATGAAACAAAAGAAAAACAATACATACTTTATAGTGCCTTTAATTTTCGTGTCCTTCTCTATTTTTCTTGTGTAGGAACCTAGTACAAATGAATTTGGAATTCCAAGCTATAACCAAAAGCAAAAAGAAAAAAACAAAAACAAAAATATCATGATTAGATGGCAATCCAGTAAAACCAAAAACAGTGAGGAAGAAAATTTATTGGCACTAATGACATCGGAAATGACATGTTCGAAGTCATGACAATTTGGAATTCAAATGTTTGAAAAGATAACATTCCGAGTTTAAATGTTTTAAGTGATGACATTCGGAATTCAAATATTTCGAGTGATGACATTCGGATTTCAAAAGTTTGGAGAGATGACCTTTGGTAATCAGATGTTTGGAAGAATCACATTGGAAATTCAAATGTTTGAAGTGATGACATTCGGAATTCAAATCTTTGGAGTGACGACAGTCGGTATTCAAATGTTTGGAGTGACGACAGTCGGTATTCAAATGTTTGGAGTGACGACATTCAAAATTCAAATGTTAGGAGTGACGACATTCGGAATGCAAATGTTAGAAGTGACGACATTCGAAATACCAATGTTTGGACTAATGACATTCGGAATTCAAATGTTAGGAGTGACGACATTCGAAATTCCAATGTTTGGAGTGACGACATTTGGAATTCAAATGTTAGGAGTGACGACATTCGGAATTCAAATGTTAGGAGTGACGGCATTCGGAATTCAAATGTTTGGATTGACGATATTCGAAATTCATATGTTTGGAGTGGTGACAATTGGAATTCAAATGTTTGGAGTAATGACATTCGGAATTAACATGTTTGGAGTGACGACATTCGGTATTCAAATGTTTGCAGTGACGACATTCGGAATTCAAATGTTAGGAGTGACACCATTCGGAATTCAAATGTTTGGAGTGACGACATCCGGAATTCAAATGTTAGGAGTGACACCATTCGGAATTCAAATGTTTGGAGTGACGACATTCGGAATTCAAATGTTAGGAGTGACGACATTCGGAATTCAAATGTTTGGAGTGACGACATTCGGAATTCAAATGTTAGGAGTGACACCATTCGGAATTCAAATGTTTGGAGTGACGACATCCGGAATTCAAATGTTAGGAGTGACACCATTCGGAATTCAAATGTTTGGAGTGACGACATTCGGAATTCAAATGTTAGGAGTGACGACATTCGAAATTCCAATGTTAGGAGTGACGACATTCGGAATTCAAATGTAAGGAGTGACGACATTCGAAATTCATATGTTTGGAGTGACGACAATTGGAATTCAAATGCTTGGAGTGATGACATTCAGAATTAAACTGTTTAGAATGACGACATTCGGAATTCAAATGTTTGGAGTGATGACATTCGGAATTTAAATATTTGTAGTGATGACACGCGGTATTCAAATGTTGTTTAGTGACGACATTCGCAATTCAAACGTTTCTAGTGATGACATTCGCAATTCAAGTGTTTGTAGTGATGACATTCAGTATTCAAATATTTTTGTGGTGGTGACATTCGTAATTCAAATGTTTAGACCGATGACAATCGAACTCAAATGTTTGGAAGGATGAGATTCGGAATTCAAATCTTTGGAGTGACGACATTCGGTATTCAAATGTTAGGGGTGACGACATTCGAAATTCAAATGTTTGGAGTGACGACATTTGGAATTCAAATGTTAGGAGTGACGACATTCGGAATTCAAATGTTAGGAGTGACGACATTCGGAATTCAAATGTTTGGAGTGACGATATTCGAAATTCACATGTTTGGAGTGACGACAATTGGAATTTAAATGTTTAGAGTGATGACATTCGGAATTTAAATGTTTTGAGTGACGACATTCGGTATTAAAATGTTTGCAGTGACGACATTCGGTATTCAAATGTTTCGAGTGACGTCATTCGGAATTCAAATCGTTGGAGTGACGACATCCGGTATTCAAATATTTGGAGTGATGACATTCGGAATTCCAATGTTTGGAGTGACGACATTCGGAATTCAAATGTTAGGAGTGACACCATTCGGAATTCAATTGTTAGGAGTGACGACATTCGGAATTCAAATGTTAGGAGTGACGACATTCGGAATTCAAATGTTAGGAGTGACGACATTCCGAATTCAAATGTTAGGAGTGACGACATTCGGAATTCAAATGTTTGGAGTGACGATATTCGAAATTCATATGTTTTGAGTGACGACAATTGGAATTCAAATGTTTGGAGTAATGACATTCGGAATTCAAATGTTTGGAGTGACGACATTCGGTATTCAAATGTTTGCAGTGACGACATTCGGAATTCAAATGTTACGAGTGACGACATTCGGAATTCAAATGTTTCGAGTGACGACATTCGGAATTCAAATGTTAGGAGTGACACCATTCGGTATTCAAATGTTTGGAGTGATGACATTCGGAATTCAAATGTTAGGAGTGACGACATTCGAAATTCCAATGTTTAGAGTGACGACATTCGGAATTCAAATGTTAGGAGTGACACCATTCGGAATTCAAATGTTTGGAGTGACGACATTCGGAATTCAAATGTTAGGAGTGACGACATTCGGAATTCAATTGTTAGGAGTGACGACATTCGAAATTCCAATGTTTGGAGTGATGACATTCGGAATTCAAGTGTTAGGAGTGACGACATTCGAAATTCCGATGTTTGGAGTGACGACATTTGGAATTCAAATGTTAGGAGTAACGACATTCGGAATTCAAATGTAAGGGGTGACGACATTCGGAATTCAAATTTTTGGAGTGACGATATTCGAAATTCATATGTTTGGAGTGACGACAATCAGAATTCGAATTTTTGGAGTGATGACACTCGGAATTAAACTGTTTAGAATGACGACATTCGGAATTCAAATGTTTGGAGTGATGACATTCGGAATTCAAATATTTGTAGTGATGACACGCGGTATTCAAATGTTGTTTAGTGACGACATTCGCAATTCAAACGTTTCTAGTGATGACATTCGCAATTCAAGTGTTTGTAGTGATGACATTCAGTATTCAAATATTTTTGTGGTGGTGACAATCGAACTCAAATGTTTGGAAGGATGACATTCGGAATTCAAATGTTTAGAGTGATGACATTCCGAATTCAAACGATTGTCGTTATGACATTCAGTATTCAAATGTTTGGAGTGATGACATTAACGATTCAAGTGTTTGTAGTGATGATATTCGCAATTCAAATGTTTGGACGGATGACATTCGGAATTCAAATGTTTGGAAGGATGACATTCGGAATTCAAATGTTTGGACGGATGAAATTCGGAATTCAAATGTTTGGTTGGGGTGATGACATCCGGAAGTCAAATGATTGTAGTGATGACATTTGGGATTCATGTAACCTAGTGCAACCTGCATCGTGGTTTAAGCCGTCGGCGACTAAACCTACAACTCCACTAGGCTTAGCTAAGGTGGGTTAAACTGGGTCTCCTGAGAGAAGAATACAACATCTGTCTTAAGGTCTACGGTGGACCACCCCCAGTTAGGTGGACTCTGGTATCACCCAAGGGCGGAGATAAACAGACCTATCCACCGGCCAGCCGCTGCAGCATGGCATAAATGCCGGCATGTCCTGACCCGTCCTTGCCCGCAGAACCAAATTTTTGCCTTGCCGAGTGAGTGACCCTAGTCAATTGAAAAGCTGGTTTCCCTACAGTCCTTTTACATGCAGTTCTAAGGTATAAATGGCACAGAAAACAGGCTCCCATACAGGCTCAAACGTCGCCTGGGTTAACAAAGTTCGTGCTGGCTCGATCCCATTCCAGTGACCTGAGAAAAGTGGGCTAGGAGGACACGGGATCTCTCTGAAACTCAGAGAATGGAATGTCAGAAGGTTACTAAATAAAACTGACTAAAGAGGACCTGAATGTCCGACAGCATTGGTACTAAAAGAATTTGAGAGTTACATCATTGATATAACAGCGCTAAGTGAGACTCAATTGCCATCCTACGACGGTATGGTAGATCCTGGCTACACAATCCTTTTGGAGTGGCAGGGGAGAGAACAAGCGAAATGAATCTAGAGATGGTTTTCCAACAGGGAACTCCATTGCTGAGCAGCTGAAGAAAGACCCGACACCTGTCAGTGACAGGATAAAGAACATGAGACTTTCGCTGCAGAGGAATGTTTGCCACAATAGCTGGGTGTGTATGCTCCAACACTGACCAACCTCTAAGAGATCAAGGAGGAATTCTACAACAGCCTGAGAGAAGTACTGCACAGAGTTCTATTTCTATTACTGGTAATGCCGGTGACTTCAATGCTGGGGTTGGAAAGGAGGTGGACAAATGGGCACATGTGATTGGCCCGCATAGAGTTGGGAATAGAAACTGAAACGGCGAACTTCTGGCTCTTTGCTCGGTGTTTGGTCATCACAAACACTATCTTCAAGCGCAATGAACACCACAAGAAGGAAATGGACAAGACTTTGGCAGGATTGCAACATCAGGAGTCAGAAATTGTTGAGGAAAACTGAAGTTCATTAGAAGCAGCTATATATGACACTGCTCTGTGTCTTGGGTAAATCCAATTGCAAACACCAGGATTGCTTCAATGATACTGACAAGAAGCTGTTCGAGGAAAGAAATACTGCAAGGGTGAAAAAGCTTTAAGTGAACACTAGATCAAACAGGACAAAACTGACTGGTACTCGACAGAGTCTAAAGCAGTACACCAGGGAAATGAAGTCTCAAAGATGGGGGGCAAAGGAAACAGAAAAAACAGATATGAAAGAAGTTTTAAAATGATCTGACAGAAGTACATGGGACATAGAAGAGGGGTACAACACAGCTTACTGACCTTGATGGTGAGACAGTAATAGAGGAGAAAGCTGAGATTCGCGACAGATTTACAAACTAATTTGACAAGCTACTTAACGTAACTGGAGGGTTGATCGCTCTGTCTTGGACACCACTGCACTGAGACCACACATTGCATCTCTTGATGAAAAACCTGAAGTCAAGGAACTGTTGGATGCCATCAATGCAACAAACAAAAGTAAAGCCCCTGGAATGGTTGGTATACCTTCAGAACTCTGAAAACATGGCAGGGTAAAACTGGTACGAACTGGTTTTGCACATCTGGGAAACTGAGTAAAGACCACAAGACTGGAAAGATGCTAGTATCGTGCCAGTTTTCAAGAAGGAAAGTATCAAGTACTGTAGAAACTATCGAGGTATTTATCTCTTCTCAATAGCTCGAAAGATCTTGGCTCGCATACTCCTGAGCAGATTAAACAAACGCATAGCTTCTAATATATTGCCTGAGACTTAATGTAGTTTTCGCAGTGGTAGAGGCACTGTGAATCTGATCTTCTGCCCGCGACAGTTACAAGGAATATCATAGACGAGAACATGGCGCCGCATGTTGTCGTTATCCTGCTAGGAATGGGGTCATCACCTTATCATGGTGGGGAGGTTTGCGTGTCTCAATGACACGCTGAAGTCTTGTACTCCAGGTAGGGCCACCCATGCCGAACAGGAACGGGGTCACCACCTTATCATGGTGGGGAGGTTTGCGTGTCTCAATGACACGCTGAAGGCTTGTACTCCAGGTAGGGCCACCCATGCCGAAAAAAACGAAGGGTAGAGACAAGACAAATAGTGACCCCCTGGTCCTCCAGGTTGGGGAATGGGTGTAGGGCTAACAACCCTACCACATAAAAACACTAATTTTTCAGAAAGTGGAAACGTTTTTAACACTACCTGGGGATGTCGCTGCTAGGGCTGCAATGACGCTCTTGGGACAAAGCCAGCGGGAAACCTAAAGGCAGATAGGCCCCATAGTAGCCCTCAAGTGACAGATGATCATCGGTTGCCAATACGTGAGGACCATCGCAGAGACAACATGCCCAATACAAGTAGCTAAGAAGACAAAAGAGCAAGGGATTGAAGTGCCAGATAGGTCAGGTGGAAAGGGATGGGATCGGTAACACTACATTGTAAAGAGAGGATGCGTACATAGGAGATGATGAGGTGCAACAGGGAGGAGTTGCCATCATGATGAGCGCGAGGGCAAAGGGACCCTTGATGAAATGGACGCCAATTAGCAAGGAATTATTACAGCACGATTCTACTCAAAGTACAAAAAGCTGACGGTGGTACTAGCATACGCACTATCGAATGATGCGCTGGATGAGGAAAAGGATAAATTCTAAAACCAGCTGCAGGACACTGTTTCGAGCTGCAACACAAATGATATGATTGTGGTGATGGGTGATTTGAATGCTGAGGTAGGAAACAACAATACTGATGGTGAGGAGGTTGTGGAGAAATTTGGCGTTGGTGTTATGAACGCAAAGGAGAGAGGTCATGTGACATCCACAACCTGACCTGGAGGTCACCAGATGGGAGGAAAGTAAACCAGATTGACCATGGTTTAATGAATGAAAACATGAAAAGATCTATCTTAGACACCAGAGTAATGAGAGATGCAAACGTATACAGTGACCATTACCTAGTGAAAAACAAGGGCTGACACGAGGAAGAACGTAAGAGAGGGTTTCACATAAGTAACTGCAAAGTGAAGAGATCAGGTAGAGATATAATATTGAGTTGAGGAATAGGTTTGAAGCTTTAGGAGACAGAGGAAGGACCATTATTATTTTGTCAACATTATGATTTTGTCAACATTCAGTAAGCCATGGATAGGAAACAAACCGTGGGAAAAAATCAAGGAGAGGAAGGAGGTGAAACTGAAAATGGAGGGTACAGGATCGAAATGACTGAAACAGAGATGGAGAGAGGAGTATAATGCGAAAAACACCGAAGTGAAAAGGAGTGCTAGGGAAGAGAGGAGAAATTGGTTAGAGAAGAGGACTGCAGCAGAGGAAAGACTGCTGAGAAAGGTAGGAACTATTCAAGGAGCTGTTCAGCAATAACAAGTCAATAACAGGAGAATGGCAGAGAGAAGAAGTAGGTGTTAAAGCCAAACAAAGGGTGCTTAGGACTGAGACACAAGAAACATTGCAGAGATGGGTGGAGCACTTTAGTGAAATATTAAACAGAGATGACCCAACAAATCCTGTGAAAGAAGATAAGATGGTAGAATCAGAGGAGATTGAGAAAATAGATCTAGGAAGATCGCGATAACAAGAGGTTAAGGATGTAATGAAGAGGACATAGCCATGGAAAGTGGCTGGAGTAGATGAGGTGTGTCCGGAGTAATTGAGAACTAACATTGAAGACACTGCAAGTAGGCTAAGTGGATGTTACAACAGGCTTTGGGAAAATGAGAGGTGGCCGAAAGTGTACAAGAAGGGACTTGTTGTCAAGGTATTCAAGAAAGGTGGGTTGCACAAATGTAACAACGGAAGAGGAGTGACTTCACTACCCGCCATTAGTAAGATATTCTTGACGACACTGTTAGGTGGATCAAGAAAGGCATAGACAAGAAACTTCGAAAGGCGCAGGCTGGGTTTCCACCCAAGAGAAATACAACTGAACAGATCTTTATACTTAGAAACATCTTAGAGCAGGCAAATGAGTCGAGGGCGGGTCTGTATACGCACGTTCTGGACTTCACAAAAGCCTTTGACTATGTACACATAGAAAGCCTATGGAATATCATGAGAAGTAATGGGATACCAGACAAGATGGTGAGAGTGACAGTAGGCATTTAAATGGGTTTTGAGTGTGCAGTCGTGGACAGGAGTGTGACATCATACCAGCTCACGATCAAGTATGGAGTTAAAATGGGGTGCATGAGGTCAGGGTTCCTATTCTTACTATCTTGGACTGCGTCTAAGTTCAATGAATGCACGAGAAGACTGGAAGATTGGCAGAGGAAGCAGCAAGAGTAGCACGCAAACTTGATGCGAGAAATGGCAAGACACTTGGGATTGATTGTGCTAGAAGCAGGGAGAACATTGTGGTTGATGGTGAAGACGCGGAAGACGTTGAGGAGTTTTACAGACCTGAGTGCTTTTGTCGACAAGGAGGGTGGAGGTAGCAGAAGCACATGGTGCATTCCAGGGACTAAGGAGGGCCTGAGCAAATAGAGGAATATGAAGGAAAACCAAGATACACCTGTTCAAAACTTAAGTTCAACCGGTCCTGCTGTATGGCTGAGAATCTTGGAAGATCACCAAGAACGATAAATGGAAGCCATTACCTGAGACAGATAGTGCCGATTAGATGGCAGCAGAGAATAACAAAGAAAGAGAGTGGTTGAATTGGCAGAGACCAATGACACAAGTTGTAAATTATGACGATGAAACTGGAACTGGCTATGTCACATATTTAGAAGAGGGGCTGTAAATGACTACTTTACAGCATTAGGGTGGACACCATAAGGTCGGAGGGCGAGAGGAAGTCCAAAAACTACCTGGAGAAGGGCTGTTCAGAAAGAGCGAAACAAAACAGGGTGGAAGAGTTGGGAAGTAGCCAAAGTGGTAGCACGAGATTGAAAGTCTTAGAAGCAGGGAGCCCTTATGTGCCTACTGGCGCGATGATACATGATGATAATGATGCCGTTTTTATTGACTTAACAAAGTCTTTTGATACAGTGTTTCATGAGGGCCTATGAAAAGTGCTCGGAAAGTGTGAATGTCCTTCGAAATTTATCAATCTGGTGAAGGGACTGCACGACAACATGCAAGTACATGTGGCTCAAGAAAATACATCTTCGAGGAATTTGCAGTCACCGGTTGATGTGAAACAAGGTAGTGTGCTTGCTCCGACACTGTTCTCTCTCTACCGAACAGCAATGTTAGAAGTAGCCTTTGACGGTGTTGGCAACAGTATCTACATCCAAACTAATACTAATCCTGACCTGTTTAATGTTGCCCTTTTCAGAGCAAAAACACGCACAACCCAGATCCTAGTGAGGGAAATACTGTTTGCAGGTGATAGTGCTATAGTTGCCCAAAGTGTTGGTGACATTCAGAGTCTGGTGGACAGGATCGCTAGAGCTGCCTCCCAATTTGGCCTCAAGATCAACATCAAGAAAACTGAGTACTTAACCAGGCAATGCAACACCTACATCCAGCTGCTGACCCAACAACCATAACTATCAATCAAGAGGCCCTTGTACAGTGCACCCACTTCAAATACCTAGGAAACACTGTCTCTCTTCAACAACGCTAGCGTAGAAAGTGAACTCAGAAACAGGGCTGGAAATACAAGTGCTACTTTTGTAAAACTACACGACGGAAATGACAATGGAGAGGTCACGTGACTTTTGTAGTACAAGTGGTTTAATCAAAACAGGAACAATCTTCCCTCAAAAAAAATCTTTAAGCTGATCTACAGGTCACCAGATGGGAGGAGAGTAAACCACAATGACTATATTTTAGTGAATGGAAAGATCAGAACCATCTTAGAGACCAGAGTAATGAGAGGAGCAGACGTATACAGTGACCATTACCTTGTGAGAACCAGAATAAGTCTAAAGTTGGTAATGCCTGAGGGAAGAAAGAATGTAAGGTAAAGGTTTGACCTAAATAAACTGCACAGGGAAGAGATCAGGCAGCAATAGAACATTGAGTTGAGGAATAGGATTGAAGCTTTAGCAAACATATAGGATCTGGAGGCAGGACACGACGTGATTTTGTCAACATACAGAAACTTGCTAAATCATGAATATGAAACAATTTTACAAAACATGGGAAAAGATCAAGGAGAGGAAAGAGGCAAAATTGAAATTGGAGGGCACAAGATCGGAACGACTGAAACAGGGATGAAGATTGAAGTATAATGCGAAAAACAATGAAGTGAAACGTAGTGCTAGGGAAGATTGGAGAAATTGGTTAGAGAAGAGGGCTGCAGCAGCGGAAAAGGCTGCTGCGAAAGGTAGGAACTATTCAAGGAGCTGTTCAGCTTTACCAAGTCAATAACAGGAGAATGACAGAGAGAAGAAGTAGGTGTTAAAGCAAAAAAGGGATGCTTAGGACTGGAACACGAGAAAGACTACAGAGATGGGTGGAGCACTTTAGTGAAATATTAAACAGAGATGACCCAACAAATCCTGTCAAATCCTGTGAAAGAAGATAAGAGAGTAGAATCAGAAGAGATTGAGGAAATAGATCTAGGAAGATCGCGATAACAAGAGGTTAACGATGTAATGAAAGGGACAAAGCCAGGGAAAGTGGCTGGAGTAGATGAGGTGTGTCCGGAGTACTTAAGAACTAAAATTGAAGACACTGCAAGTAGGCTAACTAGATGTTACAACAGGCTTTGGGAAAATGAGAGGTGGCCGAAAGTGTACAAGAAGGGACTTGTTGTCAAGGTATTCAAGAAAGGTGATTTGCACGAATGTAACAACGGAAGAGGAGTGACTTCACTACCCGCCATTAGTAAGATATTCCTGAGGACGCTGTTAGGTGGATCAAGAAAGGGATAGACAAGAAACTTCGAAAGGAGCAGGCTGGGTTTCCACCCAAGAGAAGTACAACTGAAAAGATCTTTATACTTAAAAACATCTTAGAGCAGGCAAATGAGTCGAGGGCGTGTCTGCATACGCACTTTCTGGACTTCGACAAAGCCTTTGACTATGTACACATAGAAAGCCTATGGAATATCATGAGAAGTAATGGGATACCAGACAAGATGGTGAGAGTGATAGTAGGCATTCGCATGGGTTTGAGTGTGCAGTCGTTGACAGGAGTGTGACATCATACTGGCTCACGATCAAGTATGGAGTTAAAATGGGGTGCGTGATGTCAGGATTCCTATTCTTACTGTCTTGGACTGGGTCATGAGAAAGGCAAAGCAGATAGGAGGGATAAGGTGGAATCTGACAACAGTGCTGGAGGACCTTGAGAATTCGCAGATGACATTGCACCACTGTCATCTACGTTCAATGAATGCACGAGAAGACTGGGAGATTGGCGGAGGAAGCAGCCAGAGTAGCATGCAAACTTGATGCGAGAAAGGGCAAGACGCTAAGGGCTGATTGTGCTAGAAGCAGGGAGAACATTGTGGTTGATGGTGAAGAAGTGGAAGACGTTGAGGACTTTTACAGACCTGAGTGCTATTGTCGACAAGGAGGGTGGAGGTAGCAGAGGCACATGGTGCATTATAGGGACTAAAGAAGGCCTGAGCAAATAGAGGAATAGGAAGGAGAGCCAAGATACACCTGTTCAAAACTTAAGTTCGACCGGTCCTGCTAAATGGCTGAGAATCTTGGAAGATCACCAAGAACGATAGTGCCGAGACAGATAGTGCAGATTAGATGGCAGCAGAGAATAACAAACAAAAAGAGTGGTTGAGTTGGCAGAGACCAATGCCACAAGTTGTAAATTATGACGATGAAACTGGAACTGGCTATGTCACATACTTAGACGAGGGGCCGTGAATGACTACTTTACAGCATTAGGGTGAACACCATAAGGTCGGAGGGCGAGAGGAAGTCCAAAAACTACCTGGAGAAGGGCTGTTCAGAAAGAGCGAAACAAAACAGGGTGGAAGAGTTGGGAAGTAGCCAAAGTGGTAGCACGAGACTGAAAGTCTTAGACAGCAGGGAGGCCTTATGTGCCTATTGGCGCGATGATACATGATGATAATGATGCCGTTTTTATCGACTTAACAAAGGCTTTTGATAAAGTGTTTCATGAGGGCCTATGAAAAGTGCTCGGAAAGTGTTAATGTCCTTCGAAATTTATCAATCTGGTGAAGGCACTGCACGACAAAATGCAAGTAGATGTGGCTCAAGGAAACTACATCTTCAAGGAATTTGCCGTCACCAGTGATGTGAAACAAGGAAGTGTGCTTGCTCCGACACTGTTCTCTCCCTCTCTACCGAACAATGCTAGAAGTAGCCTTTGAAAGCGTTGGGAACAGTATCTACATCCAAACTCATACTAATCCTGACCTGTTTAATGTCGCCGTTTTCAGAGCAAAAACACGCACAACCCAGATCCTGGTGAGGGAAATCCTGTTTGTAGGTGATAGTGCTATAGTTGCCCAAAGTGTTGGTGACATTCAGAGTCTGGTGGACAGGATCGCTAGAGCTGCCTCCAAATTTGGCCTCAAGATCAACATCAAGAAAACTGAGTACTTAACCAGGCAATGCAACACCTACATCCAGCTGCTGACCCAACAACCATAACTATCAATCAAGAGGCCCTTGTACAGTGCACCCACTTCAAATACCTAGGAAACACTGTCTCCAACTACGCTAGCCTAGACAGTGAACTCAGAAACAGGGCTGGAAATGCAAGTGCTACTTTTGTAACACTACATGACGGAAATGCCAATGGAGAGGTCATGTGACATTTGTACTACAAGTGTGTTAATCACAACAGGAACAATCTTCCCTCAAAAAGACATCTTTAAGCTGACCTATAGGTCACCAGATGGGAGGAGAGTAAAGCAGATTGACTATATTTTAGTGAATGGAAAGATGAGTAATGAGAGGAGCAGACGTATACAGTGACCATTACCTTGTGAGAACCAGAATAAGTGTAAAGTTGGCAAGGCCTGAGAGAAGAAAGAATGTAAGGTAAAGGTTTGACCTAAGTAAACTGCACAGTGAAGAGATCAGTTAAGGATAGACCATTGAGTTGAGGAATAGGATTGAAGCTTTAGGAGACATAGAGGATCCGGAGGCAGGGCATGATGTGATTTTTTCAACATACAGAAACTTGCTAAGCCAACATACACAAACTTGCTAAGCCATGAATATAAAACAATTTTACAAAACATGGGAAAAAATCAAGGAGAGAAAAGAGGCAAAACGGAAAATGGAGGGCGCAAGATCGGAACGACTGAAACAGGGATGAAGACGGAAGTATAATGCGAAAAACAATGAAGTGAAATGTAGTGCTAGGGAAGATTGGAGAAATTGGTTAGAGAAGAGGGCTGCAGCAGCGGAAAAGGCTGCTGCGAAAGGAAGGAACTATTCAAGGAGCTGTTCAGCTTTACCAAGTCGATAACAGGAGAATGGCAGAGACAAGAAGAAGGTGTTAAAGCCGAAAAAGGGGTGCTTAGGACTGAAACACGAGAAAGACTACAGAGATGGGTGGAGCACTTTAGTGAAATATTAAACAGAGATGACCCAACAAATCCTGTGAAAGACGATAAGACAGTAGAATTAGAAGAGACTGAGGAAATAGATCTAGGAAGATTGCAATAACAAGAGGTCAAGGATGTAATGAAAGGGACAAAGCCAGGGAAAGTGGCTGGAGTAGATGAGGTGTGTCCGGAGTAATTGAGAGCTGACATTGAAGACACTGCAAGTACGCTGACTTGGTTTTACAACAGGCTTTAAAAAAATGAGAGGTGGCCAAACGTGTGGAAGAAGGGAGTTGTTGTCGAGGAATTAAAGAAAAGTGATTTGCACAAATGTAACAACGGAAAGGTCGCTATTAGGCGGACCAAGAAAGGCATAGACAAGAAAGTTCGAGAGGAGCAGGCTGCGTTTCCACCGAAGAGAAGTACAACTGAACAGATCTTTATACTTGGAAACATCTTAGAGCAGGCAAATGAGTGGAGGGCAGGTCTGTATGCACAATTTGTGGACTTTGATTCTCGAAACAGAGAAAGTCCATTGAATATCATGAGAAGTTATGGGACACCAAACAAGATGGCTTTTGATACACTGTCTCATGAGGGCCTGAAAGTGCTCGGAAAGTAACAATGTCCTTCTAAATTTATCAATCCGGTGAAGGCACTACCTACGAAATACAAGCACATGTGGCTCAAGGAAACCATATCTCCAAAGAATTTGTAGTCACCAATGATGTCAAGCAAGATAGTGTGCTTGCTGCAACACTGTTCTCTCTCTAAATAACCGCAATGCTAGAAGCAACCTTTCATGGTGTTGGGGACGGTATCTACATCCAAACTCACACTGATGCTTATACCTACCAATGCAAAACCTACATCAGTTCCTGAGCCAACAAACACAACCATCAATCAAGAGGCCTTGGTGCGGTTGTTCTACTTCAAATACCTAGGAAGCACTATCTGCAACATCGCCAACTTAGACAGTGAACTCAGATACAGGGTGGGAAATGCAAGTGCTGCTTTTGGAAAACTGCATGACAGCAAAAGGAAAACCAACACGTGACTAAAACAAAGTCAACTGCAAGGTCTATCAAGCCATTGTCCCTTCTTCACTCTTGTCACTCCTGTATGGTTCTGAAACATAGACTATATATCAGAGTCAAGTGAAGAAGATCCTTGCTTACATGATGAGGCGTCTAACAGTCAAAATGAACGTACCCTAGAAGAAAAAGATCACGAATGTGGAAATTATCTGCCGCACAGTACTAACATCAATGACAATGTTCTCAGCGAGAAAAATCTCAGATGGCTTGGTAAGTGCATAGAATGGTTAACAACAGACTATCAAAACAGCTGTAGAACTCTTAACTCTGTTTGGGAATGAGCGATCAAGGGAAACCTTGTTTAGGGTTCAAAGGTGTTCCAAAGAGAAACATGAAATGAAGAGACATCAATCTTCACCGACAACAGGAGGGTGTCAACGATAGACCTACCTGGAAAAGAACTATAAAACATTCGTAATTCCAATTTTTTGAGTGATGACATCCGGCATTCAGATGCTTGGAGTGATGAAATTCGGAATTCAAATTTTTGGGGTGATGACATTCGGAATTCAAATGTTTGGAGTGATGACATCGGAATTCAAATGTTTGGAAAGATGACATTTGCAATTCAAATGCGTGAAATGATGATATTCGGAATTTAAATGTTTGGACGGATGACATTCAGCAGTAAAATGCTTGGACAGAAGACATTCGGAATTTAAACGCTTGTAGTGACAACATTCAGAATTCAAATGTTTGGAAGGATGACACCGGAATTCAAATGTTTGAAATGATGACTTTCGGAATTCAAATCTTTGGAGTGATAACATTCGAAATTCAAATATTTGGAAAGATGAAGTTGGGAATTCAAATCTTTTGAGTGATGACATTCGGAATTCAAATGTTTGGAGTAATGACATTCGGAATTCAAATGTTTGGAATGAAGACATTCGAAATTCAAATGCTTAAAATGATGACAGTTGAAATTCAAATATTTGGAATGGTAACATTCAAAATTAAAATTTTTGGAGTGGTGAAATTCACAATTCCAATGTTTGGAATAATCCCATTCGGAAATCACATGGTTGAAATAATGATATTTGGAATTCAAATGTTTGGAGCGATGACATTCGAAATTCACATGTTTGGAGTAAAAACACTCGCAATTCATATGCTTGGAGTGCTGACATTCGGAATTAAAAAGTTTTGAAAAGTAAGGTCAGAATTCCAATGTTTGGAGGGATAGGGCCAGAATTCTAATATTTGGGAAGATAAGCACAGAATACCAATGTTTTGAAAGAGAAGGCCAGAATTCCAATGTTTGGAAAGGGAAGACCAGAATTGTAATGTTTGGAAAGATAACGCCAAAATTCCAATGTTTGGAAGGATAAGGTCAGAATTCCAGTGTTTGGGGGGATAAGGTCAGCAATCCAATCTTTGAAAGGATACGGTCAGAATTCTAATGTTTGGAAAGATAAGGCCAGAATTCCAATGTTTGGAAAGATAAGGCCAGACTTCTAATGTTTGGAAAGATAAGGTCAGAATTCCAACGTTTAAAAGGATAAGGTCAAAATTAAAAATGTTTCGAAGGATAAGGTTAGAATTCCAATGTTTGGAGGGATAAGGTCAGAATTCCAATGTTTAGAAGTATAGGCCAGAATTCTAATGTTTGGAAAGCTAAGGACAGAATTCCAATGTTTGGAGGGATAAGGACAGAATTCTCATGTTTGAAAAGATAAGGTCAGAATTCCAATCTTTGAAGGGATAAGGCCAGAATTCTAATGTAAAGGCACTCGTCACTTAATGACACTCAGAATTCATATGCTTGGAGTCCTGACATTCGGAATTAAAATGTTTCGAAAAGTAAGGTCAGAATACCAATGTTTGGAAAGATCAGGCCCGAATTCCAATGTTTCAAAAGATAAGCGCACAATTCCAATGTTTGGAAAGATAAGGCCAGAATTCTAATGTTTGGAAAGATAAGACCAGAATTCCAATGTTTGAAACGATAAGGTCAGAATTCCAATGTTTGAAAAGATAAGGTCAGAATTCCAATGTTTGGAGGGATAACGTCACAATTCTAATGTTTGGACAGATAAGGCAACGTTCAAGTGTTTCGAAGGATAAAGTAAGTATTTCATCGTATAGAAAGATAAGGTCAGAATTCAAATGTTTGGAAAGATAAGGTCAGAATTCAGATGTTTCGACAGTAAAGGCCAGAATTCTAATCTTTGGAAAACTAAAACCAGAATTGCAATCTTTCACAGCTAAGGCCAGAATTCTATTGTTTGCAAGGATAACGTCAGATTTCTAATCTTTGGATAGAAAAGGTGAAAATTTAAAAACTTGGAAAGATAAGGTCTGAATTCCAATGTTTGGATTGATAAGATCAAAATTCAAATGTTTGGAGAAATAAGGCAGGAACTCCAATGTTTGGAAAGATAGCGTCAGAATTCCAATGTTTCGACAGATAAGGTAAGATTTCCAATGTCTGTAAGGATAAGATCAGAATTTAAATAATTGGAAAGATAAGATGACAAGTCCAATGTTTGGACAGATAAGGCAATAATTCCAATGTTTAGAAAGATAAAATGAGAATTCCACTGTTTAGACAGATAAGTAGAGAATTCCAGTGTTTCGAAGGATGAGGTCAGAGTTCCAGTGTTTGGACGGATAAGATCAGAATTCAAATGTTAGGACAAATAAAGCCGGAATTCCAATGCTTGGAAGGATAAGGTCAGAATTCAAATGTTTGGAAGGAAAAGGTCAGAATTCAAATGTTTGGAAAGATAAGGTCAGAATTCCAATGTCTGGACAGATAAGGACAAAATTCCAATGTTTGGAAAGATAAAATAAAAATTCCAATGTGTTGACGGATGAGATAAGAATCCAATGTTTGGAAAGGTAAGGACAGAATTCTAATGTTTGCACAGACAGGGTACGATTTCCAATGTTTGGAAGGATAAGGACAAAGCCCCAATGTTCAGAAAGATAAGGTCTGAATTCCGTTGTTTGCACAGGTAAAGCCAGAAGTCCAGTGCTTGAAAGGATGAGGTTAGAATTCCAGTCTTTGGACAGATAAGGTCAGAATTCCAGTCTTTGGACGGATAAGGGCAGAATTCTAATGTTTACAACGATAGCACCAGAATTTCAATCTTTGAATGGATAAGGCCAGAATTCCAATGTTTGGAAAGATAAGCTCAGAATTACAATATTTGGACAGCTAAGGCCAGAATTCCAATGTTTGGAAAGATAAAATCAGAATTCCAATGCTTTGAAGGGTAAGGCCAGAATTCTAATGTTTCGAGGGATAAGACAAGAAATCCACTGTTTGTAAGGAGAAGGCGAGAATTCCAGTATTTGGAAGGATAAGGTCAAAATTCTAATGTTTCGACGGATAAGTTCAGAATTCCAGTGTTTCGACAGACAAGACCAGAATTCCAGTGTTTGGAAGGATGAGATCACAATTCTAATGTTAGGAGAAATAAGGCCAAAATTCCAATCTTTTGAAGGATAAGGTGAGAATTCGAATGTTTGGAAAAATAACGGTCGGAATTCCAGTGTTTTAAAAGATAAGGTCAGAATTCCAATGTTTGGACGGATAAGATCAGAATTCCACCGTGTGGAAAGAAAAGGACTGAATTCCAATGTTTGGAAGGATAAGGTCAGAATTCTAATGTTTGGACGGATAAGATCAGAATTTCAATGTCTGGGCACCTAAGGCCACATTTTTAATGTGTGAAAGGATAAGGTCAGAGTTCCAATGTTTCAAAGGCTAAAGCCAGAATTCCAGTGCTTAGAAGGATAAGAAGAGAAATCCAAGCTTTGAATGGATAAGCCCAGAATTCCAATGTTTGGAAACATAAATTCAGAATTCCAATGTTTGGACAGATAAGGCCAAAAATATCAATGTATGGAAAGATAAGGTCAGAATCCCAATGTTTGCACAGATAAGGTCAGAATTCCAATGTTTGGATTGATAAGGTAAGAATTCAAAGGTTTTGAAAGATAAGCTTAAAATTCCACTGTTTGCAAAGATAAGGTCAGAATTTCAATGTTTGGACGGATAGGTTCACAATATCAATGTTAGGACAGATAAGACCAGAATTCCAATCTCTGGAAGGATAAGGTCAGAATTCTAATGTTTGGACGGATAAGGTCAGAATTTCAATGTTTGGACAGACAAGGCCAGAATTCCAATGTTTTGAAGGATAAGATCAGAATTCTAATTTTAGGAGAAATAAGGCCAGAATTCCAGTGTTTTGAAGGATAAGGTCAGAATTCCAATGTTTGGACGGATAAGATCAGAATTTCAATGTCTGGGCACATAAGGCCACATTTTTAATGTGTAAAAGGATAAGGTCAGAGTTCCAATGTTTCAAAGGATAAAGGCAGAATTCCAGTGCTTGGAAGGAACGGATGAACGGATAAGCCCAGAATTCCAATGTTTGGAAACATAAATTCAGCATTCCAGTCTTCGGACAGATAAGGCCAAAATATCAATGTATGGAAGGATAATGTCAGAATCCCAATGTTTGGACAGATAAGGTCAGAATACCAATGTTTGGATTGATAAGGTAAAAATTTAAAGGTTTTGAAAGATTAGGTTAGAATTCCAATATTTGCAAAGATAAGGTCAGAATTCCAATGTTTGGACGGATAAGTTCAGAATATCAATGTTAGGACAGAGAAGGCCAGAATTTCAATGTTTGGAAGGATAAGGTTAGAATTCCAATGTTTGGACAGTTAAGGCCAGAATTCTAATGTTGGAAAGATAAAATAAGAATTCCATTGTTTGGACAGATAAGGCCAGAATTCCAGTAGTTGGAAGGATAAGGTCAGAATGCTAATGTTTGGACGGATAAGGTAAAAATTCCAAGGTGCAAAAAGATAAGGTCTGAATTCCAATGTTTGGAAAGGTAAGGTAAGAATTTCAATGTTAGGACAAATAGAGGAAGAATTTCAATCTTTGGAAGGATAAGGTCAGAATTCCAATGTTTGGACAGAGGAGGCAATACTCAGTGTCTCAGTATTTTCTAACAATTCAAGTTTGTTCACTTTTCACGTGTCGAAATCGGGCTCGCCTCTTTTCACTTCTACATTATGAGCATTAACAGACTGACTAACAGAAAGATTCGTGGAAAAAGGAAAAAGGCAAATATCCTGATGAGAAATTTGCTAAAGGATGAAAAACTCTTGGAAAAAAGTACTTACACAAGCGTGAATTTTCTCCGGGTCTTCGGTTTTTATATCTCATTATTCTTCTCTTCATGTCAACTGCTAGCTCAAACTGAATTTTAAACATCACACTTGAATGCGAAAGTACCCGTCAGGGAATTTAGGGGATGCGTTGCTATTGGCAACCGATTTCGTTTAGGTTCACACAATGTTCTTTAAAGTTCATCCCTATTCATCATTTACTCCTTCTAATTAGCACAACTTGGTCACTGGTCCTTTAAGTTTAAGTGTTGCTCCCTTTGCCCACACTTTCACAGTCCTCATCAATCCATCCGCTCCGGGAAACAAGTTTTTGAGTTGTCCCAAGGCCTACTGGTTCCTTGCCATGTTATCATCAGCCACCGGAACAATGTCTCAGACGTGAAGGCTCCCTTTTCCCTGTTGCCACTTTGGTCTCTCCTGCAAAGTTGGTACGTACTCTTTAAGCCAGTGTCTCCAATAGTGATTGGCAAGCAATTGTGCTTGCTGCCACCTTTTTTGCTTAGGTGATCAGCTTCTTCCGGTGTGAGCTTACAGGTATAACCCTTGCCAATGTATTCCTTCATCACCGCACAGTATCTCTGCTTGAAATCCAGGTCTCTAGAGACTCTCCTTTTCAGGCTGCACTTTCTCCTCTTTGCTTCACAATGGTTGTTGGGTAACCAGACATCTTCATTACGCCACAACAGACATGTCTCAAAACGCCCGTCAGACAACCTAGTGGTGCTTTGCAAAGTTTCAACTGTGCGCATATCTTCCATGGACCAGTTATGCGGTGTTGATAGCCTGTTAACTTGTTCGCCCTCTCAACTTCAGGGGGCACCTTGCCTACCAAAGGCTTCTAACTTCCAGAAAGCTTCAACTGATTCACACAGTTTCTTTTTGCAGTTTGTAAAGTTCACACTGATCTCCTTGGAGGTAGGGTGTCCCGCAACCACTCCAGTTACAACTCACCCCAGAGGGTCTCGCAACGTCTTCAGACGCTTGTCAGGTGAGTTAGGCTTTCGGACTTCGAGCACCTCACGAGCATAATCTACATCCTTTCCTATGAGAACGGAGACAGCCTTGACCTGTACCTCGGGAATATCTATATCTTTCAGGTGGGGGTAGCAACTGTTATCAATTTCCTCAGGAAGAGACCTTTCTGGTATACTGAACTTTTTCTGACACTAACTCCTCTTCCACCTTGATAATTTCTCCTGTCCCTGTAGCTGACTGCATCTTGAAGCGCACCAACTGGAAATGTTACGTCGTTTTCTCCACAACAGTGTTCACCCACACAAGCTGTAGCAGTCCTTTTAAACCCAGACTGTTCACTTGACTGTTATCTTTCTGATAATAGTTCCTCGAGAAGCATCGTCTAGTAATGCGTAAGTTGTTAGTGAAGAACCACTCGGCGCTATTACTTTAACTTGCACAACGTGCAGTAAAACAGTTCTTGAAGGAGCTTCTGTGATGGTTGCGTACTGTTCCATCGCTCTTGGATTTTGAGGAAATTGCATTCCTTGATCCTTGTACTGGATGTCGGCCTGTGCTGCCTGTATCTCCCTTTGTCTGTCCAGATGGGGATCCTGTGCAGTAATAGCGTCTCTTAGTCTAAACGGATTATGCAACAATCTGTGGTGTCACCTGTCACTTCCAGAACTGCAAAAGATTCTCGATTCACACCAACCTCGCATATGACCCGATTTCAAACAGACATGCAACAATTTGCTCCGCTTAACTATATCCAACCGAGCTTGAATTTCATCAGATATAAATTGCGGACACTCAGCAAGCTCATGGTCCTTAGAGCAGCGCAAGCATCGCCTAAGGTTGCGTTTCTCAGGGTTCTGATAATTAACGCTTAAGCTTCTGGCTTTGAGGTCTGTATGAAACGTGTTACTGTGCCCTCTTGAATTCGAAGTCGGCCCCTTGATACTCATTCCGTTTTGCCTCTCCGGCTTCTTTTCAGCGGCAAATCACGGATCATTCTTAATTGCCGCCTGACAAACTTTGAAAGATCTGACAGCCATGGGATTCTTCCCTTTTCCCGAATGCTGTATAAAACTTTTCCGCGTTTATTTACTAGATAGTTCGGTAAGAGCGTAACTATTTGTCTCCTTTTCGCCATTGTACTAGCTTCTACTTCATAATGCCTGGAAAGTTTCTTTGAGGCAGCCTCGCGTTGCTCAGCGAAATTAAGTAAACCAGTAAAGTCATTATTCTGCAGCTTCGGCCCCTTTGTCAAACTTTCTCTTCACGTGGCAGGGACAGCGGCTGGCTGACCATAGCGCTCGTGTAACATTCTTAGGACTGAATCGTAAGAACATCCCGAGACTCTCTCGAGTACTTTATATGCTTTGCCGGACAAAAACGTGGGAAGAAATTCTAATTTCTGACTATCATTCAAGATTCCATCCTCGAAATTGTCTCGAAGTCTGTTTCTGAAGGTTGGGTAATCACTTGGGTTTCTTGAGAATTTAATAGGGTGCATTCCCTGAAGCATTGTTAGCTTTAGCAGGATAGCTGAAGTCTAGTTACCCTCAACAATGAGCTTGTCCCTTTGAGCTTCATTCTTAGGCATCTTGCACCCCTCCCCTAGTGGTTCTTTTTTCCCGCCCTGCTCAGGGGTCGTGTTTGGGCTTTTTATTTTTATTGGCACAGCTCGCTCTCCATTTTTCAATTTTTTCTTCATCACTCATTGTCGGTAGAAACTCAAAACCACTTTTACTCCCCAGACCGCGTTGGCTGCTGCTATCGCTCCTATCATCTTCTAAAAGCTGGGTCTCTTTCTCGGCTATTTGCATCGGAAATTTTAGTTCGCATGCTCTTTTCTTCTATTCAAATTCCAGTTCAATTTTCTTTCTCTCCATCTCAAGTTCAAATTGTCCCAGTTCTTGCTCTTGCTCTGATATTAACTTTTTCATTTCGATATCCCCTCTTAAATCTTTTAATCTTGATCGTTTCAAAGAAGGTGGTGATTTAACTGACTTTCCTTTAGTGCTCGTTTTCTTCATTTGCATTAAACAATCATTAATAATGTGCATTCTTCATACTGAACTACTATTTCTGTGTACCTGTCTTTCACACGATAAAGTTCACCTTCTGGCAAGTTCTTCACGATATAATTCTCATAAATTCCTTTTGAACACTCTCTAAGTCGCCAATTCTCTTATCCGCGACGCACGTATTTGCGTCCCTTATCCACGTGCTCACTCGAAAAGCTTCAACTAATTCACACAGTTTCTTTTTGCAGTTTGTAAAGTTCACACTGATCTCCTTGGAGGTAGGGTGTCCCGCAACCACTCCAGTTACAACTCACCCAGAGGGCCTCGTACCGTCTTCAGATGGTTGTCAGGTGAGCTAGGCTTTTGGACTTCGAACACCTCATGAGCATAATCTACATCCTTTCCTATGAGAACGGAGAAAGCTTGTCCTGAACCTCGGGAATATCTATCTTTCAGGTGGGGATAGCAACTGTTATCAATGTCCTCAGGAAGACACCTTTCTGGTATATTGAACTTTTCTGACACTAGCCCCTCTTCCACTTTGATAATTTCTCCTGTCCCTGTAGCTGACTGCAACTCTACGCGCACCAACTGGAAAGGGTAGCTCGTTTTCTCTACAACAGTGTTCACGCACACAAGCTGTAGCAGTCCTTTTAAACCCAGACTGTTTGTTTGACTGTTATCTTGCTGATAATAGTTCCTCGAGAGGCATTGTCTAGTAATGCGTAAGTTGTTAGTGAAGAACCACTCGGCACTATTATTTTAACTTGCACAACGCGCAGTAAAACAGTTCTTGAACGAGCTTCTGTGATGGTTGCGTACTGTTCCATTGCTCTTGGATTTTGAGGAAATTGCGTTCCTTGATCCTTGTACTGGATGTCGGCCTGTGCTGCCTGTATCTCCCTTTGTCTGTCCAGATGGGGATCCTGTCACTTCCAGAACTGCAAAAGATTCTCGATTCACACCGACCTCGCATATGACCCGATTTCAAACAGACATGCAACAATTTGTTCCGCTTAACTATATCCAACCGAGCTAGAATTTCATCAGATATAAATTGCTCACACTCAGCAAGCTCATGGTCCTTAGAGCAGCGTAGGCGTCTTGCACCCCTCCCCTAGTGGTTCTTTTTTCCCGCCCTGCTCAGGGTCGTGTTTGGGCTTTTTATTCTTATTGGCACCGCTCAAGTTCGCCCTCTGGCAAGTTCTTCACGATAATTCTCATAAATTCCTTTCGAACACTCTCTAAGTCGCCGACTGTCTTATCCGCGATGCACGCATTTGCGTTCCTCATCCATGAGTTCATTTGACCGAGCAAGCCAGCAAGGGATTTCTATCAATCTTCAAATTCCTTGGCTGATTCTTCCATATTTTCGTCACAGGCAGGACCTTCAGGATCTTTCTCCTGTTCCACTAGTCGAATAATGTTGTCATCATTTCGCTGCTCTTGAAGATTCATTTGATACTCAGTGTCTCAGTATTTTCTAACGATTTAAGTTTATTCACCATTCACGCATCACAATCGGGCTACCTCTTTTCACTTCTACATTACAAGCATTAACAGAATGATTAACAGGATGATTCGTTGAAAAAGGAAAAACGCCAAATATCCTAATGAGAAATTCGCAACAAGATGAAAAACACGTGGAAAAAAACTACTTACACTAGCGTGAATTGTCTCTGGGTCTTCGGTTTCTATATCTCAATTCTTCTCTTCCTGTCAACTGAAAGCTCAAACTGAATTTTAAACATTGTGCTCGAATGCAAAAGTACCCTTCAGGGAATTTAGAGGACGCGTTGCTATCGGCAACAGCTTTAATATATAACAGTCAGAATTCCATTGTTTGGAAGGGAAAAACCAGAATTCCAATGTTTGGAAGGATAAGGCCATAATGCCAATGTTTGGAAAGATAAGATCAGAATTCCAGAGTTTGGACAGATAAGGCCAAAATTCCAGTGTTTGGAAGGATAAGGTCAGAATTCTAATGTTTCGACATATACGGCCAGAATTCCAATATATTTGGAAGGATAAGGTCAGAATTCCAATCTTTGGACGGATAAGATCAAAATTCAAATCGTAGGACAAATAAAGCCGGAATTCCAGTGCTTGGAAGGATAAGGTCAGAATTCCAATTTTTGGAAAGATAAGGTCAGAATTCCAATGTCTAGACACATAAGGCCAGAATTCCAATTTTTGGAAAGACAAAAAAACTAATTCCAATGTGTTGATGGATATGATAATGTTTGGAAAGGTAATGTCAGAATTCCAATATTTGCACAGATAGGGTAAGATTTCCTATGTTTGGAAGGATGAGGAGAGAATTCCTATGTTTAGAAAGATAAGGTCAGAATTCCGATGTTTGGATAGGTAAAGCCAGAAGTCCAATGCTTGAAAGAATAAGGTTAGAATTCCAATCTTTGGACGGAAAAGGTCAGAATTCTAATGTTTACAAGGATAAGACCACAAATCCAATCTTTAGAATTCCAATGTTTGGAAGGATAAGGTTAGAATTCCAATGTTTGAACGGATAAGTTCAGAATACTTACTTACTGGACAGATAAGGCCAGAATTCCAGTGGTTGGAAGGATAAGGTCAAAATTTCAATGTTTGGAAAGAAAAGGTCAGAATTCCAAACTTTAGACAGTTAAGGCCAGAATTCTAATGTTTGGAAAGATAAAGTGAGAATTCCATGGTTTGGACAGATAAGGCCAGAATTCCAGTGCTTGGGACGATAAGGTCAGAATTCCAATGTTTGGAAAGATAAGGTCAGAACTCCAATGTTTGCACGGATCAGGTACAAAGTCTCCAAGGTGTGCAAAGATAAGGACTGAATTCCAATGTTTGGAAAGATAAAGTAAGATTTCTAATGTTTGGAGGGATAAGGTCAGAATTCCAGTGTTTGGAAAGATAACGTTAGAATTCCAATGTTTGGACAGATAGGGAAAGATTTCATATGTTTGGAAGGATATGGTCAGTATTTCAATGTTTGGACAGATAAGATCAGAATACCAATGTTAGGACAGAGGAGGTACGATTTCCAATGTCTGGAAGGATAAGGCGAGAATTCCAGTATTTGGTAAGATACGGTGAGAATTCCAGTGTTTGGAAGGATAAGGCCAGAATTCCAATGTTTGGAAAGATAAACTCAGAATTGCAATGTTTGGAAAGATAAAACTAGAATTTGAATGTTTGGGCCGATAATGTTAGAATTCCAATCTTTGGAGAGATAAAGTCAGAATTTAAGTGCTTGGACAGATACGGCCAGAATTCTAATTTTTGGAAGGATAAGGTCAGAATTCCAATGTTTGGACAAATAAGACGAGAATTGCAATGTTTGGAGGGATAAGGCCAGAATTGTAATGTTTAGACGGATACCGTCAGAACTCCAACGTTTGGACAGATAAGCCCAGAATTCCAAGGTCTGGAAGGATAAGATCAAAGTTCCAATGTTTGGAAGGATAAGGTTAGAATTCCAATGTTTGGAAAGATAAGGTCATAATTCCAATGTTTGGACAGATGAAGTAAGATTTCTAAAGTTTGGAAAGATATGGTCAGAATTCCAATGTTTGGACAGATAAAGTAAGATTTCCAATGTTTGGAAGGTTAAGGTCAGAATTCCAGTGTTTTGGAAGATAAGGTTAGAATTCCAATGTTTGGACCGATAGGGTAAGATTTCCAGTGTTTGGAAGGATACGCTCAGAATTTCAATGTTTGGGCGGATAAGATCAGAATACCAATGTTAGGACAGATGAAGCCAGAATTCCTATGTTCAAAAAGATAAGGTTAAAATACCAATGTGTGGAAAGATATGGTCAAAATTCTATTGTATGGACAGAAAAGGTAAGATTTCAAATGTTTGGAAGGAAAACAACAGAATTTCACTGTTTGGAAAGATAAGGTCAGAATTCCAATTTTTGAACAGTAAAGGAGGGAATTCTAATGGTTAGAAATATAAAATGAGAATTCCAATGCTTAGACCGATAACACAAGAATTCCAGTAATTGAAAGGATAAGATAAGAATTCTAATGTTTGGAAAGATAAGGCCAGAATTCCAATATTTGGAAAGATAAGGTCAGAATTCCAAGGTTTGGACGGATAAGATAAGAATTCCGACGTGTGGAAAGATAAGGACTGAATTCCAGTGTTTAGAAATATAAGGTCACAATTCCATTGTTTGGAAGGATAAGGTCAGAATTCCAATGTTTGGACAGATAAGGCCAAAATTCCAGTAATTGGAAAGAGAAAATCAGAATTCCAGTGTTTTGACGGATAAGGTAACAATTCCAGTGTTTTCGCAGATAAGGTAAGATTTCAAATGTATAGCAAATTAAAATCAGAATTCCAATTTTTGGCAAGATAAGGTCAGAATTCTAATGTTGGGACAGATACGGCCAGAATTCCAATGTTTGGATGCACAGGGTCAGAATTCCAATGTTTGGAAAGATAAGGCCACAATTCCAGTGTTTGGAAGGATAAGGCCAAAATCCTAATATTTGGACGGATATGGTCAGAATTCCAGTGTTCAGACAGATAAGATTAGAATTCCAATGTTTCGAAGGATAAGGTCAGAATTTTAAGGTTTGGACAGACAAGGTAATAATTCTAATGTTTGGACAGCTAACGCCAGAATACAAATGTTTGGAAAGATAAAATCAAAATTATAATGTTTGGACAGATAACGCAAGAATTCCAGTATTTGGAAGGATAAGATCAGAATTCCAATGTTTGGAAGGATAAGGTTAGAATACCAATGTTTGGAAAGATAAGGTCAGAATTCCAATGTTTAGACAGATAAGGAAAGATTTCTAGTGTTTGGAAGGATAAGGTTAGAATTCCAGTCTTTGGAAAGACGAGGTTAGAGTTTCAATGTTTGGAAAGATAAGGTCAGAGTTCCAATGTTCAGACGGATAAGATTAGAATTCCAAAGTAAGGGCAGATAAAGCCAGAATTCCAATGTTTGGAAAGATATGGTTCGAAAACCAATGTGTGGAAAGATAGGTCAGAATTCCAGTGTCTCGACGGATAAGGTAACATTTCCAGCGTTTGGAAGAATAAGGTCAGAACTCCAATTTTTGGAAAGATAAGGTCAGAATTAAGGTTTGGAAACATAAAATCAGAATTCCAATGTTTAGACCGATAAGGCAACAATTCCAGTATTTGGAAGGATAAGGTCACAATCCCAAAGTTTGGACGCTTAAGGTAAGAATTCCAAGGTGTGGAAAGATAAAAACTGAATTTCAATGTTTGGAAATGTAAGGTCAGAATTCCAGTGTTTGGAAGGATAATGTCAGAATTCCAATTTTTGGACGGATAAGATAAGAATTGCAATGTTTGGAACGATAAAATCAGAATTCCAATGTTTGGAAAGATAAGGTCAGAATTCCAATGTTTGCACAGATAAGGTAAGATTTCCAATGTTCGGAAAGATAAGGTCAGAATTCCAGTGTTTGGAAGGATAGGACCAGAATTCCAATGTTTGGAGGGATAAGGTCAGAACTCCATTGTTTGGAAGGATAAGGTAAGATTTCCAATGTTCGGAAAGATAAGGTCAGAATTCCAATGTTTGGAAGGATAGGACCAGAATTCCAATGTTTGGAGGGATAAGGTCAGAACTCCATTGTTTGGAAGGATAAGGCCTGAATTTCAATGTTTGGACAGATAGGGGAAGAATTCTTATGTTTGGAGAAATAACGTCAGCATTTCCATCTTTGGGAAGATAACATCAGAATTCCAATGTTTGAAAGGATAAGATCACAATACCATTATTTGGACAGATAATGCCAGAATTGTAGTGTTTGGATAGATAAGGTCAGAATTCTAATGTTTCGAAAGCTAAGGCCAGAATTCCAACGTTTCAAGAGATAAGGCCAGAATTCTAATGTTTTGACGGATAAGGTCAGATTTCCAATGTTTGGACAGAGAAGTCCAGAACTCCAATGTTTGGATAAAAAAGGTCAGAATTCCAATGTTTGAAAGGATAAAGTCAGAATTACAATGGTTGGACGGAGAATGTCAGAATTCTAATGTTTGGACAGATAAGGGCACAAATCCAATGTCTGCAGAGATAAGGTCAGCATTCCAATATTTGGACAGATAAGGCCAGAATGCCAATGGTTCCAATGTTTGGAAGGATAAGGTCAGAATTAGAATAGTTGGAGGGATAAGGTCAGAATTCCAAAGTTTGGACAATGAAGGCCAGAATTCTAATGATTGGACAGATAAGGTGAGAATTCCAATGTTTGCACAGATAAGGCCAGAATTCCAATGTTTGCACAGATAGGGTCAGAATTCCAATGTTTCGACAGATAAAGTCAGAATTCCAGTGTTTGGACCGATAAGGCCAGAATTCTAATGTTTGGAAGGATAAGGCCAAAATTCTAATGTTTGGACTGATAAGGTCAGAATTACAATGTTTGGACAGATGAGGCCAAAGTTCCAACGTTTGGACAGATAGGGTCAGAATTCCAAAGTTTCGACAGATAAAGTCAGAATTCCAGTGTTTGGACAGATAAGGTCAGAATTTCAATGTTTGAACAGATAAGGCCAGAATTCCAATGTCTGAATAGATAAGGCTAGAATTCCAATGTTTGTACAGATAAAGCCAGAATTCCAATGTTTCGACAGATAAGGTTAGAATTCCAATGCTTGGACAAATAAGGCCAGAATTACAAAGATTGGACAGACAAGGCCAGAATTCTTATGTCTGGACCGATAAGGCCAGAATGCTAAGGTTTGGAAGGATAAGGCCAAAATTCTAATGTTTGGACTGAAAAGGTCAGAATTACAATGTTTGGAGAGATAAGGCCAGAATTCCAATGTTTGGACAGATAAGGTCAGAATTCCAGTCTTTGGACAGATAAGGTCAAAATTTCAATGTTTGGACAGATAAGGTCAGAATTCCAATGATTGGAAGGATAAGGCCAGAATTGCACTGTTTGGACAGATAAAGCCAGAATTCTAATGTTTGGATAGATGAGGCGAGAATGCCAATGTTTGGAAAGATAAGGTCAGAATTTCAATGTTTGGACAGATAAGGTCAGCATTGGAGTGATTGGATGCATGAGGTCAGAATTCCCATGTTTCGGAGAATAAGGCCAGAACACCAGTGTTTCGAAGGAGAATGTCAGAATTCCAATGTTTGGACAGATAAAGCCAGAATTCCAATGTTTCGACAGATAAGGCTAGAATTCCAATGCTTGGAGAAATAAGGCCAGAATTACAAAGATTGGACAGATAAGGCTAGAATTCTTATGTCTGGACCGATAAGCCCAGAATTCTAAGGTTTGGACTCATAAGGTCAGAATTGGAGTGATTGGATGCATAAGGTCGGAATTCCCATGTTTCGGAGGATAAGGCCAGAATACCAGTGTTTCGAAGGAGAATGTCAGAATTCCAGTGTTTGGACAAATAAGGCCGGAGACGGATAAGGGCACATTTCCAATGTTTGGACGACGAAGGTTAAAATTGCAATGTTTGGAAGGATAAGGTCAGAATTCCAACGTTTGGAAAAATAAGGTCATTATTCAAGTGTTTGGACGCAAAAGGGTAGAATTCAGATGATTTAAAGGATAAGGTCAGAATGGCATTGTTTGGACAGATAAGACTAGAATAACAATGGTTTGACGGATAAGGTCACCATTCCAAAGTTTTGAAGGAAAAGGTCACAATTCGAATGTTTAAACAAGGAAGGTGACAATTCCAATGGTTGAAAGGATAACTCCTGAATTCCGTTGTTTGGAAGGATAAGGTCAGAATTGCAATGTGTGGATGGATAAGGCCATAATTTCAATGTTTGGACGGACAAGGCCAGTTTTTAATTGTTTGGAAGGATAAGGTCAGAATAAAAATGTTTTGACGGATAAAACGCCAGAATTTCAATGTTTGGAAGAATAAGTTCTGAATTTCTACCTTTGAAAGGATAAAGCCAAGATAAGAAGGATAAGGTCAAAGTGTCAAGTTATAAAATGATAAGAACAGAATCTTGGGAAGGATGAAATCAGAATTGCCATGTTTTGAAGAAAAAAGTCTTAATTCCAATGGTGGAAGGATTAGGTTAGAATACCAATGTTTGGAAGTGTGAGGTCAGTCAAATGTTTGGAAAAATTTTATGCAGAATTTTTAAAACTATTGCTTTGAAGAAAGACATTCAGAATGCAAATGTTTGGAAGGATTTTATTTAGATTTAAATTTTTTGTATAAATAATAATCAGAATTTAGATATTTGGAAGAAATTTACTAAGTCTACTCTTACACTATCAGAATTATGTTGACAATTGTCACAAACAGGGTTTACTGAGAACTATGCTGGAGTAGTATAGTAAATGTTGCCATCTGCGTCACTTCACTTATTTTCTGAATCATCTCACAAAGTCGCTCCTGTTGTTCTCTCATTTCATTCATTCGTTCGCTTCGCTCACTCACTCATTCCATTCGTTCTCAAGTAGTCGCTCTTTGTTCGAAGATATCAGAAAATAAGTGAAGTGACGCAGATGTCAACATTTACTATACTACACAATAATAAATAAGTGATAGAGATATTGAACCAGAAAAAATAAATTTGATTTAAGAAAAATAAAATAAACAAATAATAAAAGTCATGTCTAAATCATCTACAAATAAACAACTTATGAGTTTGTCTTTGGACGAATTAAAAAAAATTTTATCACAGGATAAACAAAAAGTTAAGAAAGATTATAAGGAATTGGAAAAAAAGATGAAAGTGATTGCAGAAATAAAGAAAGTGAGAGATATTGGAAATAAAATTAAACAAGGTAAAATTAAACCAAAAGTTAAACCAAAAAAGATAAAATCATTTGAGGAATATTTTGAGGAATGTATAAAAAATAAAAAGATTCCTAAAGATACTCCAGTTTATTTACGAAAAGCTCTTGAGAGAGCTATGAAAGAGTATGAAGAAGGAATTGAAGTTGAGAAATCAGCTTTAGACGAATTTGCTAAAAAATATATTATAAAAGGTAAAGTAGGTTATTTACCCTATCAGTTTTTTGACTATTATAATTATACTATTAAAAATTTTATTAAAAATCATCGTAATACTAAATTAAGGTTTGTTTTAGTTTGTCTTATGGAAAAAAGAGAAAAAGATGATGATAAATATTTTTATATTCAAGATAAAACGTATTTTAATTCTAGTACTTTTAATAATTTTAAATCAACTGATGAAGAAGATATATTAAGAATTAGTTATAAAGAGATTAGTGAAAAAATAGCTGTTTATCAACAAAATGGTAGTGGGTGGTATTTTAAAGAAATTGTACAATTAGATATTCATACAAATGAATTGAAACCAATGAAAGGTTCTTCTTATATTCCTCTTCCAGATTGGATTATGAAAAAAAAAGCAATTGTTAGTATTCGAAATAAAGATAATAAATGTTTTATTTGGTCAGTACTTCGTTATCTTCATCCAAGAGAAAAGAATGATAGTCGATTTACAGATTTGAAAAAGTATGAAAATGATCTTATCACTAAAGGAATTACATTTCCTATGAGGGTAAAAGACATTAACAAATTTGAAAAACTTAATCCAAATCTTCCAGGTGTAAATGTTTTTTCAAATGATGGATATACTATTTATCCTTTGAAAATGAATGAAAAAGATTGTAAAAATACCATTGATTTATTTTTGTATGAAGAAGATGGTAAATTTCATTATTCACTAATTAAAAACTTTTCCCGCCTTGTACGTAGTCAAATTACTTCAAGAACATATGAGCCTACACAAATTTGTAAGAGATGTCTTTGTTATTTTACAAAACCAGAATTGTTAGATAATCACATAAAATATTGTTCTAGTAATAAATCAGCAATTGTAAAAATGCCAGATCCAAAAACATATTTACACTTTACTAACTTTGATAAACAACTTCCTATTCCTTTTGTTGTATATGCAGATTTTGAATGTTTTACTAAACCAATGAATAGTTGTAGTCCTGATCCTAAAGATTCTTATAACTATAATTATCAAAAACATGAACCATCAGGATTTTGTTTTTATGCAAAGGGTATTGTTAATAAAAAAATTAAACCAATTATTTATACAAAAAGGTCAGAAGATGAAGATATTGCTAAAATATTTGTAGAAAAACTTACAGAAATGACTAAAGGGATATATGAAGATTTTTATCGTAAACCAAAACCTTTAGTAATGAGTGAAAGAGATGTCTTTGTTATTTTACAAAACCAGAATTATTAGATAAACACATCAAATATTGTTCTAGTAATAAATCAGCATTTGTAAAAATGCCAGAAAAAAACAAAACTTTACATTTTACTAATTATGATAAACAACTTCCCATTCCTTTTGTTGTATATGCAGATTTTGAATGTTTTACTAAACCAATGAATAGCTGTTCTCCCAATCCTAAAGATTCTTACAACTATAACTATCAAAAACACGAACCATCAGGATTTTGTTTTTATGTAAAAGGTGTTGTAAATAAAAGAATTAAACCAATCATTTATACAAAACAATCAGATGATGAAGATATTTCTAAAATATTTGTAGAAAAACTTACAGAAATTACTAAAGGAATATATGAAGATTTTTATTGTAAACCAAAACCTTTAGTAATGTGTAAAAAAAATATTGAAGATTTTAATAATTCGGTTAATTGCTATATTTGTGGTGGTGAATTAGGATGTGATAGAGTTAGAGATCATTCTCATTTTACAGGTGAGTACCGTGGTGCAGCACATAACAAATGTAATCTTATGTGTAAAAAACCAAGAATATTACCAGTTATACTTCATAATCTTCAAGGTTATGATGCTCATTTATTTATTAAACAACTTGCTAAAATAGAAGGTAGTCTTAGTTGTATACCATCTACTGAAGAAAAATATATTTCATTTTCTAAAACTATTAAAGTAGGGGAGTACAATCATATTAATGGTGATATTATTCCAATAAATTTTGAAATAAGATTTATAGACTCATTTAAATTTATGCAAACATCACTAGCCAATCTTGTTTCAAATTTAAACCAAGATGATTTTCATAATACAAAAAGAACTTTTAAGAATAATACAAAATTACTAACTCGTAAAGGAGTTTTTCCTTATGATTATGTGTCATCAATTGATAAATTATCAGAAACTCAACTTCCTCCAAAACAGGGATTTTATTCTAAATTAAATGATGAAAATATAACTGATGAAGATTACCAACATGCTATTAAAGTCTGGAATACATTTGGGTGTAAAACAATAAGAGATTATCATGATCTTTATTTAAAATCTGATGTTATGTTGCTAGCAGATGTGTTTGAAAACTTTAGAAAAACTTGTCTCAAACATTACAAATTAGACCCAGCTCATTACTATACGTCTCCAGGTCTAGCTTGGGATGCTTGTTTAAAAACAACAAGTCAGCGTTTAGAATTATTAAGTGATTACGATATGTTAATGATGATTGAGCGTGGAATTCGCGGAGGAATAACACACATATCAAAAAGGTATGCAGAAGCGAATAACAAATATATGAAAAATTACGAACCTGAAAAGAAATCATCTTTTATACAATATTTGGACGCAAACAATCTTTACGGTTGGGCTATGACTCAAAATTTACCAACACATGGTTTTAAGTGGATGAAAAATATTACAGTAGAGAAGGTTATTGAAATTTTAGAGAGTACTAACAATAGTATGGTGAATACTGGTAAGAAGGGGTATATTTTTGAAGTTGATTTGGAGTATCCACCAAAATTATGGGATCTTCATAATGACTATCCTCTAGCACCTGAATCAATAAAGGTTGATAAAGTTGAAAAACTGGTATGTCATTTTAAACCAAGAAAAAATTATGTTATTCATTACAGAGCTCTTAGGCAATGTCTTGAGTTGGGTTTGAAAATTACTGCTGTTCACAGAGGAATATCATTTTACCAGTCTCCTTGGATGGAACCATATATAAGAAAAAATACAGAACTTCGAAAATGTGCTACAAACAATTTTGAGAAGGACTTTTTTAAACTAATGAACAATTCAGTTTTTGGTAAAACAATAGAAAATATTAGGAAGAGACAAAATATAGTACTTGTTGATGATCGTAAAAAAGCACTAAAATTATCAAGTCGTCCAAACTTTGATAGATGTACAATATTTGATCCAAATCTTATTGCTATTCATATGAAAAAGACAGAAGTTTATTTTAATAAACCAGTATATGTTGGTCAAGCAATTTTAGACTTATCAAAAACTTTAATGTTTGATTTTCATTATAATTATATCAAAAATAAATATGGGCAGAAAGCTGAATTGTTGTTTACAGATACTGACAGTCTAATGTACCATATTAAAACAAAAGATTTTTATAAAGATATATGTCTTGATGTAAAAAATAAATTTGATACTAGTGATTATCCAACAGATCATCCTTCTGGTATACTGACAGGAGTTAACAAAAAAGTAATTGGCAAGTTTAAAGATGAAACATCAGGAAAACAGATAACTCATTTTGTTGGATTACGTCCTAAACTATACAGCTATAAACTTGAGGATGAAAAAGAATTAAAAAAGTGTAAAGGAGTAGTAAAAAATGTGGTGAAAAAGTTATTAACATTTGATGATTATGTTAGATGTTTATTTTCTGGTGAAAAAGAAATGAGAAATATGAGAATAATAAAAAGTGAGAAACATGATATATATTCTAAAGAGGTTAATAAAGTGGCGTTAAGTTGTCAAGATGATAAAAGAAAAGTATTAAACGATAAAATACATACTTTAGCTATTAGAGAAAAATATTAGATTTAAAATTTAACAAGTAGAAATAATAAATGTCATATACAGAAGATGAAATAAAAAAATATCTTAACATAATAAATAATTATAAAAATTTGGATGATAAGTCAACAGTAGCTTTATGTAAATGTTGTAAAAAAACAGAATTTTTTGATATTTATTTTGGTCAAAGAATATGTCGTGAATGTGGAGTATTAAACGGTCATGTATTAGGTTTGTACGATGTGAAAGATTATGATAGAGTACATTATAGAAAAAAAAGTATTTATTACAGGAAGTACTACTTTAATAAAAAGATTGATCAGATTTCTAAAATAATAAATCTTTCTGATGAAGAAAAATGTAAACTTTATAACAGGTTGATGAGTTTTAATTTATTTGTTTCAAAATGTAACAAGAACTACTCTAGAAAGAGAATGATAAGTATTAATTATGTGATAAAAAAATTTTTGCTTGAAATTAATATTGAAAAAAGTAAAAAAATGAATAACAAAATAAGTCCTAAAACTTTAGAAAAATATGATAGATGGTGGGAAACTTATAAAGAAATGATAAAATAAATTTTTTATACTAAAGTAGTATAAAAAAATTTAATCTTCTAAATATGTATAATCGTAATGATACACATTATACAAATTAATAAATGCTTTTTTCATATACCAAAGATCTTCATTTAACTCATTATCTAATTTTAAATCGTCTAAAACTCTATATATTATTTCAACATTAAGAGTTTTATTTTTAATCTCATCTTCTATTTTTTTTAATAAATCTTCATGCTGCATTTTAACTAAATCTTCATATTTTTTATTTTCAAAATATAAATTTTTAAATTTTTTTTCTTCTTGCTCGTGAAAATTTAAAAATTCATCAACAAGATTTTTTTCATAATAATCTTTTTCTTTTTTTACTTCTTCATAAGTTAACATATATTCATCATGTACATGTTCATAAATTTCTAACATTAATTTTTTACCAAGATTTTCAAGATCTTTTTTAAAAATAATTAAAGAAGTCATTTTTTATTTATAATTATATTATTCTTTTATGAAAAATCCAATATAAAATACCAGTTAGATATCCAAGTACTTCACTTTTTACTGGACAATCAAATACATAAACACACCCTCTTCCAGATTTGTAATGTTTGTAAAAAGATTTAAACGCTCTATGAAATATCAAGTGATTTTTAATTATCGAACTATTAGAGTTAATAGGTTGTAAGTCTAAACGATATATTATTGTTTCAAGTGAAATATAATCTTTTACATAATGTTCGTATAAAAATCTATACACCAATGCTGTTTTTATAATATCTTCTGTTTGATTTATATTTTTAATTGTAGGATAGTAAAAGTTGGTATAATTAACAATAGTTTTTAACATTTTTATATATTGAATCTAGTTATTAAACTTATTATTATATTTAATCTCAAATTTATCTGGTTCAGGAGTTTGATCAATTATCATATCATCTATTAGTTTCATTCTATCTACAAATTTTTGTTTATCCCAATCATCTCCTCTAAGTACAGCTCGAAGTTCAACAAGAACTTTTTCATAAGTAGTGTATGCAATTTTTGTCATCTCAATTTTTTTTTTATAATTTTGTTTTTTTCCAATTCCAGTCATAATAACACCAGCTCCATTTACAACTCCGAGAATAACAGGATTAAGTGTTATTCCCCCAGTAATAGTTCCTATTGATACCAAACATATACTAGATATTGTAAAAAAATTATCAAGAAATTTATAAGATTTATAAGACCTCTTAAAACACCAATATTTTTTATGGTAGTAACTGTAAAAATCTTTTATTGTTTTAATATCAGATTTTGATAGAGATGGGTCTATGTGATTAAAATCAAAAATATCTTTCATTTTTATTATTTTATGTATATAATCTTAGTTTAGTCTATAATACATAATTTCCGTTTATCTTTTCTTGTAGTAATATATGATGATGTACTGAAGAGTCAATGTCGTAAAAGTTTGGAGAGTACATAAATTTTTCTATCACTGAATCTTTACACGAAAATTCAAATTCAAGGTTAGCTGAAGTTCTTACAATATTAGCGTCTAAGTCTGCGGAATAGTTACTTATATTAACTTTTGTAATATTATCACTAATACTTTCTGTTAACCATAAAACTATTTTTTTTCCACTAAAACTAGATGGTATTGCTAAATTTTTGCTTACACTACCAATATTTATGTTTAGTGCACGAGTTACATATAAATAGTATAAAAATAAAAGTTGTTGTCTTGAATTTGCATTAGTCACATCATATTTTTTTATATGAAAATTATTTCTTTTAAAATGAGAAAAAACAATACATAAAGTGTAACTTGTATTTTTAATTGGTGGTTTAAAAGATATCTTATAATCATTTATTCTTAATCCAGTTTCTAATATGTTATCCATTGTTTTACTTGGAAATGTAATATTTTGTGCAGAATTTCCTGTAATAGAGGACAAAGCATTAAACACAACACCAAATGAATTTTTATTTATAACATAATTGTTTGAATCGCTAAAGTCAAAAAAATGTTCAAAATATTTTCTATATACATAATTTTTTATAAAAGGTAAATTTTTATTTACAATTCCAACTGTTGCTGTATTAAACTCATTTACCATTCCAACTGTTGCTGCACTATTATTATTATTTTTATCAAGATCAATGTTTAATATTTTTTTATTATTTGCATTTATGTCAACATTGTATGTAACTTCTGTTGGTTTGATATCAAATGCTGTGTGATAGTCATAAACTTTATCTGGATCGATATTGCTTACTTTACCCACAATACCATAAGTAACAAAATAAACTCCTGAAAACTGACTTGGATACACAGACAAGTCACTTCCTTCTTGTGGTATATTAACCAGAAAATGAAGAAAGAACCTATTACCAGTTGACAACTTTTTAAAATTAACTATTATTCTATGGTAATACATATATTGTGATTGATTTGTTGCATCTATATAACTATGACTAAGTTTTTTTACACTTACATTTTCAATTGATAATCCTGATGAAGTTCCTTTGTCTACACTTATTTGAGACTTATGCCAAAGTTGATAGTCAGTGTTTAGTATTTCCAAACATAGTGTGTAATCAATATTAGCGGTTAATCTGTAAAAGTTAACTGACATTTTGTACTTATACCCACCTTGAGAATTTTTGTTTATTTTTACATAAATTACTTTGTGGTTATAGCTATGAAAATTACCTTTTGAAGGAGGTAAGTCTGCTATTTTTGATATAACAAAACTAGTTCCAGTATCTATTTCATCAGTCCATTGTGCTGCATTAGACATAAGAAAAGTAAATTGATCGTTGTAATGACTTGGTTGAACTGCAGTGTGATGAATTAGACTATCAACATAACTTTTATTTACACCATCATTGTCTTGGGTTGGATTACTTAATCTAATAATTTTTTTATTGTTCATATTTAAGTTTCCTCTCATATAATCCGTTCCATCTTTTTTAAAATAACCTGTTGTAAATCCTTTATCATCAACATACTTTTTGGTTGCAGCATCTGTATCGTTAAAAGGTGGTCTTAGACCAATTATAGGTTTATTATTCATGTTAAGTGAGTTTAACATTTTATTTGTTCCACCAACATGTAGATACTTTATATCTGTAAAGGCTAATGGTGTTGGTTGTTTAGGACCCATTGGAATTGGTAGGTTTAAAATTCTATGATTATCCATGTTAAGATTACCTTTCATTGGATAAGATCCATCTCTATCAAGAAATGTATTGTCTACATATTCTTTTGTAGGAGGTTCTTTTGCATCCAGTGGTGTGCTTAGATTTTTAATTCGGTATGTATTTCTCATATCAATGTTTGAATCAATTGTTAGGTTTGTTGTCGAGGTGGGTTTATCATCCACATACTTTTTGTTTGCTGCGTCATTATTAGCTGTTGGTTTACCAACATTAGTTATTTTATTATTATTCATACTTAAATTGCCAATCATTGTTCGTGAACCATCTCTGTTAAGAAAATTACTGTCTGCATATTGTTTTGTTGCTGGCTCATCTGCATCATTTGGATGTTTAAGGTTTAAAATACGAAATCTATCTTTCATATCAATGTTTGAATCAACTGTTAATCTTGATGTTTTGGGTGCCCCGCTAGAATTATCATCAACATACTTCTTTGTAGCAGCATCAGTATTAGCAGTTGGTGAACCAACATTTCTTATTTTTTTATTTATCATATCATAATCACCATCAGAAGTAAGATTAAATCCAACTCCTGGTGCTCCTTGAATTCCTTTAGCAAATGAGTTATCTTTTTGTTCGTTAAATATTCCCATTTTATTTATTAGTTTAGACTACTAGTAAAGTTTTTAGCAATACGTTTTTTAGGCTTATCAATGTACAAAAATGTAAATGGTTTTTTTGTTGCTGTTCTATATGTTTCTTTATCAACTCCTAATTCTGATGATATACGATTTGCTTCCCTCGATGATGGAAATTCGTACAGACAGTAGTGAGAACAATTTAATCTAATATCCTTTGGAGTTTTGTAAAATGATTGACTGAGGTATATTACAGAACAATTCTTATGACGACCTTGGATGAAATAATCAATAAGTTCTCTTTGATTTTTATCACAAACGTAATCATCAAATATTACAAGTTTTTGATTATCCTCATATTCCATTTCTGTCACTGGAATTATTTCATCATTACTTACATTTAGTATTTCATATCCCATTTTATGACTTAATTCTCTCATTTTTTGAATTAACTTTTGATACTTATCCTGTTCTAGATTACGTGCGTAAAGATAAATCTCATCATAGTATAAAAGTGGTTTAATTAACATATGATAAAGCAAATTAGTTTTACCACTTCCACTGTTTCCACAGATTAACATTCTAAAAGTATCTGATGGCATGTAAGGAAATAACTGTTTATATTTTTTATCCGGATCATCGACACTATCATAATTTGGTATTTCCATTTTATATAATAGTTATATATTTATTATATAAAATGGATATTGAAGAATACAAAAAACTTGCAAAAAATAAAATTGAGGCTGATGCTTTAACTAAACAGGTGAGAAATGTTATAAAAGAAACAAAATGGCAAAAACAAGATATGAGAGAGGGTTTTAAAGAAACATTTAAACCACTTATTAAATCTCAAGATAGTATTAAAAAAAGTATTGATGAGCAACAAAATAAAACTTTAGCTCAACTTCAAGCTAATCAACTTGCTCTTACTCAAGGTTTTGATCAATTAAACAAATTAGTTGATATGAGAGAATTACCAGCTTTGGAAGGTGATTATGAAGAACCATCAACGTCTAAAGCAAAATCACCTACACGTTATAACATTGAAAAAAATATTGACGATGTTGATTTAGAAATATTACAAATGTTGGAATATCCAAGGCCAAATGATTTTTTTGATACTAACCCTAAAATACTCAGAGAAATATTTGATGAAGTAAAAAATGATGTAAAAATGTTTACAGGAGAAATAGCTGGTTTGAATAGAAAAAAACATAAAACAGAAGAGGATAAAGAAAAAATAGAAAATATTAAAATGCAAAAAGATTTACTACATAAATACAAAAACATTCTTAAACTTTATTTAGGCTCGCTTGATTATAAAATAGGACAAGGAATGGTTTACTTTAACAACCCACATCAACTTTTAGACAGACTTGAATTACTCGGTGGATCAATTCTTGCTGGGAATAATGGAGTTATAAATGAGTTTTCTCAAATAGCACATCTTCTCAACCAAATGAAAGTAATTACAAAAAAACAACTAAACGATTTACTAAAAACTTATATAACAATTAGATAAATGGAAGAACGAGCTATTCATATTTCTTCAATAAATAGGGAGAAAAGAGGAACAAGCAAACCCGGTGATTTTACTATTAAGTTTAATCCTTCTTTGAAACTTGACCCTGAAAAAAAACATAGTCTTGCTCTTGACAAATTATCTATGACTTACTCTTGGTATAATATTAGAAGTGATTATAAAAATAATAAAATTAAATATACTCACGATGGTTCCACTTGGCAAACAATTACTTTTACAGATGGAATGTATTCCTACTCGGATATAAATGATTATATTCACCAGTATATGGACCAAAAATCTCACTCATCAGGCTCAAGTGGAAATAAAACTTATTCAATTAATATAACATTTATACTATCTACCTACCGAGTGTTAGTATCAATTGAGGGTAATTATCAATTAGATCTGAGAGGAACAGAATTTGGAGACCTTATTGGATTTGAAAAAAAACTTATTACAAAAACAGAGTATGGAACAAAACTACCAAATATAACAAATTCTATTGATGTACTAAATATAAACACAACCGCAATAACTAATAGTATTGTAAATGGAATAAATACAAATACTATTGCTGTGGTACCAACAGACAATCTCACAAGATCTTTTCCATTTACTTTCGAGCCTAAAAGACCTTTGTACTGTGATATATCTTCATTTAACATTGATGAAATGAGAATTTATGTTACAGACTCACTTGGAAGACCAGTAAATTTTAATGGTATAGATTGGTTTATGACTTTGATTCTTCACTCAATGTGATACTTCATATTTATATAACTATTAAAATAAAAAATGATGCGACAATCAGAGTTTAAAATGAAATTTGACCCTGAATTGGGTAGATATACAAAACAACATATTTATGGAGAAGGAATGATGGATGGGTTTAAATCGTTTGGTAAAAAAATATTTGGAAAGACAATGAAAAAAACTGCTAAAAAGAGTGCACAAAAAAGTGGTGATAAATTACTAAAAATGACTGCAACAAAAACTGGTGAATATACTGGTAAAAAGGCTGGTGATAAGATAGTGCAAATGTTATCCAAAGAAAAAGTAAAATCTGTTAAAAAAACACCTACAAAAAAAGTTAAAACAATGACTCAAAAAGAAATAGATCAAACATTAAATAACCTTCTTAGTGGAGGTTCAACACGTAAAATAAAATTATATAATTATTAAAATAAAATGAAGTCTTTTAGAAATCCAAAATATTTAGAAAGATATGAAGATGTTGTTTTTGACCTTGAACAGGCTCTAGATACAGCCCCAGCAAATAATGCACACCAAACTAAAACAGGTNAATGGAATAAATACAAATACTATTGCTGTGGTACCAACAGACAATCTCACAAGATCTTTTCCATTTACTTTCGAGCCTAAAAGACCTTTGTACTGTGATATATCTTCATTTAACATTGATGAAATGAGAATTTATGTTACAGACTCACTTGGAAGACCAGTAAATTTTAATGGTATAGATTGGTTTATGACTTTGATTCTTCACTCAATGTGATACTTCATATTTATATAACTATTAAAATAAAAAATGATGCGACAATCAGAGTTTAAAATGAAATTTGACCCTGAATTGGGTAGATATACAAAACAACATATTTATGGAGAAGGAATGATGGATGGGTTTAAATCGTTTGGTAAAAAAATATTTGGAAAGACAATGAAAAAAACTGCTAAAAAGAGTGCACAAAAAAGTGGTGATAAATTACTAAAAATGACTGCAACAAAAACTGGTGAATATACTGGTAAAAAGGCTGGTGATAAGATAGTGCAAATGTTATCCAAAGAAAAAGTAAAATCTGTTAAAAAAACACCTACAAAAAAAGTTAAAACAATGACTCAAAAAGAAATAGATCAAACATTAAATAACCTTCTTAGTGGAGGTTCAACACGTAAAATAAAATTATATAATTATTAAAATAAAATGAAGTCTTTTAGAAATCCAAAATATTTAGAAAGATATGAAGATGTTGTTTTTGACCTTGAACAGGCTCTAGATACAGCCCCAGCAAATAATGCACACCAAACTAAAACAGGTCTTAGATTTGTTGCTGATAATACAGGAGAAGCTACTCCTTATGATTGGTATAACGCACGATTATCAATGGATTTTAAAGTAAATAAGCTGGCAGATGGAGGAAATTTAGCAATTGCTGACCATAACGGAATTGTAAATGGTAGTAACTCATTTATAGAAAAATTAAGTATCCTAGCAAATGGTAGAGAAGTTTACAGTTGTAATTATTCAAATCATGTTGTAAATATTAAAAATCTTCTTGAGTATAGTCCTTCATATGCTGAGAGTGTTTCTACGAATGAATTTTATTTTCTTGATACAACAAGAAATGCAGAGGAAAGAGAGTTTGAGGTTAGTGGCACAAATCAGTTAGCTAAAAGAAAAGCAACTTATAATAAAGGTTTTCATAAAAGAAAATTACTATTAGGTACATCAGCCACAGTAAACTGCGAAATTCCTCTTAATAGATATTCTTTTTTTGAAACATTGGAAGACAAATTACTTCCAAACACAAAAATTGAGCTAAATATTGAAATTGAAAAAGATGCAAATTTAATTTTTCAAGCAGCTGATAATTGTAGAGTTATTATAACAAGACTACAACTTTTTATTCCAAAACTTACGTTTAATTCAGAAGGACAAAAGTTGTATATGGAAAATTATCTTAAACCTTACAAATGGACATATTTAAATGAAGTAGTAGAGCGATCAAATAATTCACAGCAACAGACAGGACATTTTAGAATTACAAATGCTATTTCAAAACCAAGGCATGTATTTGTTTTTGGAATTAACACGGCAAGAATTGATTCACAAACAGCGAATCCATTTTTATACGATACTTTTAATCTACCAAATAATGCTAATATATCAAGATGTTACCTGGAAGTTTCAAATGGAAACGAATACCCAGATATTCACTTTAAACCTTCTACAGATATGTCAAGAGTTTTTAGAAATGTAATGTCATACGTTTATGCAAATAATGATTATCAAGGCGGAACATTACTTAATATAAGTAATTTTAAATCGTTATTTCCTTTTGTTTATTTTGATTTAACAAAACAAAAAATGGATATCAAAGATGGTGTTACAAAATTAGCATTTCATTACGAATTATCTGCTAATCCAAACGCTGATTATAATATATACGCGCTAGTCTTACATGAAAGAACAGCAGAAATAGAACAACAAGGAGGAAAACTATTGTTAAGAGCTTAAAATAATTATAATATAAAATATGATTAAATTTTTAAAAAATTTTAATGAAGATGATTTATATGAACCATTTTATGAAGAGTTAACAAATTTGTTAACAAAAAAAGTAGATCGATACTATCCATCACTAACATTTTTAACAATTAATCAAAAAAAAAAGTTTGAAAAATATTGTAGAAGTAACATTATTCACAAATCTTATAGGTTAAATGTTTCTTACAATTACATTTATGATGAAAATAAATTTCCTTATTTAATTTATTTATCTAAGAAAAAGGCTGAAGAAAATTTAAAAGCAATAAATAATAAAAAAAAAATACATACTATTGTGTTTTCTGGTTCTCATTTTGATAAAGTTTGTAGAGCTACTATTGAAAAAAATTATCGATTTGAAATAGTATTAAGCGACATAAAATTATATGAAAATGAAATCAAACCAAAAAATTATTCTATTATTATGAAAAATTTTAAATGGAATAATAAAACTAAAAAACAAGATGANTTAGAATTACAAATGCTATTTCAAAACCAAGGCATGTATTTGTTTTTGGAATTAACACGGCAAGAATTGATTCACAAACAGCGAATCCATTTTTATACGATACTTTTAATCTACCAAATAATGCTAATATATCAAGATGTTACCTGGAAGTTTCAAATGGAAACGAATACCCAGATATTCACTTTAAACCTTCTACAGATATGTCAAGAGTTTTTAGAAATGTAATGTCATACGTTTATGCAAATAATGATTATCAAGGCGGAACATTACTTAATATAAGTAATTTTAAATCGTTATTTCCTTTTGTTTATTTTGATTTAACAAAACAAAAAATGGATATCAAAGATGGTGTTACAAAATTAGCATTTCATTACGAATTATCTGCTAATCCAAACGCTGATTATAATATATACGCGCTAGTCTTACATGAAAGAACAGCAGAAATAGAACAACAAGGAGGAAAACTATTGTTAAGAGCTTAAAATAATTATAATATAAAATATGATTAAATTTTTAAAAAATTTTAATGAAGATGATTTATATGAACCATTTTATGAAGAGTTAACAAATTTGTTAACAAAAAAAGTAGATCGATACTATCCATCACTAACATTTTTAACAATTAATCAAAAAAAAAAGTTTGAAAAATATTGTAGAAGTAACATTATTCACAAATCTTATAGGTTAAATGTTTCTTACAATTACATTTATGATGAAAATAAATTTCCTTATTTAATTTATTTATCTAAGAAAAAGGCTGAAGAAAATTTAAAAGCAATAAATAATAAAAAAAAAATACATACTATTGTGTTTTCTGGTTCTCATTTTGATAAAGTTTGTAGAGCTACTATTGAAAAAAATTATCGATTTGAAATAGTATTAAGCGACATAAAATTATATGAAAATGAAATCAAACCAAAAAATTATTCTATTATTATGAAAAATTTTAAATGGAATAATAAAACTAAAAAACAAGATGAAAAAGAAGTTAATATTACTGACAAAGATGTTCTAAAAAAAGATATTTATAATATTCCTATAACTAAACGATTACCAAAAGAACAAATAGTAAAATCACCTCCTACAGTAAAATCACCTCCTACAGTAAGCTCATTATCCATAATTGATAAGATTATTGCTAATAAAGAAAATAAAAAAAAACTTGAAAAAAGTTTAAAAATTATTAAGAGCTTGATTAATTAATTGTTCATTTGTGATGTACCTTCACCACTTCCATCTTCTGTAATTTTTATTTTGTAAACTTTTTTTGGCGTCTGTTGTTAATAGTAATTTGATATGACGTATTTTATATCAAATTTAATTGGTTAAAAAAATACCACCAGTAATACCACCAGTAATAAAACAAAATATACGACGTCTTTTGTGATACCACCAGTTAATCTATTAATAACAATAAATAATGTTTAAGCTATTAAATATTCGAGAAATAATCCCATCTCAAAAAAAAGCATTAACAGAATTATTAACAAAAAAAGTATATCAATATGTTCCAAGTATCACTTTTTTAACTAATTATCAAAAAAAAAAATTTGTAAAAAGATGTGTAGAGGAAAATATACATAAATCTTACGTTTTAAATGTTGACTATAAATATAAAAATGATCAAAATAAAAGTATTTTTCTTATTTATCTTACAAAAGAAAAGGCAAAAGAAAATATAAGAGCTTTAAAAAGTGAAAAAAAAATCACAATTAAATTTTCAGGTTTACATTTTAAAAAAGTTTGTCGAGAAACACTAAACAACAATTATAAGCTTGAGGATGTTTTGAAAGATATAATTGCAATTCGAGGAGAAGATAATCCAGACACATATTTTCCTCCAACAGATAATTATTGGACAATACCACCAAGTAAAGAAGTTAAATTATACAAACAACCAACACAAAAAAAAATTATTATTGGTAAAAAAAATAAAAGTAATAATACAAACTTTATTAAAAAAAACCTTAATATTAAAGATAAAATAAGAATTTACTATCCAAAAATAATTTATTTAAAAAAATCTGGTTTGCAAGATTATTTAAAAAAAATTCAAAAAATTATTAAAGAAGAAAAAGAAAATAAAAAAGATAAAATTAAAGATTATAAGATAATTTTTGTTTCACTTTATAAATTTCCTAAATCAAAAGGTTTTATATTTTATCTTACTAAAAGACAAATCAAAGAGTTAGAAGAGTATAGAAAATTAGGTGTTGAGCAAACTCCTATTATTCTTACTACTAGTCAACTTTTAAGAACTTATAAAGAAGTAATAAGAATAAATAGTTTTATTTATTATTACAAGGATAAAAGAAATTTTAAAAATAAAAATTCGTTTAAACCAGAACTATTAGCTCTTAGCGATAAACCTTTTAATAAAGAACAACAAATAAATTCTGTAAATGTTTTGGATTTAATAGATTTTGGATATCAAGAAAAAGATTTAACAGATTTTATAGATGAGAATAAAGATTTAATAGAGTTTAGTGATGATGATTTAATAGATTTTGATACTATTTTACCTAATCCAAAAAATAATAAAATAAGTAATAATAAAATGACAACTTATTATGAATATGGTATTAATCTTACAAAAAGACAAAAAGCAAAACTATCTTCTGCAATATTAAATAAAACAGAAATAACTCTTAGGTTAAAATTTGCACAACTTGAAGGTCCTTATAAACTAATGTTAACAAAAAGTCAAATTTCTAAAATAAATAAATCTATTATAAATGATAAAGGATTAGATTTAAAATTATCTAAAACTCAGATTAACAAATTAAAAAGACCAAAAACAGAAAAAATATTAGAAATTGATATACCATCAAAAAGAAAAACAAAAGATTTAATACAATTTAGTGATGATGATTTAATACAATTCAGTGATGATGATTTAATAGATTTGAATACTATTTTACCTAATCCAAAATCAAAATCAAAATCAAAATCAAAATCAAAATCAAAATCAAAAAATGATGATTTAATAGATTTGAATACTATTTTACCTAATCCAAAATCAATAAATTATGATTTAATAGATTTGAATACTATTTTACCTAATCCAAATCCATCAACAAAAGAGTTAAAACAAACTATTGAAAGATTAACTAATACGTTAAACAGAATAATATATTTCTTAAAAACAAACTATTAAAAGATTAACTAATACGTTAAACAGAATAATATATTTATTAAAAAAATAATATAAGCTAAAAATAAAAAAATGACAACTTATTTTGAATACAGAGTAAAACTTACAAATGGTCAAAAGTTAAAACTAGCTTCTGCTATAAAAAATAAATCAGGACTAACTCTTCGAATAAAACATTCACATCTTCGAGGTCCTGATGAATTAATGTTGACCCAAAGACAAATTTATAAAATAAAAAAATCTATTGCAAATCGTACTGGAACTGATATAAAGATAAGTGAAACACAAATTAGACGTTCTGTAAAACATGGTGGAAACTTATTTTCATCACTTGCTTCTATTGGAGCAAAAGTATTACCTTATGCAATAAAGGGAATTTCAAAAGTTGCACCTGCTTTAGCAACAGGTGCTGCAACCGCACTTGGAGAGATTGGATTAAATAAAATATTTGGAAAAGGAATAACAATCCCCCATCAGTTCTTCCCAATGTTACCACCTATTGTAAGAGAATTTACCAAATCACAAGTAAATCAAATTAATAAAGCATATAAAACAGGTGGACGATTAATTATTAAACCAACTCGTAAACAAATAGAAGGGGGATTTCTTGGAACACTTGCTTCTATTGGAATTCCAATGGCAATAAGTTTAGTATCAAAAATGTTTGGATCTGGACTACAAGTAGATAGAAGTAATTCATCCAATACTTCAAATATTTACGTTCCAGTATCTACACACGGTGAAGGTCATGTTTATAATTCACCTCCACCTTTTATAGATACATGGTCAAATCCAATAGGAATGGGACTTAAAAAAAAAAAGCCCAAATCCAGGGGTTCAGGTCTGCTACTAGGAAAAAACAGCCCATTCAACTCAATTCCAATTCTCGGCTCCATTTTATAATTAAACCTTTGTCTAATTTTGACCTCATGGAATGGATAAAAAAACTTGGTATTAAATATTTCAGAGGAATATATACTCGTGATAGATTACCAAAAAAAATAACAAAAGAGTGTGGAGTAATTAATCTAGATGATATTGAAGGTCCTGGAACACACTGGGTTTGTTATAGAAATATAAACAATTTAGTTGAGTATTTCGATCCTTTTGGACTAATAATGCCAAATGAAGCACTAAAATATTTTCGTACTTCTGAAAAACAAATAGTTTACTCTATGGATGAAATACAAAATCGCAATACTGTACTTTGTGGATATTGGTGTTTATACTACTTATTTGAGAGACAGAGAGGAAGTAGTATTCTAGATGTAATACATAACCCTCATTTTGATAATGACAACAGTGATTTTATAAAATCTTACTTTGGCGGATAAAAATATAATATTATTATTAAAAAATATTATATTTATAAACGTTACTACTCACTATCAACTGGTGTATTTTTTAGTAGTTTAACCTTCTGTACTTTTGTGTCTAAATTTTTAACACTATCAACTAAATCAATAAAATTTGAGTAAATATCAATAAGTCTAAATAATTTTTTCTTTTTACTATTATCAATACTTAACCATGAATATCCCCCATCTCTAATTCTTCTCCACATTTCAATTTCGGTGACCATTAAAATTCTGGAAAGATCATCATTACTCTTTCTAAGTTTTTCCAACTCATTATATATTTTTGTTCTCAATTCTTTTTCAAAATCCTTGATTGTTTTAACGTCAATAGATTTTTCAATCTCAGAAAAGAATTTAGCCTCCATTTGTTATTAGTATATATTATATTTTTCTTAACAACTTTTTTATCTTATTTAATTTCTTTTCAATTATATTTAGTTCCACCTCAATTGTTTCATATTTTTCTTCTATTTTTAAATATTGAAAACCCACTAACTCATAAGCTTCATCTAATTGTTCTTCAATTTTCAATATCTTTTTTCTAAGATTTTCCATTTATTATATAAATAAATAATTTCCTTTTACAACTTTATTGAGAGTATTTGCTTTTTCACTTATTTCCATAAGCAACTCAAATACTTTTATAAATCTAGTGTCATATTCCAATCTAGAAAAATCAGCATATTCATAACTAATATTTAGGCTACTATATATCTTTTCAAGCTCACTTTTTAGAAAATTAGTTCTAGTAGTCATTTTTTATATAAACATTATATTAAATGAAAGAAACATATTGTATTAAAGATAAAAGAGTAACTCCTTGCACAGAGCCAAGTGGTTACCAAAAAGATAAAAGAGGAAGAACTCAATTCTTTTGCACATGTGCAGTTTGTGGGATCAAAAAAGTTAGATATGTAAAAACTGGTACAGCTTCTCAAACTGGAAGTGGTAAAAAGAGAAAAACAAAAAGAAAATCAAAAAACTAATTAGCCCGTCTGAAGGGGCGGGCGTCTTTGATACTGTTGTTGGTACAGCAGTTGATGGATTTGTACATTATGGTTTACCTTGGATGGGAAAAAAAGCAGTTGAAATGGGAAAATATGGAGCAAGTGAAGCCCTTAGAAATAAAAAACTACAAAAAAAAGCTGTAAACTATGGGATTAGTAAACTTACACCATTTATTCAAGATTCTGTTGGAGAAGCAATGAACCAACTTTCAAAAAAAGTTAGACCGAATAAAAAGTATAAAACTGATGGAAAAGGAATAGATATTCATAAACAAATACTAAAAGTTGCTCCTCCCAAAGGTTTTACTTTACCAGGTCATAATTATACAGGTCCTGGTAATCCTCTGGAAAAACAACTTCGTCATGATAACAAAGGAAATATATTAGAAATTTACCAACAACCAACAGGACCAACTGATGCAGTTAGTATGCAACATGATGTGGATTACACAGTTTGTGGAAATAAACCAAAAAGTGAACAAGTAAAATGTAAAAATGAGGCTGATAAAAAAATGATAAAAGCACTAGATGCAATTCCTTGGAAAAAAAGACAATGGGGGCATGCTATGGCTAGAACTATGATAAATACAAAACAAAAACTTGGAATGGGTTTAAACGCCAGTCGGCGTTGAGTAATGATTGGTCTCAACAATTAGCCGACGAACTTCACAAACCAATCACACGAAACTTTCAAAAGAGATCAGTAGTCTCAAATGGAATTGATGATATCTGGGCTGCTGATTTAGTTGAAATGCAAAAGTTTAGTAAGTGGAATAAAGGAATTAAATATTTGTTAATGGTTATTGATGTGTTTAGTAAGTATGGATGGATTATAGCTTTGAAAGATAAAAAAACTGAAACTGTTAGTAAAGCATTTGATATTGTGTTTAAAAGTAAACGTAAACCTCAAATGTTATGGACTGATAAAGGTTCTGAGTTTATAAGTAAACATTTCAGAGATTTTCTTCAAAAAAAGAGAATCAAGTTGTATCACACTGAAAATGAAGAAAAATCAAGTATTGTTGAGAGATGGAATAAAACAATGAAAAACAGAATGTGGAAAATGTTTACTGTGAATAACAATAATGTTTACTGGGATAAGATAGATAAACTAGTTGATGATTATAATAATACTAGACATTCTAGTATAAAAATGACTCCTGTTGAAGCAAGTAAAAAAAAGAATCAGAGTAAAGTTTGGTCTAATTTGTACAGTGATTTAATTTACTTGAAACCTGGTAAAACAAAGTTTGCAATTGGTGATCATGTTAGAATTTCTAAGTATAAAAGGCGGGTATTTGACAAAGGTTATACACCAAACTGGACAGAGGAAATATTTGTAATTGATAAAATTCTTCCAACAAAACCTATTACATATAGTATTGTTGATTTAATGGGAGAAGATATTAAGGGTTCTTTCTACGAGCAAGAATTACAAAAAGCAAAACAACAGACGTATAGAATAGAAAAGATTATCAAAAGAGATAATAAGAAAAAAATGGCATTAGTAAAATGGAGTGGTTATCCTGATAAATTTAACTCATGGGTAAGTTTAAAAGATTTGGTTAATTTTTAATACAAAATAATGTTGTATTAAAAATAAAATCTTATTATTAATCTTCATCACTAACTTTTTCAAGTAATGCTTCAAGACCATCTTTTGTATAATCACCCTCACTCTCTTCTTCTTCCTCTTCCTCTTCAAACACCAATAAAGACTCTCTAGGTTTGAGTGGTTTAACATAGCACTCATGTACTTTTATTTGTAAAGATGTTACAGTTTTACTTATGAAGATTCCTTCAATTATTAGAGCCAATTTAACATTACAGTATTGATTAAGATATTTAAAAGGATTTAGATCACGGCCTCCCTTTCCCTTAAACAAAGATAAAATTTTTTTTGTTTTTTCTGAGTAAATAAGTTTTGCGTAGAGAACTGGTGCTGATGATTCATCAACTTTTGTTTTCTTTTTTCCTTTATTGTCTGTGTATTCTATTTGTTTATGGTAAAGTGGTGAAGATAAAGTTGATGCCATATCAGGACCATATTCACTTTCTAAATAATGTTGTGATGCAGTTGTTATATTATTAATAACATCAAAAAATTCTTTTTCTTTAGTACTCGGTTCACTATCGCGAGACCAAAGACATACTGGTATTGAGTAACCTACTAACTTTTTTGTATCTTGGTTTTTCTTTTCATTTACTCCAAAAGAAAAAAGAACTGGAGTTTCTATTACAAGTGGACCTTTTTTCTTATTTGGGTATTTGATTTCAATTGGAATACGTTTATATTTAATTTTGCTATCTTTTACTTTATACTCTTTGCTTTCATTAAACACGATATTGTCTTGGGTAATATTTTCGTAACTTGTCAACTGCATTTTATTAATAATTAGATAATCCTTAAACCACATTTAAATATTCAAACGTGTATTTTTGACCGTCTTTTTTTGAAGTGGCTGATTTACAATATATATACTTCTCCTCACAAATCATTTTAACATGACCTGCATTAATTCCTAATAACTTGTTAACTGAGTATAAACTATTGTAAATAACTTCTTCATTTGTTAAAATATTAATTGCCTTAACTCTTTTTCTATTTTTATGATTATCCTTAACAAAACTATAATCTCTATTATTTGTTGATTTTTTATTATTTTCACTTGTTGTTACTACTTCCAAATTTTTCAACCTATTATCTGTTCTAATAAAATTGATATGATTAATACATTTATCACTTTCTATCATCCCATAAAAACACTCATAAACAAATCGATGTATAAGATAATTTTTTACTTTATTTTTTGCCACAGATATACAAAATCTCAAATAACCATTATTATTAAGATTTCCTAACATAGGTTTTCTTATTCTAACATTTATAATTTCACCATATTTATTTGCTGCATATTTTTCATAAATAGGATGAGAATAAAACTTTTTATTATTTTCTAATATGAGAACCATTTTATATTAATTTTTATTTCTTTAAGCATATTATTCAATTTTATTTTTGGGCCAAAGTAAATTTATCGACCAAAAGTTACTCGATTCTGGATTAGTATATGTTAATTCACCCTTTTTATTTTTAATCTTCATAGCACGAGTTAAATATTTATCTCTTCTTTCTTTATCCTTGTGAATAGTAAAGTCTGCATATTTAATAGAACCAAAGTGAACTTTCTTTTTACTTGGAAGTGTAACCATGTATTTGTTATTTTTACGAGATGAATAATCAAGTGATTCAGCACCGAGTTTTTTAGCATCTTTTGTTAATTTTTTAAACTCTTCTCCTGTAAGAACATTTTTAGTATGAGTATCTTCTATTTTTAATGCTTCCATTTTTTATCATTTGTTTATATAAATCAGTATCATCAAAAAAGTGATTATATTTTAAATAAATATTAAAATTTTCCTGATTTTTATTTAAATTATTTTCTAATAAATCATCATTATTAAAATTATCATCCTGTAAAATGTCAATAAAACTAATAATATCTTCTTTTAAACAACTAATAAAATATGACAAAAAAGTATAAAAATCATTTATAGATAAATCTTTAGTAGTATACTCAAAAGTATCTTTGTTATACACTAAACTTTTTGCTTGGTATAAAATTTTATAAATTCTATACAACTTTTTTATATGTTTAATTTTATAATAATCTCCATTTTCTTTTAAACTTCTTAAATAACTAGAAACTTTTTTTCTGTCTATTTTTTGTATAAATCCTTCTTCAAGATATAATTGATTTTTACAATTATTACAATCAATGTAGATTGGATTCGTAATATTCCCATTCATTTTTTTATTAAATAAAATAGATAATTTTATAAACACAAAAAATGTTTATAAAATATATTTTTTTTATTATTCACCATCAGAAAAATCTATTAAATCAATATCTCCAATAGTATAATTATAATCATCATAATTACAATCTACATTAATCTTTTTAAAAAAACAACTACCAACTTTGTTTTTAATCTCAAATAATTCATCTTTATAAATTAATAATTCTGTTGCATTTTTAAACATACCATCCATTATTTCTCTTGCATTATGATAATTTTCTTTTACACTAATTGGTTTAATATTATCAAAAAAAGATTCTAAATCAATGCTACCATCTTTCACTGATTGAACTACTTGGTTAATTTTTTCATCAAGACTTTTAAAATATATATAATCGTCTTGACTATCAAATGTCAATCCACCAACTTCAAAACCTTTACAAATATTTAAACTACTGTTTTTTGATTTAAAACCCATTATATTTTTTTTTATAATTATTTTCTTAAATCAATTTTATTTTTCTGATTCAAACATTAAAATAACTATAATACAAATGAATACCAAACTAACAAGAAAACAAGTTTATAAAAAATACAACATTGATACTGAAAAACAAAAATTTTTAGACAACACTCCACTAGATAAAATAATATACTACGAAGAACTCAATAAAAGTCTTACAAAAAAAAGTTATGCTTTTGATAAAGAACACATAAATAAACACAATCAAAGATGTAAAAAATGTCAAAAAACTAATAACTGTAAAATCTGGAAAAACTGTTTAGAGTTTAAAAATTGTTATCCACAAAATGAAGAAGGTGCAATGTTTAAAAATGCATACGGTTGTAAAGAATGGATTCCATGGAAAACTTTAAAATAATTCACTACAGTGTAGTATAGTAAATGTTGACATCTGCGTCACTTCACTTATTTTCTGATATCTTCGAACAAAGAGCGACTACTACTCTTGCTTACCTTACTCACTCACTCGCTTCGCTTGCTTACTTACTTTACTCTCTTCAACAGGAGCGACTTTGTGAGATGATTCAGAAAATAAGTGAAGTGACGCAGATGGCAACATTTACTATACTACTTGCTGGATCGAGCATATCGTTTATCTTCTTGTTGGTCACACTTCACGGACGAATGTAACCGATTGAAGACAGCATTCCCGCGTTTAAACTACCCAAAACACCTCGTTAACTCTAACATCAAAAGTTTCGTTGACTCAAAGGTTTTTGACCAGTAGCAACCTTTATCACCAGCTAAAGAGACAGATGACACGGATTCGAGTGGTTTTACCATTTAAAGACCAAATCTCAGCAGATATTGTGAAAGAAGAACTCAAGGATCTGAGCCTAAAAGTAAACACCACCATCCAGCCTGTGTTTGCCAGCCGAAAAATTGAATAAGAACTGAATGTGAAAGAAGCAAAGCCACCGATCGTAAATGAACAGTGTGTAGTTTATAACTTCCAATGTGACCTGTGTGATGTAGGCTATGTAGGTTACACACGTAGCCATTTACACAATCGTGTAAAAGGACATAAACAACAGACCTCTGCCATTGCCAAACCCTACAAGAACGTGCACGGGACGATCCCTCAGAGCCTGCTGAAACGTTTCGAAGCGCTTAAGAAACGCAGGAACAAATTTGACTGTTTAGTGTACGAAATGCTTTTTATAAGAACCTTAAAGCCAAATCTCAAGGTGCAATCAGACTCTATTCGTGCAAAAGTATTTTCATAATCTTTGCGCCCTGTTATGTTAATTTTCGCGCCACATCGCTTAAAATGCTGTAATTTGCATAATCAAAACCATTTTTCCTTGATAATGGAGACATGACTATTCTGAAACGTTGGATTTTATCGTTCGTTTTTACCGTTTTATGTCTTAAGGACGATATTGGAAATTTTAATTCTTGGAAGCATGACAGAAATTTGAAAAGCAAATGTTTGGAAGGACGCCATTTTTAATTCTTACACGGTAAGTTCGAAATGATGAAACATGACCACAAAAAAATTTCTGGAGTGATGCCATTCGAAATTCAAATGTTTTAAGTTACATGTAGCTTATTATTCTATGTCATTACCTGAATGGTAAACTGCATTCGACTTTGTTCTGTTTCCCTAACCACTGTTGTGTTCATCGAAGAGCGAACACCGCCCTTGTAAGTTAAATATCCAACTGTGTGTTTGTCGAGTTGTCGAGCAAGCACTGTGTGAGGTGGCAAGAAAAAATATTGTTAGTATCCAAAACTAACTGAATGAAATTGCAGCAAGTTCCAACACTTGCCGCTTAATAATTAAATGACAAAATAATAATAATTTTTTTTATTGTTGGTAATTAGTTTTAATTATTTTTAAATTTTTATAATTTTCTTTTTTTTTTGTTACTGAGGATAACAAAAAATACCGATTACATGAGAAAAATGAGCCAAGAACTAGTTGTAGCTTGATTTCTAGATTTCCCCCAACAAATACTATTAAATTTCATGTAATTATTATTTTAATAGATTTTCACTTACTGCCATTCATTCCTACAGACATGCCTTTTCCATGACTTCCAATCGCAATTCCACCAATGCAATAACTAAGAGCAAGGAAAGGATTGGTTACACAATAAACTGCACAGTGGTTACATTTGTATAGACAGTGATCTTGTTACCTCCGCGTGCTGTGTCACTGGTGCATAAAAATAATTCATTGGCATGTGTCCTGTAGAACTCAAAGATTGATCAAGGGATCTGAAGAAGATTTTGTAGAATATCCTGTTCAAGTGACTTCTGTGGCTGTTGTTTAACAATGCATATTTATTTTATTCTTGTTTGTGCTTAAATAGAAGGATTATATTTTAATTTCAGTATACTGTATGTTTTACAGTATGTACGAATTACATAACAGCCCAAGCAATTTCAATTTAGCACTCGTTGTTTTTAACTGGTTCTTATTGGCTCTGGACTGGGACTCATGATTTTTCACAAGATGAGTCCCAAGACCCACCTTAACTGTTTGTGACCAAATCACTGTGGTAATATTATAAATCAAGTGATGGAGGGGCTGGCTATTTCACGCTGTTTGCTATCTTTTAATAAAGCGAAAATGTGTCTTTGCATCAAATGCTACAAATGGCAAGGATTTGTATGGACTGAAAGTTGAAAGAAGTTAGCCTAACTTTTTCAAGTGTTTATACTTGGTCTACAAACATCTCCTTAAAACAATGTTTGTGGTTAATGCCCCAGACGAAATTTGTTTCAATTTGTCTTCATAACTTTACCGGAGCATAAATTAATTTTTGTGTATGGGTGAAGGCACTAAGTCATGACAAAACATTATACGCTTCTGGGAAACTGCCCACCTACCCTCCCCTCTTAACAAGCCAACATTTTGCCCTAAGTGAGAAATTAGTGTTTCTGCTGGCTTAGGGGAGGGGTAGGTGGGCAGTTTCCCAGAAACATATAATGATCCGTAATGACTTACAGTGTAAGCACAGAATTGACCTAAGGGGGTGTTTACATGACAACGGGGTGACTTTCGCCCTGGAGCGAGTTCACTCTGGTTCTCTCTCATGGCTCTATATCTGTTTACATGATACCACCACAAAATGTCATGCTGGTGCGAGTCACCCCGGCATGAGTTCACCCCAGTTGTTGTACCAAATCAAAAAGTCATCCTGGTGTGAAACTTGCGCTGGTGTGAGTTTTCTCAAGTAGCACCCCCTAAAACAGCAATATCCTTATGAAACAAAACTGTTTACAGTAAAGATAAAAAGACCACCTTCTCTGTGTAAGGTTTGAGAATGCTCGCAGGGTAAGTGTGGGACCATTTCCAGCTTCAAATGTTGCCTGGAATGAAATCAATATTACGAAAATGTCAGAGAAATTTTACTATTTCAAATGTATCAACAACAAAGTTGGCTTTGGCACAGCAGCAAGAATAATAAATAAAGGCAGTTAAATCTTAAATACCACATCAACCAAAAATACATCGTACCAACCTTGGCTTTTCAAACTTATGCAAGTAATGTTACTTGATCTTTTTATTCTGAAAGTGACATACATGTATGCAATACACATGTACATGTAGTTCTACGTGTAACTTGAGCACGTGGATGAAATCCTATGATGTGACTATTCAAATAAAAACATAAAATGCCTTTACCAGCTTTTATGTCAGAAGTAATACTACCTAGTTTTTCATTATCTTGTATGATGCACAATTTGATATTTTTTGTGATGTGTTGATATAATCATAAATTTTGAGAGAAAGAGAGAGCACAGTCGAGTAATTTAAAATAGATTTTGAGAGAAATGTGCCTAAGGACTTTGTTCTTGGATTTGTTCTCGGTAAGCCCTGATTTCAAATCCTTGGCCACGCTGGTAAAATAGCCAGCTGGTTCACCGCCTTCCAGATGGGATTTTTAACCATGTTATTTTCCATCTGAATATATTAATAATTGTTTCATTATCCCTGAAAAGCCCCATAAGGGAAAAGGATAGTTATGTATTTATTATTATTATCATTATTATTAGGACTTTAAGATTCAATGACACGACGGCAACAAGAATGTTGCTTAAAAAGTCAGTTAGTGTTCTTTCAGTCTTAATCGCGATAATTCCTACCCACTTACATTGTCAAATGTATGCAAACCCTCCTGAGGTCTAATTCCATAGGACCATATGCAAGTTCAGAAAAAGAAATAAAATTTCGTCATTGCTTGTTTGACATTTTCACATTGTAGTCTTCCAAAACTGGTAAAGAAAAATATACAAAAAATGTATGCACTTGCAAAGTTGTAGTTTTGGTTATTAAACCCATTGTTTTTTAGACATTCTCATTGCCGTGGCGTCATGGGAACTTAAAGTCCCTCTTATCGGAATCAAGCAGTGCAGACTTACTTCTCCCCATGCTTTATGTGATAGTATTCTTCTCTCTGACAATGACACACTGCCAGTGCCATTTCCATTTTTGATCTTCAGAGAACCAGCAAGAGTGAGTGTGTCTGTACGAGTCAAAGGGGCCTTGAGAAAGAAACGACATTGATCACTTCAAAGAAATAGTAATGAAACACATACATAATTATGCATACTATGATTTTAGCGTTCAAGTTTCAAGTCCGCGTTGTTTACCTAAGAATCGAGTGTCCATTTCCAGGACTAACCCCAGTCACCAAAGAATTGTCAAAAGTAAATTCAGGGGCCCATTTAATACCACTTTGAGCAGTGTAATTTACAAGTGTAGCTGTTGTTTTCAAACTCCAAAACAATTGTAGTTACACTATGATATGTTTGAACCCTGCAATCATCTCAAAAGTGAGTGGAGCATGATCATCCAGGTGAACATGTCCTGAATAGGGCTGTTGTTGTTGGCTACAATTGTAAATTACACTTATAAACATTTTATTAAAATTGACCCCCGGTTAACCCTTTAAGTCCCAATAGTGACCAACAGCAATTTTCTCCTAACAATATCCATACATTGTCATGAGATGAGGTTATGAGAATTAATTAAATGATCACCTAAGAGAAAACGCTTTGATCTTTTCTCAAATTCTCTCAACTCATTCTTTAAGGAAATGTATAGAGATCAGTTTGGAGAATTTGTATGTGGATATTGGGGCTTAAAGGGTTAAAATGGTCTCAAACTAGATTGATTCTATGTTTCCTTTGTTTCCTAATCCTGCCTATAATTATTCAGAATCATGAATGTAAACTATGGGTAGGAGGAAATGAAAAAAAAGTACCGGGTAACAATAAAGACAAATTTGTTTTTTTCCTGTCTCTTGAGCCCCTAAATTTTCCATAAAAATTTGCCGGAGATGAACAACAGTATTAATTTCTTATTGAGTATAAGATCAAAGAAATGACATTAAAATGGGAAACTTTGTGAGGAAATCAGTCACTTCAGCTTGTTGTTCCAACTGAGATTTAAACATTACATCAAAGATGAAATCTGTTTTGAAGACAGCAATAAATATTGTCTCCTTCTTAAATAACATTTTTAAATTTTTAAATTTTATAAATTTCAATTTATGCAACAAGAACTTACTTCAATGGACTGAGAGATGGACATTGAGTTCACCTCAATGTTTGGTAAGAACCTGAAAGACAATCATGACTAGACTTCATCACAAAGAAAATTTAAAAATGCAACTGACAGTCACAAGAACACGACTGTATATTACAAAATACTCAAATAAGAGCCTGGGGTGCTTATTTAGTTTTTTTTTTTTTTAGCTTAGAGGGGTGTGGGAAACTAATTTGTTGGAAGTGTACTGTCTTCAACTCTAATGAACAAACCGTGCAAGAACATACGGTAGCAAATTTCAGTGTGTCTGGTACATAAACCAATAAAATTAATTTGCAACATCCACATGTCATCAATAAGTTATGCTGCCATCCTCAAGCACTACTAAAGAGAAGCGTGTTTAACACCCAACAGCATGATTTTTTCAAGTGGGTCATTCTCTTGTGACTGTATCAGTACTGTGTACAGAGAGGTGGAGGGTATACAAAGGGCACACATAAGATTATAGCAAGGAGGTGCTAATTCAAAGGTGAGAACTTACTTGAAACTGGCACTATTTCAGGCATTTACACTGATGTCTCTTAAAGTGCCCATCACCTAAAATTTTATAAATTATTTTGTTATCTGAAACTATACCTTATTAAAATAACTTCTGCAAAAAAATTTTGCCATTTCAACAAAACGCCATTTTTTAACCAACTTTTGAAGTCCACATTTTTGCGGTACACCCGCGCTGCTGATCATGCAAACTAGCAGGCTCATATATGACGTCATGTAACATAAATTAAGGAACTCACATTACCTTTCCTTCACCAGCTGTACACAAAAAAGATCAATTACAAGTAAGGATTGAATCACAATGTCTTCGCAAACTTTTAATGTTTTCCTGTCGATAAAGTCACGTGTTCCTTAAAGTACGTCATACCCTGAAAGAAGACTAAGACGAATGGTGTGCCAAAATGGCAGCAAATTTGAATGTTTTTAAAAAATTCTAAAAAAATCGTCTTTGGTTCACATCGCAAAATTATTTCGTAGAAGTTATTTTAATGAGGTGTAGTTTCAGATAAGAAAATAAAAAATTTCAGGTGATAGGCACTTTAAGCTTCAAAGATTCTGATGAAAGATCAGCCAAAACTCTCACCTCCCTTCAAAGGAATCTTCATAACTATCAAACAAGTTTGTTGCATCCACTCCAACAGAAATACTGCCCTGCAAACAGAGCACAAAAGTTTCAAAAATTAATACAGCTTATGTTGAACAACATTAGAGATCAAAGCAGAAGCAATTTAACATAAACAAAATCACTTGCAAAAAGACTCCATTCACCGTTGGATTTGTAAGTTGCTGTAATCGGCGTTCTTCTTTTTCTCTTTGGAGACGCTCATATTCTTCACGGATCTGTAAAAAACAACCCAGAGAAAAAAGTTGCCATTACTACTTACAAGTCATGTACAGTAAATATACAACTATTTATCTACAATATTGAGCTTGTCAACACAGTTAACACAAAGACAGTATACTTTATTTCCGAGAATAAATGTAAGCGCCTTAGTGCTTATTTCAAATGTCAACTAAAAGGAGAGGTGTTTATTGGAAGATGGGTACTTAATCTAGGGGCGCTAATTAAGTTATTATTCTGTTGGTAATAAAAAGTCCCATTATACAATGTACATGTTACAGGTCAAATTTAAGTCTAGGTTATTTTTGATTTAACCGAGGTTAAATTTTAACAACCTGGGCCCAGTTGTTCGAACGCCGGTTTGCCCTAATCCGGGGTTAAATTTTAACCCAGGTTTCTTTATCTTTTTATCAAAAGCTCTCTCTTGGATAATTTTCTCTATTCCTTTTAGAGTATCCAATCATCAAATTGTAGGCAAAGAGAATTAAACTGAATTTGCTTTTTAAGCCCTCATATCTGAGTTCAAATTTCGCACTAACCGTGGGTTACCTTAACCCAGCTTTGAACAACCCGGCCCTGGGTTATTTATTAGGTACTGTTATATAGTTATGCAATAAGCCATATTACCAGTACATTGATATCTAAGGTAAGGCTAGCCACGCATATAAGCACTGACCATACTGATTTGGGTTAAGCATTGCCTAAACTGATCAGGGCACTGGCTATACTGATTAGGGTTAAGCACTGACAATACTGATTAGGGTTAAGCAGTTACTTGAAATGGTTCGCATTTACTTAGGGTTAGGTTTGTCACTGTACAGTATGTAGTGTTATCAAACAAGAAAGCAGATATTCACAGCATATTTGGGAGATTCAAAGTTCTTTAATTGACTTGTGACTCATTCACTTGTTGACTCATTTACACTCTATTCTCATAAATTGGACACCAGCAATGTAACTTAATTTGTGGCCTTTTTGCAAGCTGATGAAAAAGAGATCTCTTTGGAGTAATCAAAAACATTATTTTGTAGCAGTACATTTGTTTAAGCAATTGGTGGAATAAATATGGAAATTATTCCATGGCTTGTAGCTACTTTAGTGTAATTACTTTCAACTTGGAGAATTTTGCCAATAAGGACATTAGAGTGAAGAGAGGAGGTCTTCTCAACTTTATCTTAGACATTCTTTATTTCTTAGACATTGACTCAAACAAACCTTCTCCTTGGCCTAGCCAGCATTTGGCTTGATAGTACAAGTCATCAGAAATAAACAATGTTGTTTTATTATCTTTTCCCTTGCTTGATGTTTTTAAGGCATCTAGTTTCTTGTAAAATACTGTTTTATCTGCATATGTGGCCATTTTGAAATCAATGTTTCAGAACTTAATTCTGTGCACATGTACGAACAAATTAAAACTTTGGCTGCAGGGAGTCTGGAACCAGTAAGCAATAATAATGCAAAATACTCCCTCCACTGCAACGATTGCTTGCTTGGTCAAGTGGAGATAATAGTGGACTTCTGTGCCAAAGGTTGTGAGTTCAATTCTTGGTAAGTGTAAACTTTATTCTCTAATAGTGTGTGATATGTGGTAAGGGGGTGTAAATACATGTGCAAATCGTGGCAGGGGAGGGTAAGGGGAAATAAGAAGTGGTTAGGGGATGTACACACAAATTGTAGGAGGGGAGGGTGGTGTTGATGTGAGAAGTTAACTTTACAATTGCATTTAATTCTTTTTAAGAACCCCCTAAAAAGCCACGCCCCAATTTATCAGCTACACCCCAAAAAATAAAAAGCCCTTTTTCAGACAGTTGAAAAATAGCCTAGGTTGTTAAAATCTAACCTAGACTCAGTTTTGATCTGTCACATGCATTTTATTATAGCAATGTGATAAATTCACATATCACAGTATTCTTTGCTCTAAATCACATCTGTTCTATTAAAATCGCATCATTTATGTTCTAAATCACACCACAAAATGGGATGTAAAAGTCTGTTTATTTCTGCTTTTCCACAAACCGGCTACTTGATCAATAAAAATACTTGTACTGACTGAATTCTGTGGTCTCAAAGTGACTATAAATGGTAATTGAACTTCGTGTCATGCAATTTTGGTCTAATATCATACTTGTGGTCGCGCTGCATGGTCGTCTGATCAGTCGTATGATTTCAGAACAAATTGCACTCCACTCAGTTCAATCACCATTATTTACACACATACATATGTATACGTATGTGTTGGTATAAAATTGAATGGTTTAAAGCCTTAAAATATATAAATATAATCATAGAGCGCCTTTATGGAAAAACTTTTAAAGTGACACCTTTCACAGCACATGATGTACTAAACCCTCTTGGATGGGAAGCTGAGTCATCAATGGCTTAACCATAGAATTGTGTCACTTGTTTAGACTAGGAATCTTTAGAAACGACAACAACTGACTAAAATCTGCATCTGCTCATTTCATTGTGTGTTTATAGTAGCAGAATTTGGGACAGGTCAGTCTATTATTAATGTAATCTTACTTACTTCAGCAGGTGTTCTTTGTCTTTCAATAATCTGAAAAGAGAGTAAAATTGGCTTATTTTAGTCTTTCTTTTTTCAAGAGGCACAATGTCTGTCTCTGAACCATTCAATCAATCTTACCTCCCAACCTGCATCCAGTCCCTTCTGTCCATACACATCATAAATACTTCTTGTTTCAGGATTACTTAGGACTAAAAACCCACAAAAAACGATAGGGTTAAAATCAGATGTGTACAGATCTTGTACATGTATTTCTTGTCTTTTCAGACAATCATAACAGCACTCCAAGCTGTGACCACTTTGGTCACTATGGAGGGTACAGTGTAAGAAAATTTGGCAACAAAACTTGCAGTGAAAGTTGCCAATTTTGCAACCTGTGTTTGGCAGTCGTGTGCCAAGGTGTACTAAGTTCTTTTATCAGTTAGTGTTAAAGATCTTTCTCAAGTTAAATTGTTTTCTTTCCCCTCAATGCAGCGGTCAGTGGACAAGATGGCTGCTTATTTCTTCGCTCTTGAGGAAATTGTAGTGAATTTGAGTCTAGTGTTCTGTAGCATTCTTGTGTCCCTGACCTAAACATTTAAACATCTTTTCTTTTAACTGGCTGCCTGGCATTTTTAACTCTTAGGTTATTTCGGGTATCATCGTCTGTACTATTGTTATAAATTTTTGTTTCTTGTATATTATGGGGTGAAATAAAGTGTTGTTGTTGTTGTTGTTAAAACCAGGGCCACATTGTTCAAAGCTGGGTTAAGATGACCCAGGGTTAGTGCAAAATTTTAATTCAGGTATGGAAGCTTAAAAAACAAATTCAATTTAATTCTTTTTGTCTACAATTTGACGATTGGCTACTCTAAAAAAATTAGAGAAAATTCTCTGAGAAAATGCTTTTGATGAAAAAGAAAAGAGACACGAGTTAAAATTTACCCCTGGGTTCAAGGCTGCTGCCTAAAGGGCGCCTGGTCGTCAGAGGTGCCTACAATTTGTCACAGGTAACCAAATTTTCAAACAAGGAACCCGAACGGGCACCTACAACTCATGATTCTCAGTCAAACTTCTGGTGAACAAACGGAAAAATTCCCTGTGCATTCTGCACTTTTGAAACAATATCATTTATTCAGCATTATCTACGCCTCTGTATTTTTTGCTGTACCTTTTGTGGTAACTTTTGAAAGGCTTGCAAAAATATTTCAGTCTTAAAACTTATTCACGACAGCTATTAAGATCATTTTAATTTTTACACTGTTGTGAGTGACGCACATAAATACCTACCTTCACAAATATAAGAAACAGTTTTGATAGTTCAAAAAATAGACTTGATACAAAAATACTGAGTCAATTTTCCACAGTTTAAGATAAGAAACCTTTCATTGGTCTTTTTTTTATCAGCTAAAAACTAAAACTTAACTTCGCTTAAATTGTGTACACGCAAGTACAATTGGTTGGTTCTTTCACTGTAAGTGCAAATGGTTATTGTTATTTTTCTCAAGAAATAAACTGTTTCTCGAAATCCTTTCGAGTGGTGAATATAAAAATGCTGGTTTCTTAAAACTCGAGCCTCAATTTTCGCGTTTCAAACCCCAGTTCTTTCGAGTCTCGAGTATTCTTCCATTTTTGTCCAGTCACGCAATACTCCTTTATAGCACAATTGTGTGACGAGAGAAAAATGGCTGCAAGGGAGACTTAGGTTTCGAGAAGCGTGAATCAAGTTTTGAGGATCTGGTCAAGACTGTCAACTTAAGATATAGACACTATCAACAGGGTCATTCTGGTGAAATAATTAAAACTAGCTTTAGATACCCTGGCTCCACTGTTCTCAAAATACAATAAGTAAAAAAACCTCTAGAACAGAAAAAAGGAGATTGGCCCTTGAATTTTCAGCTGACCCTTTACTATGCTATTTGTGCACATAGTTGGATAAATGATAAATTTGAAGCTTATTGATCAACTGATTAGTGCACCAGTTGTCGCACGTTTAATAAAGTTACTTATTTTTATGGAACGGACTCCTAGAAATGTGGTTCAGGCTCCTCACAAAACATTTTCTTAGGCAGCAGCCTTGTGAGTTAGCACTAATCACCCTTTGAACAACTGGGCCCAGGCTGTAATCCAGGACACACTCGAGTATTAGGAGATAAAACATGCGAAAGTGAAGTACCAGCAATCAATATGGTCAACGGTAAAACCTTTCCTTTAACATTACACCAAGCATGTTTTTATTATTTATTAATATTTTTTAATGGCAACCAATATTTTACATGTATGTCTGGCAACCATTTTATAATTTTTGGTCACCAAAAGGTGACTTTGCAAAAAATTGAGCTTGGAGCATTGATTTGCCATATTTACTTGAATTATAATTATTACCATGGCACCAATTAAATTTTTTACTCTGTAAATGTGGTGTTTATTCAATGTGGTGCTTATCTGAGGGTTACATTTATTTATAAGTTGGAAAGAATTGTTTCTTTAAAGTTGCAATTATAGCTAACACAAACATTTGATTGCATCGGCAAAGTCCTTATTTGATGGGCGGCGGAAATACATACAGTGACTGTAGTACATGTATACCATACCTTCATAAGCCTTTTGAATTTTACTGAATAACTCTACAGCAACCTATAAAAACAAGTGCGAAGAAACTGTTATGCTATCAATTTTATGAAATGGCAATTATTGGCCATTATGAGGATAAGCAGGGGTACTGGCAAGATTTTTAAATATAAATTTAATCTTACTGCTAAATTACAATGTCTACAGTGAAACAATCCTTCATGCGTCCACCAAGAAGTCATGGAACTATGGTGGAACCCATGCAGATCCATTTAACTTCTGCTCCTTGTGACATCATCAGTTTTAATGGTCAAGGACAACTTTGTAAGCTAACTTGTGCAGGGTGAAGAGATCTTTCAAACCACAAAACACTGAGCATGATTCAGTCAAGGAGGCCAGAGAAAAAGGTAAATAATCATGAATGTAAAGTTGACCCAAAAATTCCATGAAAATCATGTTCTAGTAGCTACCTACCGTTCCTTTCATCTAATCCAAAGATCCTAAAAGCTTTCCCAAAATATGAAACCTACTAAATGCCTAGCAAATGGCTCGACTACAGAAGCTCCAAAACACGTTTTTCGACAAAATTCCAAGGATGAGATGTTAATATTAACAAGGTTTTAAGAACACGGCAGTGTGTTTTTAAAGTTTGGGTAAGAGAATCTTGTTGTATAACACGGTGAAGGATAGGAACAAAGGAGTTTGCACCTGACAAAAAATTGTAGGCCTCCAAATCTTCTCGACGGCATCTTTGAACTTTGGTGACAGTTGAGAAAATTTTGGTGAGTGAAAAAAATCGTTCGTTCTAGAAGTGGCTTCCTGTTGACAGATTGTTTTGCAAAACAAACAAAATTTTGCTTGCTGCGAACAAGGCCTAAGCATTTAAACTTACTTTCTTTTTAGCGGGATCTTGATGTTTGTCAGGGTGATACAACATGCACATGCGTCTGTAAGCAGCTTTAAGTTCATTTTCGTTTGCCTGAAATGCAATAAAATGAACTTAAAATGATTGATCAAATATTTCTCTTTTTCTTTCTCTCTGAAAGACTATTTTTACCTCTTTTCTGACGTTCAAAACAGCGTAATAATCTACTGAGTCTTCGGCCTCCTCTGATTCCGCCATTTTTAAACTTTTACCGCTGGAAAATCGCCGGCTTATGATTTTAAAGACATTCGGCTGACTAATAGGACTGCGGGCATCGCCGGATGACCTGGACGTTGATTGGTTCAAATTAAGATGCACACCCCCTTTTTGACCATATTTAGAAGAACAGCGTGGCCTGTCAAAAAAGGATACCGAAGGTATTCGTCTATGTACGTGCCATTCCTGACCGGTGATTCTTGTTCGGTTTTTGTGGCGCAGATTTACGTCTTTAAAGCTTTTTATCATGTTGTCTGTACGCACAGCTTTTAGGAGTCAAGCCTGCAGGTAAGTTGATTTCGTTTCATGCGCGCGATTTGTATTGAAAGCGATGTGAACATGCGGCAAAAACAAAAACAAATCACTCCTAAAATGTTGTCCTTACGCAATACACGTATTATAACTTTTTTATATACGTTGGAGGGTGCAGCGTTTCCGGTGCAGCTTGTTCAGTTTTCTTTCACACATGTTTTTCATTTTCCTTCTTGAACATTAATTATCGATCCCTAAAAAGTGACCTGACTCAGGGTTATTTTTCTCTAATTTGTTGTCGAGTTAAAACCAACAGTCCACTAAATAAGGGAGTCGACATGTACATGTACATGTATGTTTAAACATGCATGCACATGTCAACCTCCCTCGGCTGTTGTTTTTAAATTTGCGTGGTTCTATCTGTAAGCCATCACGTAAAAACATGTTTGAATTTGGGGTTTAACATTTAAGCTTTGCTCACTTGAATGACTGCAAGTTTTGTAAACTTTATTTTAATAGGCTAGTTTTATCAGTTTTATTCAGATTCAAACTATTTGAAGTAAACCGTGTGTGGGACTTTTTTCTCTTTTGTTTACTTTTTAAAACTTGTCATTAGTTTGGGTGGAGTCAGATGTAGATGATCCTTAATTTTTAATGATGCAGGTAATTTTTAATCATTTATTATATAAACAGCTCTTTAAATGACAGTCTATAAAGAGCTGTTATTATGTCCTAGATGTTCTGTGTATTTGACATACAAAACATAATAAAACAGGACGTGATTAGTTAAGCACATTAGTGTATCTGTTGTGGTTCAATTTTATCCTTGGTTTAAATTTTATTTTCCTTTGTTTTGGGGTATAGTAATGTATGATAATGAGTTTAAAACATGGTCATGTGATAATTTTATTGCCCGTGCCGTGTTGTTCATGACTTAATATGTAGTTGCATGCACTCATGACTGTAGCAGGTCATTTCTGTTGTTAAATTTTAACTCAGTCAAAAATAATAGCTGTTGCAAAAAATAATAACTTGGTTTATGTATTACTTATGAATTGAGATTGGTATAGCAGTAGGGGAAAAGAGACTTTCGAAACCAACTCATGCTACTGTAATATTTACACGTAGCATGGCAAGCATATGAGTTGTTAATATGAGTAGCCTGATGGTTTTTTTCTAATCAACCCTTAATAAGGTAGCTCAATAGGGTTTTTTGAGGGCAATAACCCCCAAGCTTGAGCAAAAACAATGTCGCCATTAACAAGGATTTAGAAAAACTAACACAACACCTGTATTTGATAAAGGAGAAAATTTGTTGTGATAAGGGATACAATGACATATGAGTTGTCATAGCAACAAAATGACGCCAACACCTAATTTACTTGCAGCCTTATTTCTTGGCAGTGGGAACTGTTCTTCCAAAATTGTTCACAGAAACTTTTTCCATTGATAGCCGCTTCAATGTTCGTGAAGTTTAAGCGAAATCTGTAAGAGCATTATCGAGATATTTTGGGATGAAGTTTTTATGGTTAGCAATACAGTGAAAACTGGACAATCTTTCTTTTCAGCAGGTGCTTTTGAAATGCAATTTCACCTCATAATAGTTTCAATCTGTTTAAAAATGTGTGTGAAAGATCATGGATCATTCTCAATTTCCTGTGTCTCTTAGCCCTTATTCTTCATGAATTAGGGCTAGGAGACAAAGGAAATTGAGAATCAACCTAAGTTAAAAAATTTTAACCTGAAATTTATTTTGATTTGTAACATATACAAGCGTGGAATGGGGACAACATTGAATTTAACCATGATTGTGTTTAAATGTAAGTTGATTTATTCTGTTTGTTTAAGAATTCTTGGAGTAAGAAGCTTATCTCTGCCTCCCAATGAACCACCTACAAATCTTGAGAGGAATAGTACTGATCTTCAAAAGTTAAAAGCAGAAATCCAAAGAGTCCAAAATGAAACAGTGGAGATTCCATGCATCGTTGGCGGAAAGGAAGTGCTAACTGGGAACACACATTATCAAGTAGCAGTAAGTAGACCGCGATTGTTGGTCCCTTTGCTACAATCTTGGACAGAAATGTTAAGAAAAATGCACCTTATATGTCTCATTTTCTCATCCTTCCCTCTAAAGCCCAGTTCACTCAAGATATTTCCCCCTCCCCCCCACAAAAAAACATTATGTTTAAGTGTGGCCAGAACATTTTTGCTCCCGACTAAACAACAATGACCAGGGAGGGGTCACCATGGTGCCAAATTTGCAGGGTGGGTCCACTATGCATGAGAAAGTGCAACATTCTTCTTTTGTCCAAGATTGTAGTGAAAAAAGCCAATATTTCGCGATGCTACCACTGGTTTCCCCACAAAATGATATCTGACAAATGAGCACGGAAATTCTATACTGATGATGCGTCACTTCCCCAGATCTCAATAGTGCTTTTGATTGTCTGAAAAATTGCTTCAACCAATCAGAAGTACTTATAACCTAGATCTGGATAGTGACGCATCATCAATATGGAATTTCTGCACTGTCTTATTTCTCAGACATCATTTCGTGGCAAAGCCATTAGTGGTATCGCAAAATACTGGCTCTTTTCTCCGCCTATTGATGACTAACATACAATTTGTTATTTGTTTCTACTTGTCATTTGCTGCTGGCAATGAAACTTCTAAATAAATGATAATAAATTATCATTACTTTATTCACAAGTTTTTGGGTGTTAAACAATGATTTTTTTGCCGTGATTACTAATAATATTCATTCGTAATCTGTGCTCAATCCATAGCCATACAACCACTCCCTGAAGATTGCAAAGTACCATATGGCAACCGAGGTTAGTAAAAAAACTTTTCACCTTCTTCAGGCTGTTTTTACTTCTGCTTCTTGTTTAACACCCTTGGACATCTGTCTATGGGAGCAAGAAGGAGTGGCTGTACTCACTAAGGTGGACTGAGTACTGTACTCATCACAGTGCAGCCAGGAAAACCACGAACACTTGAAATATCTCAGTAATGCTTATTGTGTTACGACCAATCACAGCAAAGATCTAGACACGTGAACTGGCCTCAAAACCCCGAATTAATTAACATCTTTGTTTGACGTTTAGGTTTCTCACGTCCAATAATTGGCTTTTTTCTTGTAACACAATAACATTCCAGAAATATTTCTGGTGTATGGTTTTCCTGGTTTGACTGTAAGATGTCAAGTTGCTGGGTATATGCAATTAGTACGCAGGGAATTGGACATTGAACAACTAGGAAAATATGTTGGTTCTGTTTGTCTTTTCTTTTCTATGAAAGTAACTGGGGGTCATGCTCATTAAAACCTGGGCAAACCCCTGGCCCCTGGCCCATAGTGACTGCATGCCCTCCTTTTTTAGTGAACTTACGCAACAGGATGGGAGAGGAAAGAAGAAGGAAAACCTTGTGTGACGAGCGTGACAATAATTTTGTTTGAAAAATAGTGTTTTGCCAAACTTCACCTTCCTTTAAACAGATCTTTTGTAAAAGAACAGAAACTTAAATGTTAAGTGAAGATCACGACAAAACAGGCCAGTAATAGCCCTGTCATGTTTGTCACACACAAGCATTTTGCCGTTGTCTTCTTTCTGCCGTCCTCTTGTGTAAAATACTCACTGTTATCACTGTCATTTTAGGAAGTTATTAGAGAGGCAATTGACAGTGCAATGGAAGCAAGGAAAGAATGGGACAGAACACCCCACGAACACAGGGCTGCTATTTTTCAAAAAGCAGCAGATTTGATCACTGGAAAATACAGAATACAGTCTTTGGCTGCAACTATGGTGGGGCAGGTATAAAGAATGCTGTTAAACTTTGTGCAGTCATTGTTGTTTTTATATTTACATATACACTCAGACAAGGGACCAGTGTTTCTCCCTGAATTTTAGCTCAGCAGGTAAGGGACCATTCATGGCCGGTAAGGCAAGAAATATGTGCCACAGGCACACTTTCCTGGGAGGAGGGGGGCAGTGGAGTGAGGGACATGGCTTTGACCTCAATGTGAAATTTAGGAGCTAAGTTCTCTGAAACGTCATTCCCTCATTTTACGACCTATTTGATGCAAATCAGCTGTCATCTTAAGATAACAATTTAAAACATTTCATTCCAGCAAATTTACAGTCTTCAATGCTCTCTTTCCAAAATACGTGGCCCATAAAGAGAAAAGCTGTGTATACTTTAGTACACTTCGTATATTCATTCATTACATTGATCAGATCAGATCACAACTTTTGTATTTCTTAAAACAACTAATTTAATTTCAGTGACCCTTCAAGCTGTTGCAAGCAGTAAGAAGTGTTGCTTCAGACGGTAAATTTCACCGGTTACCGCCTGATAAGGAGAACACTGAGCGACTGATCTCAAAAGTATAATGAAATGAAAGTCAATGTATGATCATGGTTTTCAGATTGAATTCACACCAGTAGAGTGGTTAGATGTCTGTACAGTGCTAATATATGTTATTGTTATAATTACTGAGAACGTTTGGTTCTTGTTCATATTATGGACAGTTATGATACAGAAATTTGGCTTTTCACTTTGTTCTGATCAAAATCTTTCCAGGCAAAGACTGCATTTGAGGCTGATATTGACTGTGTACAAGAGATTGCTGACTTTTACAGATTTGGAGTCCATTATGCCAAGGTAACTTTCTGTTCTAAGGAAACTATAATTCCGAATCCAAATCTGTTTACTTTGTGGCTTTTGTAGTTTACCAGGAAATTCAAGAATCTGGATCATACACTAATAGTTTCTATAGTGAACCACTTCTATTAAATAATTTATTCAGCACCATGCTAATGCTTAGCTTCCTTGAAGTGGTTATCAGAGAGGTCATAAAAAACTGATGCTAGGACTCATTATTGCCATTAGGATGAAGTTCTAGAATGCTTGGCATCTGCAATGATAGCCTTACAAAAACTCAGGAAAAATACAAACTAAATCTAAATTTGATTAAATTAGGAGCTTTACGATGGACCACAGCTTCACCAGCCTCGCGGTGTAATCAACAGACTCATATACAGAGGACTAGAGGTAAGAACATTATTTTGAAAACAGCAGATATTACAGTCATGGGGGAGCGAGGGTGGTGCTCTGGTGAGAGCACTTGCCTCCCACCAATGTCGACACCATATGTGGGTTGAGTTTGTTGTTGGTTCTCTCCCCTGCTCCTAGAGGTTTTTCTTTGGGTACTCGGGTTTTCCCCTCTCCTCAAAAACCAACACTTCCAAATTCCAATTCGATCTGGAACGCACGGACACGTTTAAATGAGTTCATATGAACTCTTAAGTGCTTCGTGGGTAAAAAAGCAATTTTTTTTTTTTTACAGTCATAGTTATTTAATAACTATGTTACAGTGTGCATCATAATGCTATCTAATTTCAAGTTGCATACTTCAAGATTGGGATGCACATTTATTCTCGTAGGTATTTTAAAAATCCAACTCAATTCCTGACTAACAGCATAATTTTCCTCAGGGTTTTGTAGCTGCCATTTCTCCCTTCAACTTCACCGCTATCGGAGGAAACTTGGCTGGCACTCCTGCCATAGTGGGTAATGTGGTGCTCTGGAAACCTGCCTCAACATCGATACTTTCATGCTATCTTGTCCAAAAGATTTTCCAGGAAGCTGGTGTCCCTGATGGTAAGGAAATAAGCACACTTTAGTGATTTTCAATTACCTTAGCTCTTCGCCAGTGGACTCTCTTTGACTCAAGGAGGGTCTGGACAGGGCTCTTCAATTCCTTCATTCTGAGTAAAATTTCTCTCGATCGTGCCATCCTGACATCTCCTGTCACATGATTTTGTTGAAAGCCCTTTGCTTCACCAGTTCCTTGTTTGAAGACCTTACACTTGTTAACACTGGTAGTATATTAACATAGCTATTCCTCCCTCCGTAGGGGTAGTGAACTTTCTGCCTTCAGCTGGGCAAACCTTTGGTGACACCATAACAAGTTCACCTCACCTAGCAGGAATTAACTTCACTGGCAGTGTTGAGTATGTTATTTTTCATGTTTGGCAGGGGTGGGGGGGGGGGCTGTTGCCTTGTGGGAGGTTGGACTATAATTTATCAATGACACCCCAAAGTATTACATTACTTTCTGGTACCTCTAATGTCTTGTTTTAACTAATGTTGCTTCTCATTGTTCCTAGGACATTCAGACATATATGGAAGAAAGTTGCGGAGAACATTGATGTGTACAGGTAAGGGTTAATATTAAATATGTACCATACATTTTACAGTATTTTACATGGTAAGTGCCTCAAACATAAATTTAAACACCCTAAAAGCCAGCAAAGCATAATTATCTAGTAGTTTAATACGTTTGTCCAGCAAAGTTATTTTTAAAACTACAACAACTGTTATTATTTTTTATTGTTATTGTTACAGAACATTCCCAAGACTTACTGGAGGTTTGTACAATGTACGGAGTATGCCACGAGTACCTGCTGGATTTAAATGGTTTCTTTATAGTTTTCAATTAACTAATAATTCTTTGCATTTTTTTTCTTCAACAGTCAGAACAAATCCGAGTTCACTCAAAACGTTTTGGAATATTTTTTACTTTACCAGTTCACAAAATAAATGCAGCTACTGTTAATAGTACCAAGTTCTTGTGTTTTACTCTCCACTTACCTCTGTACAGGAGAAAACTTTAAAATTAGAAACTTGTTGTAAGTTTTCAATAGTCAGTTGCATTGTATATTTAAAAATACATGCACTAAACCCTTAGCTCTTGTGTGAAGCTAATTGTTGCTTATTGTTTAAGTTATTTTGTATTTTTTTAACACTTGCAGAATGTGGAGGAAAAAACTTTCACTTTATACATACATCTGCTGATGTCGGTAATGTTTCCTCAAAACAATTCTTTATCCTAACTTGCAAAATTATCTACTTACAGCTGTATGCTATTTCTGTAATATTTTCAGTCAGTACAAGTTATTTATTTCTGTTCTGTACACCAGACACAGCTGTTAACTGCACCATGAGAGCGGCGTATGGTTATGGTGGACAAAAGTGTTCTGCTTGCTCAAGATTATATGTCCCAGAGTCACTATGGGGAAAGGTAAACTCTGATACTAAGCTTGTTTTATGGAAGGTCTTCCTGAATAGTGATTAAAGGGGCTAACATTTTGTCAGGTTTTATCACAGAATAAAGTTCTTTTTCTATCCCTTGTCAAAGACCTTGAAAGATCAATTCTACCTGTGATAACACTGAAGAGCGTAAGCCCCTCTATAGAAATTTAACTTTCCTGGAGGTTGTAGATACCGTAAGAGCTTACATCCTTTTCCAAGAATACAATAATAGCAAGCTTGCTTCAGATGTGTTTTTCAGTATTTGCCAGAGATGGGAATGAAGATAATCAAGTACTGTTGTTTTTCTTTGCTATTCAGGTGAAAGAAGGTCTTATTGAAAAGCAAAAGGAGATGAAGTTAGGATCGGTAGGTTGTAAACTTGACGTTTGTATTTGAGACGCTTACATGTACTTACTCAGCTCAGCTTAACGGTTGTAAATTCTCTATTGAGTCTCCCCCCTCCCCTCCTCTCCCCTCCTCATTTAATCATAAATGATAGGCTGTATCAACCTATCACAACTGTAACACTTTATGCATACTTATCTGGTATGGTTCATTCACATGCTGGAGATTCAGATTTTTTTATCTTCAGCTGCAACTTCATTTGCTTGACCTTTTCCACTTTGTGCTCAAGTTTTTATGGAGAATTGATACTATAATCTTCATTAAACTAAATGAGCCCCCACCTCAAACGTGCTTGAAATAAATAAACTAGCCCTCCCCCCCCGGGGGGGGGGGCTTAATAGAGGATTTACGTTAAATTGGGAATACGTCTTGATCCCCTTTGCAGCCAGAGGACTTTGATACATTTGTGTCAGCTGTCATAGATGATAAGGTACGTTTAATATTATCATGTTTTAATATTTTTGTAATTTATTTTCTGCATAAGTAGAGTGTTTTAAATTTTGCTCTGTTTTCTGACTTGTTTTGTCCTACTTTAGTCGTTTAGCACCATCAAAGGTTACATTGATTATGCCAAAGCAAGCCCTGACCTCAGTATTGTAGCTGGAGGTAATTGTGACAACAGGTAGGTTTAAAAGTATGAAGTAATTTCCCCAGTACTGTGTGCCTGTGAGCAAGCTCTTTACTTATGGCGAGGAAAGCAAGTTCCGAGGAATTACAAGCTAGGCGCGGATCCACACCGGTTTCCACCGTTATATGGAATTTCGCATGGAAATCGTTCAAATTTTCAAAATTGATAAATTTTAATAATAGAAGAAACTGTCCAAAATGAAATCTGGAAAATGTTTTGGAGCCAGTGAATATCTTGTCTGAATGACTCAGAAACCTAGGAAAGGAGACTTTGGGGAGTCAAAATCCGCACCCTTATATTGCAAGTGTACATGCTAGCTAGGAAGACTGTAGGCAGTCTTTCTTTTTTGTTTCACAATAGATCGAGAGCAGAGTCTGAACATGTGTGAGGAGTAAGCAGCAAAGCCATGAGGAACAAGGGCGAAAGCCCAAAGTCCCTCTCTCCGCTCCAATCTCTCCACTTACTTATCATCAATTTGCCTAATTTTACTGTTTCGTTCGCCGCGTGTGGCTCTGAGGAAAGACGGATGACCTCTCTCAGATTACCACTTGTTTGATATCTCTGTAATAGGTAGTTTTGCCTTGTTATTGTAGTGTGGGATACTTCATTGAACCAACGATCATTGAAACCAAGAAACCCGACGACAAAATCATGAATGAGGTATTAGCAATAACTTTCTTTTCAACATTGTTTCCGTAAAAAACAGGTCTGAAACTTTCTCTTTTTCTATTCTCCTTGTCTGGACTCTGGTGCGCGTCCAAAATGTCTTATAATTACAGTGCTCTAATTTTTTTCCTTCTGTAGGAGATTTTTGGTCCAGTTCTTACGGTGTACGTGTATCCAGATGCAAAATATAGGGAGACGCTAGACTTGGTGAGAGACTCTATAGTGACAACATTCGCCCTTCAGTGTTAAACGATAAAGTTTAAGCTGTTAAATAACGCCGCTCCGTACATAATGGTATGAATCACGTTTCAGACATTTGTTTCAACATTTATTTCACCAAGTGGTCATGTGTGCAAAACTCTGTAAGTGTTTGGAAAAAACACGTTTCTGTTGTGTTAACTGTTACAAACGCAGCAGTTAAGCAGTGCTCGAAAAAAGTCCCGTAGTAGACGTAGTAATAGTCCGGGTTGAGAAGATTTCCTTGCTAGGCAACTAACTTTTACAGCGTACTTGCCCAATGGGCAAGAGTCCAGGCTAGCCACCCTCCAACTAAATCCCCATTAGGCTGATTTAGCAACAGAACGGAAATGTCAGTTGACGAACAGTTGACAACGGGAAAGCAAGCGAAAAGGACTGATTACGACTTCCGGTACCCAATTTGTCGCTCTGCCATTGGCCAAGCCTGCTTTTTCATTTGCGCACGCCGTTGTCACTGCCGTCGCGTAGTCTAAGACAAGCAAGATGTGGCCCCGGGCAAGTAAAAGGTGAGAGCTGCCTGCCTAAAGGACTTGCTTGAATTCAAGTTTTTTTGAACCCCTAGACGATTGCCTTTGGTTGAACGTTGTCTTAAATGGGTTTTTTCAAATTCAATTAGGTGGATAAAACGTCGCCATTCGGTTTAACCGGAGCAGTCTTTGGAAAAGACAGGTAAACAGTTCTCTTTGAAATGAATGTAATGAAGTGCTCGCCAGGGAGTTTAAAACTTGACTGGATGCGTTTATTTTGTCCCTCTTGAATTTCAGCCGAATAGCCTGTGTACAGACGTCCCCCTCCCCTCAGAAAACATCGAGGAGAGAGGCGTCTGTGAATCGTCGTCGTCCCCGATTTTTTCTCAGGGGAGGGGTGCTTCTGTACACAGGCTTCAGCCGAATTTCTCCACAATGAGACAGAGTAGCCTGCGAAAACAGCCATCTCTTTCCGCTTCTGGCCGCCAGGGACGTTTTGCCTGGGGAATCTCTCCTGGCGAAACTTCCCTAGCGGCGAGACGGCTATGTTCGCAGGCTAAAGACAGAGATATTGAGGGATAAGAGGCCGCTTTCGGAAATCGGCCCTTGTAGAGAGGTTAAAACCACAGTGAATATACCCGCCTGGACAAGGGAAGTGTCCATTGGTAGAGGTTTGACTGCACTGCAAGTTACGGATTACCTTTAAAAATCCAAGGCTGCAAATAATTTGATTTTCCCAAAGGACATTTGGCTGGCCAACTGGCTACTTTGATCGGAAAAAACAAAACTGTGGTCAATCTAAATCGAGTACGCATAAGGCTTCTTCAGTGAGAACTGTGTTTGGTAGATGCGACGTTTGCAGGTTAAGACCGATCACGGTATTATTCACTGAAATAATGTTACTTTGTTGGTACGACAATTCACAATTGCTTAAGGTATATTTAAATCATTTTCAAAGTGATATTCATCGATTGGCACGAAATTCTGTTCGACCACATATATGATTTCGTCGAATATGGGCCAATTTTGTGGGACATTGTCTGATTATTTGCAGCCCGTAAAAATTGGGCGTTTCATAAAATTTATGCAATCATTCACGATGCATGGACATTAATTTAAACGTTCTTACAGACACTTTATTCAGGAGGCTTCTGATGTTCTAAAAGATGCTGCTGGTAACTTCTACATCAACGATAAATCAACGGGATCAATTGTGGGACAGCAGCCTTTTGGAGGGGCTCGCCTGTCCGGTGAGTACAAAGACGCTATTTGCCGAGAACATACTTGTATCTGCTTCCTGTTCAGATTATATTGCTTCCATTTTCGATTTTGTTCTGTTTAGTAGGATTAAAACCCACTGACGTTCACTGCCAAGTTTTAGTCATTGAAAAAAAAGTTTGCTTCGCGAAGTTGTGCTAACGTTTGACTTTGTGGACGAAATCAAACAGTGTGACCCTCTATTTAAATGAAAGCTACTGAGCAGCACTTTTCTGTGGTAGCTTGTGGTACTATTTGTTATGCCGTGCAAGGGGGCGGAGGTTGGGAGTGTCTCTCTCTAACCCGAAACGAAGCATCTGCTACGGTTCGACATAGGGAGAAGGATTAAGGTGAGGAGCCCCCGGTCTTCTCCCTGAGATTCCCTCCTTGTTGATTGTAATGCTCTCTAACCGGTGTTTCATTTGCAGGTACGAACGACAAGGCCGGGAGCTCGCATTATATCATGAGATGGGTGTCGCCGCAGAGCATTAAGGAAACTATGTTGCCGGTAGACGACTACAAATACCCTCATCAGAGCTGAGAACTGTTCAGGGACAGAAAACAGTGACATGACCAGTGACGATGACATGACCATGGACACTGTAACGTGAAGAAAAAGAGACTGGACCCTTTTTTCGACGTCCTCATAATTTTATTCATCCTTTACATCGCGTTTTAAATACGGAGAGTCGAAGGGGTGGGGAGCTGCTTCCCGACAATTTAAGATAAGTATGTGTCGCGAAGGTTCTAATACTTAAAGTATAATATATTGATACCCCAAAACAGAAAATGACACCGTTTTACTGGCGGAGAAAAGTAATAACACAAAAATACAAAAATAAATTGTAATCAGGGTTAGGCTGAGCTCTGAAATTTAGATAACACAATTTAAAGAAACCCGAAAACCATATCCTTTCCCGTGGCAAAATTCCTCTTGTTTTTCGGCCGTTTTCCCGTCCCACTTAAGCGTTCCCCACCCCTAGTGGCACGATATAAAGGAAGCGAGTTTTGTTTAGCAAAACCTTGGGAGGCAATTCGTGGAAATTCTTGTCTCGCCTTTCTCGCGTGGGGTGATTTTCACGCGCGCTAGCGTTTCGCTCGCTCTACCATCCTTGAGGAAAAATGGGGGACTACTCGTAGTCTAAAGAAATTCGGCAAAATACGTTTTGGTAAGGTGGCGCAGGGAATAGTGTAAATATGGGCAACGCCAGTGCGCGTTATTTATTCTCTATTCTTTTGGGAAATGACTACAATGGATAACTCATACTGGTAAAACATACACAAACCAATGTTATTTGGTAGAGAACCATTCCCTGGACACATTTATCGAAGAAAGTATTAAAATCATAGGGATCCAGTCAGTTCAAAGAAAAGAGCTGAGCATTGGGTCGAATTGGGTTTGCCACCGAAGTACAGTGATTTAGGACTAAGCACTGTTTCAAAACCGGACGGTTAGCTTCAAGTTCCAAGTTATTATGTACTGAGTACGTTCCACCGCGGGATTTTGCTCTCCCCATCCCGCCCCCCCCCGCCCAAAAAAAAAAGAGGACGCAATAAAAGATCGTAGATTACATTAGCCCTTGATGGTGTATTGGAGACGGATTTGGATTTTAAATCGTACGATGCGGGCTCAAGCCTTACTACCCTATGAGTAATGGCCCTTTGATCTTCCCGACTTATCTGGGAAGATCGAAGAGCTTCTGCTCGCAGGATAAACCCTTGCATGCACTGACATCTTTTTCTTCCCCTTTTTTACTTACTACTTTAAGTTATGACTTTTTTTCCAGTTATTTTAAGTTAAGATGACAATCTGATTGTGGGCTATCCATTCTAGTCACAACTCTTTTGTTTTTGAACTGTTAGCTTTAAATTGCTGTCGACGATGCTGGACGTTAAACGAATAATTGATGCTTTCTGTGTTATCTCTAATGAATATCGTTGAACAGGGTGTATTTTACATCGGGGTAAATGGACTACTTTAATATTGTATGTCAGGTTTAACGAAATTTATGTATATATCTTTATTTTAATTGCAAATCATCCCTACATTTGAAATGACTAATAATTTTAAGAAGTATACAGATCGACTGAACTTGCTTGTAATAAAATAATATTACTTGGTGTAAGTTGACGTGGGAGCTTTCTGAAGCAAGCTGTTAAAGGGGGAAATCTGGGTCGAAAAAAGTACTTAAATTTCCATCGTACATTTAAAACGTTTGGGCAGTTAATAATGTTTTTTCCCGAAAATCAAAGGCGCTTCAGTTTATCGCAACTACGGCACCTACAGCGCTAAAACGAAAAAAATAAAGAATAGCACCTATCGCAAGCAAACGGATCGACAGCAAAACAACTCCTCTTTATTATGCGTTTAATACTTCAGTACAGCGCTCGACTTTTTTCTGCAAACGACAACGTCAAGTAATCCCGCCCATTCATATAAAAAAATTCAGAAATTGCCTATCACCTATATTAGTCCTTCAAGTTTCTGTTCGTCGCCATGTTTTAAATCTGCGACGGCTGCCACTAGACTGTTGCGAACATGAGGGCAACCAGCATGGCGTCATAGCTTATTCAAAATGGCTGCGCGGGGGAAAATTCTCAAAGCCAATAGAAAATAGGCGATATCAAAAAAAATGTTAATATGTTAGAAAACAATTTTTCAAAAATTTGTTAGAAAGATATGCGTTCCCTTGGTGGGCCTTTTGTTATGCGCTTCGACAATCTCGTATCTCCATACTGCCACTTTATCTCGACAAAAACCCAATTTTCAGCAGTATATAGATTGGCGACCCAGTGTCAAGTAAGATTGATTTAGTGCACTACTAGAGAAGATGCCATGAATTTATTGGAGCGCTTTCAATACTTAGTGACTTACTAATACACCTGTCAAAACGTCTGATACAGCGATTTGAAAACGCTGACTCGATCAGCAGCCGTTCTAGTCTTCTAGACGACGTATGCATGGCTTAATACAGCGCTTGTGAGTTTGCTTGACAAAATTCTGGAATGCCTGCGCCAATTTAAGTCTCGGACAAAACTGTTGGCACACTTTTTTTATTTCCCACTTTCTCTCTTAAAAGAGTTTGAAACTGTAGAGGAAATAGAGCCGAAGCCTATGCCAAAATATTCTTAAGTTTCTCAAGGATTGTGATCAGTATTTTTTTGTTTTAACCATAGTTAATTACTTTTTAACTTATTCTCCCGTATCACATGTGTTCTAGTAGGGTAAAAGGAAAAAAGTCAACAAACAAGATTTCAGTCACTTGTTTTATTGTGCATTGTAGTAACCCAAAACGCAGTGGGCTAACAAATGTCTAAATGAACTAAATGATCCGTTGTGACCTCGGTTGCTTAGCAATACCACATCCGGGACATGGCAAGTCGTTCCCAGGCTTTTCAGCAGTAAAAGGAAAACCCGATTTTGCACATGCAGACTCTGTAGCGTGGTTGGCAAATCCTTCGACAGTAGAAGCGATGCAACTGACAAACCTGATAGAAAATGAAGAGAAAAGAGTTACGTTTTCCATTTTGTTTTACAGATAAGACGTTCTTTTGTCCCTAAATTACCCAAAAGCATAAGACCTTCGTAAAGGTCTTTCCGGTTTAGTTCCCCTAAATTGGTGCATGAATAGGCTGTTCAAAAAGGGTTGCCAAAAGCCGCCATTTTAGTATCATGGTTCTTGGAGTTGCCTGACCCAAATAGTTTGGAACAGAGCAATTTTGGACAAAATTGCCTTGAAATGGCTCCTTGAGAGTTTTAATCATATCAGCCTCCTCCTCAAGGGCTTCGTTTTTCGCACAGAGGCGAGCGCGAAACGCGAGTGACACGCGAGTGACTGGTGACGGAGCGCAAGGGACCATGGAGAGGAAAAAGTGAGAGGCGAAGCCAGTTTTCTCCTTCCTGCCTTCCTTTGCGAGGACAAATTTTCATCAAGAGAGACTTCTGGGTACAAGGCAGGAATCAGATCTTATCGGTATAAATCGGTTGTTTAGGGCACAACTTTTGTCATACTTATTCACGCCAAAGATAAAATCACTTTAATTTGCTACTTTGTTTGTTTTGGTTTTTCATTGATGTTTTTTTGTTACTAATAAAACTGATCTGACAGGGATTCAGTCTATTGAACTCATTGGTTAAACTTACAGTCCATGCTCTTCCACAGCACTTGGGTCCAGCCTTATAATCTCGTCTGAATCTGCTGTTTGACAAACAAGTGGAAAATCGTTTCTCGCACATGCGCAGCACTCTTCCTCGCCGTTTTTGTGCCTGTTTTGTTGGTTCAAAACAGGACAAAAGAATCATGGCCACCACGATTATTGCAAGCTTCATCTAAAACAAATTAAAAGATCACAAGGGCATGATGAAACGAAAAAATGCTTCAAAAAATATACGAGCTTATTGTGCAGACTATGTTTGCGATAAATTTTTGTTGGTGATAATAGCCACGAAAGCTTTATAGAAGAGTAGCAGCCATTTTTCCAGCAGAGTTTTATACAAAAAGACAAAGGTGCGCGCGCGTGCGTGTGCGCGCGGGAAAAAAAGCAAACGCGTTTTTGATCCACGCACCTAAACAGGAAGCGAGGCCTTTTCTCCTTTAATATGCGTTGCTGCTACCAAATTTGCGTGACGTTAGGACATAAGCTCGTTTTGTCTTTCTGTTTTGATTTCTTCTTTCTCTTCCCCAGGGTCTAGAACTTGGCGCGTGCTATTTTGCAGATTCTTGTATAAATGTAAGTTGCATTAAAACGTGGCAAGCTGACTGAGCCGAAACTCATTTGGTTGATTGGAATGCCGTTATGCCCGGTATATCTTCCAATGTAATTTCTGAGTTGCGCTTGAAGGGATGGTTACCAACACAATGGCTCATCCTTAATGCATTTATATACCGTAAAATTCCGAAAATAAGCCGCTCCATGTATAAGCCCCTCCAAACATAAGCCCCCCAAACCGGTAACGCAAAAAACCCTCAGTTAAATCGCCCCTCCAAATGTATTTGGAAAATTGTCCCCAAATACAAAGTAAAACAAAGCAAAAACGGTAAATTTACCTCCAACTAAAAGGCTAGCCAAATCGATTTTGAAACGCAAATTTCCCTCCGTAGATAAGCCCCTCCAAAAATAAGCCCCTCAAAAAGGGCGTTTGAAAAATATAAGCCTCAGGGCTTATTTTCGGAATTTTACGGTATATAGGAGCTGAATGGTCCCAAATTAATGCGTACAATTTCTTTCAGTCAGTTCAGAGAAACATTACCTTGAGAGATATCACTAGTAATATGACGTGAAAAAAAACGACTTGAAAATCCTTTGAAATGGGAGTGTGCAAGGGCTTCTAACCAGAAATACAATAATCTTTGCGTATCTTATAGTCGAAACCGTCGAGTTTATTTTGTAAAGTTCGCCCATTTACAGTTCCAGAAGGAGATGAAAGCTACATTATTTTGTAGCAGAGGATTTTACAAAAACATTTACAACCTTGCAAAGGTATAGTAAATATACATATAACTTTCAGAATTACGCTTGCACTTTTTGCAACGACTTCGTCAGCTTGAACTCTTTTCATTTCTGTTCTGCAAATGGTTTACTCTGAGAAACCCTGCTCCACTAATTG